TGATGTAATATAGTGGAAGTTTCTTTGTAAGAGTGTACACAGAATGCTAGCTGAATCAGGGATAGGTCACACAATTGTGAAACACTAGTGGCGAGCTAATCCGCATGAAGCTAGGGTGTATGACATGGTCACGTGGGCGTGACTGAATCTGGTGGGGGAGGATGTGGTTCGGAAGAACATACAACTGTTGAATAATACCGCGGCCGCTTCTGAACTACTAGCGTACGCGTACAAGTGTAAAGGGGCCATAGTGGCTGCTAATTAAATTAGTGTACGAGATTCAATATATAAGAAGCCAGCGTACGCCTGTAATCGTACGCTGGCTGAAGCAACCTTTGAATCACATATCTTCATCTACACTCAGTTTCATGAGCATTTTCATTCTTCATAATAAGTAGAGAGTGAGATCAGAAGTATTGAAATATATAGAAGTATCTAAGCATTCTTTCAGTGCTTTTATATTTAATTCTGTAGATGTTGAAATTGTCTGAGTTTCTTATTATAATAATTGTTAAATCTCTTCATATTAATGTTATTAAGTTACATGCATATCAGCTATTTATTACTGTTGTAATTTCAATATTACTTAAAGTCACTGTGATATTACTTCTATGCTTGTGTTCAAGAGTTCTCTCATATTATCATTAGACATGATTATCAATCATTAGATGTATAATTGTATAAATATCTTATATATCTGAGTGTCAGAACTCTCAGATCTTTTACTGATATTCTCTTATAAGATCTTACTCTCTTTGTAAGATCTTATTACAGAATCAGAGTAACTGATGAGCAAGCTTCTATCTGAGAACTTAATGTCTGCTTTAACTGATTGTTTCTCTTTCTTATGTATTATTACATGTTTGAATATCTCTTGATGAATAATTGTTTCTAATGAGAAGATAATGAATGTTTTTCTAGTGTAAGAGATCTATGCTGAATAGATTGATATAATATTGATAGGTCTTATATAACAAAGAGAAAAATGTTAGAGAAGAAAAGAAAGAGAAAGTGCAAGAATCAGCAATTGAAGTGAATATTTATACATATATGTGATGATGTACACAGTGGTGCTTCAGAGCAGAAGAATATACATGTGTTCATAGCAGCTGAGAATTGGTGATTAGAACATATATGTTTGTGATGACTGAGAATCAGCGATCGGGAATGAGGCGGTAGAAATCTATGAAGTGTACGGAATAGTCTATATGATTGATCGGGCGCAGCCTGTCAAATCTATGGAGTGTACGGAATAGTCTATATGATTGATCGGGCGCAGCCCGCCACAAAGATGAGTAAAAACATCAGTTTCAAGCTTACAGAAATGTGTGATCTGCAGCAGAATGTTCATCAATACTGAAAAAGAAATTATATAAGAACTATGAACAGCTTCTTTACTATTATCATCTGCAACTGCAGATCAATACTTTTCATTATATAGAACTGTAGACATAAGTGTATTATTTATAATTGAAATAACTGTTTTTAAAATGTCTATTCAGAATTTCTTTGAAATCTTCTTACTGATAAAAACTGCTCTGATACAGGCTATAATTGTATATATTCTGCACTCAGACATGCTATCTTGATATAGTGATTGAGAAGTAGTTAATTCTTATACTGTGTTATAATTAATGAATAATACTGTAATCTTCATAAATCTGAATATATTATCAACATTGATTCTGACATATACTGATACAGTAAAACCTAGGTTCTTTATGAATTGAACTCAGTATGCATAGTAATTGTAAGCTTGATTCTTGATATATAAGAAATAGATTCATCTATATCTGATTACATTATCTGTGATTAACATGTAATATTTATTACTCTGTCACAATTCAATAGAGTGATCTGTAGACTCACTCAATATCTGTCTGTTATCTGTAAGATTGATATAAATTTGCTTCATTGAGTGTATAACTCATAATATGAGAGTGATTGAGTATTTACATATTATACTCACTTTAACACAGGTGTTATAAAAGAAATTGATCTTAATGTCTTTGATGCAGATGTCAGATAGTGAATTCTTTATCAATACTATAATAGCTCTTATATATATATGTCTCAGATCAATGTATCATTCTGCAAGTGTTTTTACAGTTGTAAATAATTCTTGATATTGAGATTGATCAATGATGAGATCATTGTCATCAATAGTAGTCATGACTTTAGCATAGTCATTATCATATACATATGATTTCACTGTGAAGTAGACTGCTTTAGACTTATAATGTATATTAACTTCTGACATTCTTTTAACTATTTTATAAATTGAGTTTTAAGATGTATAAATTGCAGTGAAAATTGCTTCACTTGATGCTTTAATAATGAAATAGAACAGGGTGTTTGAGCTTGAAAGCTTATATTAAAAACTCTGATTCTTCAATCTGACAAATGACAATAGATTGACTGTGAGATTGAGAATATAATAAATATTGTGAACAGTGATATTCTCTTCTTCAGATTCTAGAAGAAGATTGCTAATCTCTTTGATATAACTGTAATCTCTGTTCACTGTAGACTGACCGTGTGACCGTGTCTGAGACCAGAATCAGATTTTTTGATAGTCTCATTATCAATTCAACTGATTCTATTACACAGTTTTAACATTAGATAGTAGTTTCATACTGTCTCAGTGAGACTTACTGTCTACTCTTGTCACATTTTTCAAATGAGATCATGATTTCCACTTCTCAATTTAAATTATTTTTATTGCTTTAAATGACTTTAAATCTCATTTGAGTGTTACCAAAAAGCATTACTTTTTAAAAAATTAAAAATAGTCTAAAAAAAACCTTAAAATGTCTAAAAATAGTAACTTTATACCAAGAATGAGACTAAATGAAATCAAATGAGATCACTTTCTCATTTTTTTCAAGTCATGGTTTCATTTTAAGATCTGATATATAGTCACTTTACATGTTTTTTTAATAGTCAGTCCCAGCGGGATTCACATCAAGAAATATATGAGATCAGACTAAATGAGACTAAATATGAAATTCATAGTTTCAGCGGTCAGTCTAGTTCACTGTATGAATCTTTATATTGTCATTGTACATCTTCTGCTGAATAAGAGACTGCTTTTCATCTATTATATGAAAACTTACACATGTATCAAGAAACCAAGGTTTACTTGTTATATTAATAGTTGCTGAAAAAGCACTTACTGCATTGACAGCTGCAGATTGTGAGGCTGTAAGATCAGAAAATTTCTTCTTCTTATTATCTTTATTCTTCTTTTTATTCTTTCACTTGTCACATCTGCTGATATTAGTATTATTACTATTATTCTTCTCAGATATAATGATATATTTCTTATTTAACTTATATCACTGTTCAGTAGCAAGTTCTGAATGCAGATGTTAATAGATGTTTTTTCAGTGTTATCTTAAACTGCATATCTCACATTTGAAACTGTGTGTGAATAATGTAGAGAGAGTTGTAATAGTTGTATTAACTTGCTAAGACTTAGAATGTTCATTCTTGAACTTATTTATACAGTTTGTTAACTGTTTTATAAGATTATTAATATTGATATTATGTATAGAGTTCTGATCAGACATATAGAAATCATCTAAATATATCTTAATAAAAGACTTTTAATACTTCTTCAGATCAATAAGAAAGAGATTATAATAAAAGTCTTCTGAGTTATTTATCAATTTTTTATAATATGTAACTAGATAATGAAATCTTCTCTAAAATGCTAGATAATTATTATCTCTGATATATAAGATAATGAATTCTTTCACAATATTCATATATTTCTCTGCAAGTGAGACAGTATATTCAACTTCAATTCTTTCTTATAGTATAACTGTATTATCTGACTCAAGAGTTTCAATGATTGTATATACAGATTCTAATAAGAACTGTAACATACATTGATACAGTGCTTTGATACAAATGCTTCATTTTTCAGCACTTAATATGTCTTAACTGATATCTTCTGAATAGATATATTAATTCTTCATAAGAATGTCAGATCTGTCAATGACTTCAGTATTTATAAGAATTTCTATACATCAGATCTCATAGTTATTACTATCAAATGTAATTACAGCTTTAATATTCATGACTTTTTAAACATTCTTTTGATATTCACAGATCTCAGATTTAAAATCATCTGCTGCAGAAATGACTACTTAATACACACTCATTCTGTCACAGAATATTATCAGATTATTAAATATTATTAATATTATATCATCTGAACTTATTCTAAGTATAATACTTATGTGTCACACTTCTGTATGTGTTACTTATAAGCTTGAGATATTATTATTTAATTCATAATCTGTTTTACTATTTGTAGATAACTTTATAATCTCTTCTGTAACTTCTATATATTATATAGTATCTATTTTCTCTGATTCTTCATCAATAGATGTCTGAGTGTGAGAATGTAAATGTAAAGTTCTTCTTCTATCACTCTGTGATATAGACATATCATTCATCAGTCAAAGAAGAGTTGAATGAAGAAATTGAAAAAAAAAATGTGTTATATTATACTGTAGAGTTCTGCTATTTCAATTGTCAGCTAAGCAGATACACTCAAAATGTATAATATAAACATGATAAAAGAATTCTCCTATTCAGAATGAACACATTCAATGCTTACACAGGTGTTTTTAAACAAAAGTAAGAGAAAAATGTAATCCTTTGTAAAAATGTACTATCCGGGCTCATAACCTGTGGGATGGTTAATCTGTTGTATTTGTGTAGGAAGAGCTAGCTATATATATATTACATATGAGATCACGTGTAGGCGGAGCGGTCGCTACGGCAACGCCACTAGGGCGGATGCTACAAGAACTTAAGCTGGGATTTTCTTCACGTGACCCCAATCAGGTGATTAAATGTCACGTGTAACTAATGTAATGGATATCATAATTTTTGGGAGCCGCTAAGAGCCAACATCAACGACGTTAACAGCTTATCTACGCCCCGTTTTACCGCGACATGCAGATGGACATAGAGCTACGCCTATCATGACGACTCATCTGGTTGCTATTGCGAAAGCTACTTTCTCAGCTGGGCTCTTGCGACCAGATCCCACCTCCGTCTACCGCGATGAGATCGCCTTCTTCCACAGGTCGCTCGACCGGGCAGTGACGCACTGCTCTCCAGGAAACATCCAGGTTTGAACAATGACTCCTCATGTCGGCGTTAAATGGGTTTACTAAATCGTTGATCCGGGTACCTCCACTAGATTTGCAAATCGTGGCTGCTGAAAAATGTGATTCCTTCTTCAACGAGGATTGGGGCTCTGGGCAAATACCTTGTCACTCTATCAGGATCTTTCGAACCTGGCGATAAATCACCGGCTGCTGGACAGGCCGCTGTTGAAGCCTCGAAGAATTCTCCAAAACGGAAAAGGCTGCATATCCTGTATTTGCTGAACGATTTGTTGCATCATACCAAATACCATGAACAGACAACTTCCGCCTTTTCAACTCTCAGTGGTTCCCTTCAACCATTCTTAGTTGACCTTATTAGCCTTGCGGCTGGTTTTTCTCGCGAAAAGAACCCAAAGCATCACAAACGATTGAACGATCTCCTGGATATATGGGCCGGTAATAGCTACTATAGCCGGGATTACATCAACAAGCTCCGTGAAACCGTGGATAACTCCTCGTCTCCTGGTGCACTGAATGCAAAAGTTGCTCCCAAAGATTCTGGTTCAGATACACCGAACAAGATCCCTCCAAGGGACGCTCCTTACGTAATGCCGGCGACACATGGAGACCCCTCTGCGCCATATCATGAGCTACCCGCGGGGAATCTAATGCCACATATAATTCCCAACTCGACAGCCCCAATCCGACCACAGGCAGTGAAACCTCTACAGTTTCTTGCAGGACCTGCTGATGAGTCTCTAGTCACGGCCGTAAAAAACTTTCTAAATGACGTCGACAAAATATATAACTCGAATGGGGAAGCGATGGATGGGGGAGACGATGTAGAGATTGATGAGCTTGGTCAGATCATTGTTCGTGACCCAGTGACGGGAGAAGTTGTTGACGGAGAAACGTACTATGGTTGGTCTCGTTCATTCTGCGAGAAAATGAAGAAAAGGAGGGATGGCAAACTTGGGCGTAGGAGCGAAAGTCGAAGTCTCAGTCCCAGCCGAAGCCGCAGCCGCAGCCGGAGTTATAGCGCACGGAAACGGCGACGATATAGCGATAACATGAGTGATGACGATAGGGGACGCTCTAGATCATCGGGTTCATCCAGATCAGGCAACCGAAGTCGGGGCGACTCCTACTCCCGCTCTCTTTCCCGCTCCCGTTCCCGCACAGCTCCAGGCCGCTCAGGACGTCCGAGATCACGGTCAAGATCGATATCTTACTCTCCTCGCCCCTTATCTCCACCGCCCTTTCCTTCACAAAATCAGAATGCTCCTTTCCCACCTCCAGGAACAGCTCCGCCTATCCCTCCTCCAATGTCATATCCCTTTAGCGGATCGCAACAATTCTCACCTCCCCATCCTCTACCGATCCCTGGTCCCGGTGGCATGTTTATTCCCCCTCCTCCTCCGAGACCGCCAGGGTATCACGGACCTTGGCCGCCTCCACCCCCACCTCCACCTTCTCAACATCATAGTGCAACGCCACCATTCCCACCGCCTCTACCACCTCCACTACCTGTGAATATGGGCGTGAATATGAATATTCCCGGCTTCCAATCTCCTGCTGGTGGCGGTGCGCCGCAATTCTCTTCTCATTCACATCCGTCTCACCAGCCACCTCCTGGATCATACCATTTCCCATCACCGCATACTCCTCAGGGACAGGGACCTGGGCGTCAGCCCTACTCTGGCGGAGATGCGAATGGCTCTGGTGGAAGTAGAGGCCGAGGAAATGGTACGAGTGGAAGAGGAGGGTGGGGGAGAGGTGGGTGGTATTGATTTGATTTTACGATTTTTAACTTTTTACCTTACATTGGCTGGTTGTGTGGGGGATTCATCTGAGCTTTTGGGACCACTGGATATACGAGAGAATTGGAGTCATATTCTTCAGACATATCCTGGTGAGCTGAAATTTTGTGATTGTTTACAAGGGCTTTCTTTGTAAAACAGTTTGATGCAGCATTGTAAGATTACTAGATGCATGAACTATGGATGCAAGTGAAGGGGATCTTCCTATAGTTGAATGCAGCAGATGAAGAGCATTGAAAACATTATCAGCCTTTACCGATTCTCAAGAAATCTCTTTTGCGAGAAAGCCACTGTTATTTCCTCTGCCGCTCCCCGGATTCCACGAATCACGAGCACAGATTACTTAGTTTTCCACAGGCTGTATCGATCGGTGCTCCGGGAAGATAAGCACGACCCCGCTTCTGGCAAAGCGGTTATCGATCCAACGCTGTTGAAGATGAGAAAATCTGGTTTGCAGCTCTATTCTCATTGGATGCTCAAAAATTAGATTCTACGAAAGTATCTGTGGATGTCACTCATGTTCTAGCATACATCTGTAGCGTGCATGAATAGATATGCGCATCTTCCAACTTAAAGATTTCGAAGATATCAGAAAAACCACCCTTGTCCATATACGTATGTTACTTGAGCACAATTGAGGTATTTTGGCGGGGATTAGGGTGTGCTGGGAGCTGGGAGCTGGCGATCATTGTCAAGAAAGGGTTCGTTCCGTCTCCTGAGGACCGGGAATGACGAACCGTAGAACTCCTAGAAGTCCGTTCTTGAAAGCATAAAGAGCTCAATTTTCGGATATGAGAATCTCTGGATGTGCACATCCAATTACTATTCGAGACTTTCATTCCTACCCTTAACCTGATCGAGGAGGCTTGCAGCTGAAAAAGATATTTATAGAAAGTGGATACAAGCCTTGCATAGATGAAAGTAAGCATGGGCGTGACGCTTTAAATAAATCCCACTGCCATGCCTGTGGTGCCTCAAAATCCCCACTCTCCAGTGTAAAGGCAGCTCACATATCAATCCTAGCTAGATTGATCTATCAATATAGCACACCCAACATCCACAAGAAGAACCACCCCCACCATCGCTATAGTCATGTCTAAATCCAATTCCCTCAAAGTTCTCCTCCTCCCTTTCCCAAACTTCGACACCTTGGACCTCTATGCTCCGATCGAAGTCCTGGGTAAGGGCGCGGCCATCGGCGGACTAGAGATAACATTTGACATCGCCGCAATTGTCCAACCAACTCTCAGCGCAGAGAAGGTCCCTGTTTATCCAAACCTCAGCATCTCCCAGGCGATGCAGCAGCTCGACCAGTATGAAATCGTCGTCCAGCCTGGCGCCGGCATATCCGAAGTAGAAAAGTACTTGGAAAATCCAGCGCAGCTTGGGTTGAGCCCGTCTAGCGTGAAGGAGCATCTACAACTGCTCTTAGCATTCTCGCAAACGACCACGCCGTCTCCGCGCGGCTGTAAACGCGTGTTCCTGTCTATATGCACTGGGGCGCTCGTGGCGGGGCTGGCAGGGGTTTTTAGCAATATGATTGTTACCACCCACTATGCGGGACTCGAAAAGCTGCGAGAATATTGTAGGATAGCGGGAGAGGGGACAGTTGTCGAGCCTGATATAGGAGATGGAGGTTATGAAGGGTACTCGAATGCGCAGCAGCAGTCGTGGAGGTGGGTTACTGTCGACCGTCCCCAGTTTGGGGCGAGGGTTATTAGCTCTGGGGGGATTAGCTGTGGGCTTGATGCATCGTTGTTTTTGGTGAGCGAGTTGGAGGTGTGGAAGGATGGGTAGCGAGAGAAGATTGGAGTTGCGAAGGCGCATAGGTGTGCGCGGATCATGGAGTATGCGTGGAGATGGGCTTAGTTAGTGGTCGCATCTAAGTTTCCTATTTTCCTTATCTCACATCTCTTTATAATAATTCTGGAGTATACAAGGCGGAGGAACGGTGGAAGAAGACTAGAAAGTTTCGTCATATTCCATCATGTTATTAATGTGGTCTCCAACTCATTATTTCTCCTTTATTCGTCTTGGAGTCTTCGCTGGGAGGATAGTGAATTCGATAATGCGCCGCGGTATAGTGAGTAAACTGAGTAGGTGGTTAATTGCATGAGTTTGATATCCATATAAGTATGTTCATGATGCTTATTGAGTCCAATTTCGCTCCTCAGTTCCAAACATCTGAACATGGTAGGTCGATTTCATATCATTGTCCTCAGTACAACTGGCAAGGGAGGATGCTATCAATGAAGGACCTCTCTCCATGATTTTTTTCAAACTACCCTTCAACGATGGTTTCTCCTCCCTACCACCCCACCATGCGGCACTGTGCCGCGCTAGAATGAATTATCCTGAAGCCGAAAGGGGAAACCGGGTCGGTCAATTTACAGGATGTTGACGTAAGTATTCAAAGAGCACGCCCACGATTCCACTGGCTGGTTAACTTCCACGCAAGTGCTCAATTGGTTAAGCGTAGGAAAATTTAGGGCTGAGAAACGGGCGCTAAACCTGACTAGTGCTGGCACTTTTTAGCTGGGTTGGGAGAAAAGTTGCGCAGGTATTTTAACTATCCTGAGCTCCGAAAGCACATCACCAGGAACTCCTAACAGAAACGAGCACAAAAAACCTCTCGATTCAAATACATTGACTGGTAGATGATTTAGAATCTTGGACAATGCTTATTGGTTTCTCTCACGCGTATCGCATTTATGCGCCGCCTACACTCTAGAGGCCAATCAGGAGGTCGAGAATCATTGCTCGTATTTCATATGGAAGTGGCATACGGTCAATCTTGATCGTCCCTCACTCAACTGTCTCCATATAACGGCAAAACTTTAATCGAAGCCTCCTCTCATAAATTTCAGCATAGTCCTTGTCGCCATCTCCTGATTCATTTCATCCCCCTCTTTCCAATTCGTCGGCTTTTCATCCGTCAGCACAGAGAGATCCACAGGCTCTGAAAGGTCAATTTGACTCAACTGCGCCATCGAGGTGCAGAGCCCGATTCGGTCCTCGAGGAGCTTCCTTCTGTTTCTCAAAGATATCCAGGCTGCATTTGAATCGGATATTCCGGCGCTTTGAAATAAGGGAACCATGGCCTCGAAGCAATCCAGTTTCGATAAGCTACTGATCTCGAAAGAGGATGATTTTTCGAGTTCGGACAGATGTACTTCAAAGGCAAATTGTGCTAGAAGCAAGGGAGTACTCTCCCCAATCTGGAATTCCCGATTGGACCACGTACTGGGTAAACCTAGGTCTTGTATATGCTTTTCGCTTAGCTGATCGACCCGCATTGTGATTTCTGCATCTGCCTTGTGGGCTAGAAGCGCAACCACCATTTCTAGGTGTCCTGTAATGCTGGCAATACAAAGCGCAGTCCCTAGAACAGGGTGAACATAGTTAATACACTCGGTAGTGTGGAAAGCTGCAAGAACGGCTTGGATAACCCTGGCTGAAATTTGAGACCTGTCGTTTAGCGCGTTTGAGGGGCAAAGCGCGAGAAGATGGAGGGCGCTCAGCTTTTGCGTTTTGTTGACAATGAATTCCACTTGACCGGCGGGCTAGGTAATACTTAGTTTCCATTACTGGGCAAGAAAAATGACCGAAACACTCACATTATTAGAATTGACATTTAGCTTCCGAAGGATATAGTCCACTGATTGCAATGTGGCCTCCGTATGCGTCAGAAGAAGTTCACCAAGGACAGTGATCCACTCTTCCCTCTTATCAAACTGATACAATGCGTTAATATCAGCACCTTTCTCCACAAGTAAATCCGAGAGATCAAAGTAGCGGTTTTTGATCGCAAGCGCTACACTTGAAGGACTTCCATCTGGTAATGGCTCGATAGCCATCCCAGATCGGATCAGATACTCTGCAACAAAAATTCCATTGCGCGATGTTCGTGGACGGCTCGCCGATAGCTGGAGCAAAGAGAACTGTCTTCCATTGCCAACAGTGCGTTTTACTCCCGTTCCTGCGCCACGGTTGACTAGAAGCCGAAATATGGCTTCATGGTTCATCAAAACTGCCTCTTCAATGGGTCTATGGTCAGGCGAGCCATTTGGATCTTGTCCCAATTCCAACAGTGCCTCCACAATGTCGGCATTCCCCAGCCTCACCTCCTGGCATAACTGCATGCCCTCGACCCGTTTCCCAAAATCCAGAGTTCTCCAATCTCGAAGTTTTTCGTGCCTTCGGCGTAAGATCTGAAGAGTTTGAAACATATCCCGCTTATACCTAGAACCGCAACGGACCAACCTACTTTGTAAGGTAGTCGGATCATATGGAGTTATACATCTTCCATGGGCAGCTTGGAGCATTCCGATCTCGTCAAATATGGGCTTTTTCTCCGGAAGCATTTGATCGATGTAGAGGAGCAATACTTCCAGAATGTGAGGAAGAGTGAGGACAGCCGCTAGTTCAGTCGGCGATTTAACAGTAATGTTGTCTTTATGCCCCACTTTTGCTAAGGGGTTCGCACCGAGACCAAGCATAACCTTCACTGCAGGAAGACTTCTCATCAATACAGCCCTCCCTAGCGGCGTTGTTGGAATGCCAAAATTGTCCTCCCAGTCGGCATTTATCATTCTAACATCCTTTCGCATTGTGCCGGTAGCATGTTCTATATTAGCACCAGCATCTACTAATGCTAATGCAAGCGGAGTCATCTTCTCAGGAGTGAAGCTGCAGAGCCAATGGAGGGGTACTTCTTCACCAAATTCTGTTCCACCTCCGTTAGCGCCGCGATCGAGGAGATACATGGCACAGTCAAAATGGCCACTGCGACAAGCACATACAAGGGGAGATTCAGCCATGGATTTATTTGGAAGATCAATGCAGCACAGATATGTCTCAACCATGTACTTAAGTGCTTTCAGTTTTCCTAAGGTTGCAGCCAGATGTAGGAGTCCGTGGCCCTTGTGGTTGACAAAGATTTTATCAAACTCGGATTTCTCAACCTGAGGGGACTCGGCGTTCTTGGTCGCAGAAGAATGTGAACCTTTCTTCCGTAAACAGGAATTATATGCAGTTCCAAGTTCGTCTTTGATCTGATCTTCAAGGATTACAGTGTCATTCAGATTGTAGCATCGGCGTAATTTTCGAGGGACAAAATGGGGCATACCAACCCCGCCTGCGATGGTCCTCCTGGCCCAATCAGCTTCCGTCAACATCATTTCCCATCGTTCTCGTTCATCTATACTAGTCAGTCTCGCTATTATTTCTCTTGCATCCTCCATACAATTGTGATGACCTCTTATAATGCCCCATCGGATGTACTCTTGCAGTTGGTCCAGCGTAAGAGATGGTGGCACAGAAAGAGCGGTGCTAACACGCCATAACCAAGCCATCGCCCAGTAGTCGACATCACCCTTATCATCTGCATTGGCAGATTCATGTAGCCAACGGCAGGCTTGCTTCTCGTCAAATGTGACGCCAAATCCCGTTAGATTGCATTGGAACAAATAATATGCAGCTTTCCATGGCTGTAGCCCATCGGGGGTTCCAGGTCTCGTTTTCTGGCAAGCCTCCTTGAAGTCGCTGACGATCTGTTGTTGTTGAGTCCAGTCAAGAATGGTCCTTAATTTATCAGGTTCAAATAAAAATTCCGCTATATCTGGAGGTGATATTTTTGGTCGATGGCCTGGAGTATTTCTTTGGCAATCATAATCGCTGCCCAAGTTCCCAAGGAAGAAGCCAAGATTGTCAACGGTTAGTCCATGAGAACCCGGTGCCTCCATACTCTCGATCCTATCTCCTTCGTCATTTGCAGCGGCGACTCCCTGAAGAAACGAATCAATTTTACTAAAATGCATACCTCTCAGTGCTGCCTGGGCTCGGGGGAGAGATCTATCCATTGGGTCAACAACGATTGTTTGCAGTAGCACATATAAGATCAATGCCAGTGCGTTCTCATTGATTCCATGGTCTGAAGCATAAACCTGAGTACTGCATACGGCCTTTAGAAGGATGTCATTGTTGAGTTTTAGCTGCTGGAGCAGTCTCTCAGACGATTCCGTAGGGTTAGAATCCAGTCCCAATTCCGTTGCAATATTTCTTCCGTCAATAAACGCTCTCCACACCAACAGTCCGAAGGAGTAGACATCCGTCTGCTTTATTCCATCAGCGGAGAGTCGGTTTGAAGATTCAGGTGCCTGGCACGGGTAGGTTCCCATCGAAAGATATGACAAGTCACGCTGGTCAATATCCATTACCGCTCCGCCGAAATCAGCCAATTTTGCAGTGTATGGCTGCCCTTTAGGGATGTCATATTTGTTGACAAAAATAAGAACATTTTCATGCTTCAGATCGCCGTGGACGATTCCGCATGCGTGAAGAATAGCAAGCCCGCGAGCAATATCATGGCACAGTTTCTGTTTGATGGCAAAATGCAGTGGGGGTCTGTAGACTTGGAGATCGTGGAAGGAACCGAATGTGGCATATTCGATAATTACTTTCGGATATGCAGAATCTGATTCCGCAGATGATCCCCATCCGAATCCCAACAGATGGACAATGTTGGGATGATATCGCAGCGGTTTGTGTAATAACGCGCGAAGTTCAAGGGACACATCACTCCAATTGTTCCGACTACTGGTTGGAGTCGTATGTTAACATCTAGAGTCAATGAAAGCGAAAGATACAATAAAATAATACAACTACCAACCTTGAATTGGGCCTTTCGCGGACGCTCTTGATAGCAATATACTTCCCCCATTTAGAGAATTGTCGGGACAAGGATACATTATTCTCATGAACTCCGGCTATCCATTCAGCACGTTCGACGATAAAGGAAGCGCCTGATCCTATTTTCTGCCTGGATAACGCTTTGATTCCGTTGTTGTCATCAACAAAGATCGAGTCATCTGTACGAAGTGCTTTCTGTAAATGCGAAGCATGGCATATGAAAGATGCAAGACTTCCCTGAGGCGACCATTCTGGGTCCCGAGAGGAGCCTGACGTCTGCGCCTCCGTCCTATAACCGGAAGCTTCCGTAGGCTCGGACGTGAAAGCAGACTCGTAGAGTAGTGTTGTCATGATAGCCCGATGCAGTAAACCCAATTAATGTCACCAAAAATCGACACATGGGATATCAGCAACCTCTTCTATTTATCTCCCATCCTCTTCGTTTTCCGCTCAATGTATATATGTATTGGACACCTTTAAAATGCGGCCTTACCCCTCCAAAGCATACTCTCTATTCAGCCTCAAGAGCCCACGCATGAAAGCGCCTCCAAGCCATCTCGCTTATGAACCGGCCCACCGAATGCAATCGTGAAACCCACACCAGTGACAAGCCCTCGAGGGTGTATTTTTTTTTCCCCGCAGCGTGGCAGCACAGATAGTCTGTTCTGGCCAGCACGAGGCTGAAATAAGAAGCGTGTTCATCCTTGGCGGAGAGAAGGCTGAATGCCATCCTAATAGATAGAAGACGTTAATAAATGAGTTGGCAATTCCCACACAATGTGATCTATACAGCTGAATGCAATAACTGAAGCGAAGTGAGGTTGAACGTTTGACGTCGAAATAGGGTCGTCGGAACACTGCAGGTGGCGCTAGTCTGGCATTTTATATATATATATTTTCCGTTCCCGACGACAATGCTCGACCCAGGCTCGATTATTGCATTGACTCTCCTCGCATATCAAGGCGCAGACCATGCGTGGCACATATTCCAAGACACACTACACTACGCTTCAGATTCAGAAGACTTAATCCTCCAACTCGAACTTGAACGCTTCCGTTTCCAAACATGGGCCAAAAATGCTGGCCTGGAGGAGGGCGAACTCTCTCCCGGCTTACTTCCCGTCTACGAAATCGTGGAAAGAACATTAAAAGTGATTGGCCAACTATTTGAAAATGCGGATGAGCTACGGGAGAGGTATGGACTTTGTGCCTCCCAGTCCGAAGCGCTGGAACCTGACAAAGTGAAGCGATTCATCACCAAGATGAGAAAATCACTTCGAGCGAGTGGCATTAAACTCGATGTTAGAGGAGAAAGTGAAGAAATAAATGGAAATGAGCAGTCCCATGCATCTGAGGTAGGCCGACCTGTCGGGCGGGCAAAACGACTGCGATGGGGTGTTCGGGATAGGAAGCAGTTTCAGAAATTGATAACCGACCTCGAATCACACGTCGAAAAGCTCAATCAATTACTTTCAGAAACCCAACAGAGATCTTTAATAGAAGATCGGAAAAGAATTGATATTGTCTTTGTGGGGAATGCCAATGACAATGGGTCTCTTCAGTGGATCCGAGATGCTCTTGGACAAGAGCCACAGACTTCATCAATTCGTGCATTGGTGGAGCGAAAAGCACTGGCAGGTGGGCGGCCTGTAACGACACGCTCCGGCCCGGCAGCTCTCAGCCCCTTGACGCTGAACGATTTCTCGATTCCTCCTGGATATCATGGGCAGAGCCGTTTCATAGCTAAAAGCATCGAACCCAGCGAATATGTCCTGCTGGAAAAGAAGTCCTATGGTAGTGATATATCCGTGCAAGATAAGCAGATTCTAACAATGAGAGTGAACCGTCTCGTTCTCTTATTAAGCGCGCACAAATCTCCAGATTTTCAAACTTTACAGGCAATTGGACTTATTCACGATCCGGCAAACCTTTGCTGGTGGATAGTCTTTAAATTTCCAATCACGGGCATACCAATGATTACCCCGAATGCGGTCTTGGCCCAACCAGTATCGCTCCTCGCACTGCTAGAATCGAAACTGCGCCCACCATTAGAAACGCGACTTTGTCTCGCCAGCAAGCTCGCCATTACGTTGTCCGAGCTCTACGGCAGCGGTTGGCTGCACAAGAATATACGAAGTGAAAATATCGTCTTTCCAGCCCTGTATGGAGGGAAGTCGAACAGCAAAAGGGAACCATTGTCGCCCGGTATCAACTCTAGCTTGCTCTTGTCACCGCTCGTTGCAGGTTTCCATTACTCCCGCCAGGAGACGGAGACACAAACAATTGACAAAAACCAGTTCCATGACGACATCAGGCCAGTGATCTACAGGCACCCGAACTACCAGGGTGAGGCGGCCCAGGGATACCGGATTGATTACGATATCTACTCGTTTGGGCTGGTTCTGTCAGAGATCGCGTGGTGGGTACCTCTTTCGTCTTTCCTAGATGCGAAGGTGCCCATTGAGTCCGCTCCAGCGTCGATATCGTCATCGACACAAATCCGGTCCTCCACCACTACCACTCTAGCTATTAGCAACCCCGCTACTGCGGTACAGCTTTCCTCCAGTATGAAACGTTTCCAGCGGCCGGAAGCGCTAGAGCTTCGACGACGTGTGATCTCGCGAGCGGACCGTGAGTTGGCGTTCCGCGTTGGCACCCCATATTTTGATGTTGTAAAATGGTGTTTGGAGTACGCTGATCAGCACAATGATGTCGTCGATAGCACAATATGCAAGAACGCTGCGGCTGATACCGTTGCTGCCGCTACTGCAACTGAGGGTTTTACTGATTGGCACCCAGCATTGGAATTTTACAATCGGGTTGTTGTCCCGCTGAAGAAGATTGCCAAAATTGAGTGATGCATGCTTATTACTTGCATGTGGCCTCAATGACGTCACATCAAGGGAATTTTCCGGCTGTGGGCAGTAGCGTCGATGAGGTGAGCAGATGAGCCCTACTATTGTGGTTTTTCCTAGTGTGTGGAAGGGAATGCAGGATACGAGATCGTCGTCGATATTGATTGGGTTTCAGGAATGTATGACTTTTGGCAAACGGATTAGGAGATGCGGTAGAATGGGAATGATGTTTTTGCTCACATGTAATGAATGCTTTTCAAGCATTATTGGTGACTCTTACCTGGATGATGGGCAAGATTTACTGTCTCCTATTTTGCGATTCAGTATCGTCTAGATCTGCGAGCTTGAACTTAGCGGGTGTATTGGTCAACCCTCTGCCATTTATATGAGGAACAATTTGCATATCACTAGGACTCCATGTAAATATGGTCGCGCCCTTCGGATGACATTATAAATATGTACGTACTCCATCGTTGGTGGAAACGGAATACGAATATAAACGGTAGAGTAGAAAACAAAGCATATTTAAATCAGACTATAGTATATAAGGCCCTAAGCGATGATCTGAAATTCGAAGCCAAATGAAATAGATGGTAGATCGCTACATGTTTCTTTTAGAGAAATTTGTAGATAACGCTGTAAGAACCCCAAATTGGAAATATGTGCCCAGCGTCAATGTCAATACAAAAAAAAAAAAAAAAAAAAAAAAAAAAAGGAAAAAGGAAAAAGAAAGAAAGAAAAGAAAGCGGACGAAGTTAGTCATAGATCTACAACGCAATCTCATGTGCGCGTAACCAATACCTTGTACACATTGCTCCATCTACCAATGTTGGATGGGACTAGGTGCAGAGGGCTAACGCGTTTTGAAGCCCTTTAGAAATCGAGCATTCCCTAGGTAGGGTAAAAGACAGCGATGGCATGCAAACGAAGACGTCAATGTGCGTGATGTATGAAGGTAAAAAAAAAGCATGCCCAAATAAATTGATGAAGACATATCCAATGCCATCATCTCCCGGATGGGACGTTTTCTTCTTTCCGTAATTTCAAATTTAATGGTTCCCCCGCCTATCAAGATGACAGATTTGACTGTTCTTTGTTGTGTTGACTGACCCGCGGCGAGCGGCCAGTGTCCCCGTTTCGATCGCTACCGTCTTGGCCAACTACTGATGGAAGCCTTTCGATCTGCCGCTGTGTATGCCGGTGCATAATTCTAGAGTAATCCTCCAACGTTTGTGCCTCGTGGAGCGAGTCGGAGGTCATGATGGAGGAGGGAGCGTCATCTTGGCGCGCAGGAGATTGTCGATGACGCTCCGTCGAGGCAGGATGTGATCCTGCCATAGACGAGCGCATATAATCCTGCATATGAAAAAGGATGGATAGTTGGGGGGGGGGGGGGAAGGTTGCGGGAGAGAATGGAAATAGGTGCTGTTAGATGCTTTGTGATTTGTGAGATTTTGGTTCTTTTACTGAATATAGAAGCATCAGGGCCAAATAGTCCAAGATCAATAAGTAACATATAAGAGAAATGCAGCACTATAAGCCGGGAAGCTGTTGTGGATGGTTATTGTTTAAGGGGTTGAGAAGGCCATAAATGATAGTCCCTCACAACTTCCACACAAGCCCAATAGGTTGGGAGTGGCGCTGGAGAGAATTTAGCCAGGTCATCCTGCTCTTATAATAAGGCCTCAAAAATAAGAAATCCTGCATAAGGCGAAAAAGCTAAGAATATGCTTCACCGGAATATCCAGTGCGTGGATAAATGCCGGAAGTATGGCCCACAAAAAGCAGGTAGAGCATGAAGTAGGTTATGAAATGGCTGGGCGTCAGGGTATCAATGGAAAAGACCTAAGCGAAAATATCGTAGGGTATAAGAAAAAAGGAAATGAGAAATGAGAAATGAGGAATGAGGAATGAAGAAGTGATATCACTACAGGCAGAGGGAAAATATCTGCACAAGGTACCAGCTAAACCATGGCGGTGAATCCTGGGGAAATCCACCTATATAGATGTCCTCAACGTCAGAAAAGAATGAGAAAAAATTTTTGACAACCACTTACCGAATGATATCGCTGTGTGTGCTGCGCAACTGATCTAGAAAGAAGAAGAAAACCCTAGGACTTAATAGAATTATATGAGTAGAAATACACTGGTGGGTTAAAAATATTCGAGAGCTATGTCGTCACCAACGGGCCGGTGATGATATAGTTTGATAATCTGGCTTGTCAAACCAAGGTATCGGTTTCCGTTAACAAAAAATTCAGAATCTAGTACGGTTGCGTCCTTCGTTCCCCACCTGTACTTCGTATTCTTCACTACTATATGCACGCATGCTGATAGCCCATGCAGGCAGGAGACCAACAGTGATAAAATGCCAAGTGTGCGGAGGTCAAGGATATGTTGGCCTCCACAAGTATGACGTCCAGGAACGGAAGTATGTAACCCAGTTCGTTGAATATCCTGTTATCTGATCTTCTTGCGGGGCAAGTAGTCTCGTATGCAACCAAACTGCAGGATGGCGGTCAAAGGCCTCGCCACGTGCTATTCATTGCTATAGAACGCGTTATAGTAGCTAAAAACCCTAAGACCCGCGCGGTGGAGAGGCTTCAAGGTTAACGTATATAACAAACTACCCTTAGCAAAAGAGAGCACTTGTGATCCTACATTATATATGATTAGCCGCCTGCAAGATTGACATTCTGGTTTCGACTCTATCCAAAGACCCACACTCACCACAATGACAATTGGAATTGGAGTCTTGAACCCATAATAAAAAATGTAATGTCTATTAGCCAGGTAACTAGTGGATAGGATATGCATTGTTGGCCTTTTTTGATAGTCACAACTGGTCACCACCTGAACATTCAAGGTGAGGTTGGTTTGCAGTCGATGAGGCGACCTCATCATGACATCATTATCCAACCTCAACACACTATCACGTGATTATATTGCTGCGCCACAATGATCCATTCATGATGTTAACGGAGTAGAATAAATCTCGATCTTCACATGCAGGGAGGGAGAAGGTTGCACAATGCCACAGAAATGGAAAATCCAGCTTGCCTGTACGGTAATTTAAGAGTAAAATATATAAATAAATAACTAGCCAACACACACATGACAATTGCAACGAGGATTTAATCGGACAGGTATAATAAAAGTAGTAGAGACCCTTATAAACTAAATGAGGCTCTATCATTATAACAGATTCTGCGTGCCAGCCGAACTATCAATAATATATGAATATGAACAAATTCATTCTCATTTATACCATAAATTAATATAAGAAAAGCCCATGTCGTCCTGTCGCTGAATGTAAAGTCAATTCAAACAAGAAAGAAAAAAGATCCCCGCCGATAGCCGCTATATCATACGTAGCCTAAAGAGAAGCAACAAATATCGAGTATTAGCAATTCTATATTTGGAAAAAGAATGACAATGGCTCACTACTTTGGGGAGATAATCCTTTGAAGCCATTGAAAGAAGGGAGAAGTAGTAGAAGACGAAAGGGCATACCTTTCCTCGCGCCCTGGAAAAAGAACCGAACAATAAACACCTGCAATCCGGCCATTGTCATCATCATCAAACCCTCGATAACGCTAAATTTGAAAATTCGCTGCTCGGTACTGCGGACAGTGCTGAAATTGCGGTTCTCGCGCGTTCGGAAGTACTTCTGGTTTCGACTGATTGTCGCCAGCTGGCCTGAGATCTTAAAGATGGATTCTTCGAGTGCAGACGCTTGTTCGGGAGGCGCCCCCTGCTTCGCGGGGAGTTTGGTCTTTTCTTCATTCTCGACCTGTAGCAAGGGAAAAACGAAGCGCATGACGGTTAGGTATAACAAGGTCCAGCAAGCTCTTACACGCATACATAGTGTGAAAGATGCGGGGAACAAAAAACATACCGCAATCTCAAAGTCCACCATCTTCTCCGCAAAAGTTGACATCTCATTGTCAAAGCAGAACCGGTACTCGCCTGCGGTATCTGCGCTGAAGACAAAGTCGCCCTGTCTCTCTCTGTGTCCGTCGACAATTACCCTCTCGCCAGGACCAACCACTGAGTAATCGACATCGAAGGAACCGCCAGATTGTACCTATAAAAGAAAAGAAAATATCACACAGAAGTTAGTCGGCAGTTCATATGATGCACATTGCTACGACAAGCTAACGATTCAAAACCCAATGACCCAAAATTCCCCTTTATCCCAGACACCATTTTTAAAAAGCTGTCGAATGTATACTAACCGCAAAATAAAATGCAATCTTCGCCGGCGGCTCATTGACATACGAATAGAAGCAGGCCTTCTCACTCGCATCGAGCTTGTATGTCAGGGCAGTTGCGGAGACGAGGGTGAACCCGTAGGCCAGCAGGCTGAGTGCAACTGTATGTAACCGCATTGTTACAATGGGCCGGGCCTCATGCGATGTCGTGGGATTGAGAGTTAGTCGTTTGTAGATGGTGAAGAGTAATAAATAAATGCAGCTGCTGTCGACAGGTAGCTTTGTTGTTCCATTTGGCCATTTGGCCGGAACAGGGGGTTTGTTTGCACTGTTTGCATACTTAGTTAACTCAGTTATCTGTGACATAAGCAACATATTGCGACCCAAAAAAAAAGGTTGATATCAAGAAGATGCGCAATTCGAAACCAATAATGTTCCTTGTCATTCAGGTCCAGCTCCAACACATCCCTCTACCCCCCCAAACACTGACATTCATGTTCAGGCTCATGAGCAAGAAAAACAGCACGGAGCATGAAACGGATGAGACAGTCCGGAGTTCCATTAGGATGATTGCGGAAATCCAGATCTGGCTCATTTGTCATTTGCGTCCTCTACTGTCATCTAACTAAATAAATTTTATATCTTCGCATTCGTATGAGAACGCGAGGCGTAAAGGCCCCTGTTTTCGGTTAAAATATTCTCGGACATAGCAAGTACTGCAATACAACAGTTCTTATCTCAGTTTTTGATATAGAGAAATTATGTCGAGATTGAAAAAAGAAGGGCGGAAAGCAACTACCTCCGTATGAACGAGAAGAAGGAAGAAGTAAGAAATATTGGGATGAAGAAATACGGGGAGGGTGAAAAAAGAAGAGAAATAGGAAAATGGAGAAAAATTATAGGAATGGAAACAGGTCGAAATTATAGAGGATAAAACCACCATATAGCGCGAAAAACGAAGACAAGAATCGAAATAAAATAAAGTAAAATAAAATAAAAGCAACATCAAACGCCTGGCCCATTTTCAATCATGCGTCTATCGAATAAAGAAACTTTCACTTCTCCAGAAGCTTCTGTTCTTATTTACATAATCCAGCGCGAGCGTTTCTTGTGGCTCGGTAACTAGATCTGCCAGAATATCGTCTGTAAAACGGACCATAGTGAAAAAGAGAAACAGGTTAGCGACAGAAAAATAATACGGCATCAGGGTTGACAGTGTTCAACCCGTTGGAGAAGAAAAAGGAAAGGATGAATGAACTTCTAAAGGAGACGACGTACCATCTTCAAGATATCTTGGGACACAGAATCCCTGACGTATGGCCATGGCAAACTTGATCTTCTCAAGCTGCTTGCCTCGAAAACCTGTTCGTTTCGAGAGCCGTTCCTTTGTCTGCTTGAAGATCTCGCCCTATAAAGTGTAAGTATGGTTAGCAATGTATTTTCATGGAGTGCAAGAGGGTTGGAGAGCGGTATCTGGGCTCTGAAAAACATGGATATATCCGTACCGGCTTCACAACAAATCTAAACGGGATACCATGCGGCTTGTTGGGATCCTTATCGAAGTGGAAACAGTCAAGCGTGAATTCACCTTCTTGCATCTCAAGTTCCTCCTGTGGGATCCTCTCGATGTAGAGGATCACATAGTCTGAGAGGCTGAGAATGGAGAAGTGTTCAGGGATTTCTTTCAACACCTTGCCGCCATAGACTTCATAAACACGCAGATTTTGGGACGTCTCCTCGTCGAGATTGGCCCTCTTCTTGAAGCTCAAGACGAGGTCACCAATGGTGCCGTTCCTAGCGACGAGAACATCAAATGGTTGCTGCACCAGATAGAGTTTGTCAGACAGCCAGAACATGAACGGTTAATCAATTGAAGGGGGAGAAAAACAAACCTCTTTGGCAACGCCATCTGGTAGCCAAGTGACCTTTATTATTTTCTTCGTTTCATATTCGCTTAGACTGGTTTCCAAAACTTCGTAATAAAGGGCATCTGGTCGATGCGGGGCGTATCCGTAACTTGAATACTGGCCGGTGAGTATCTGTTGGAGATTTTGTGGCGCATTTCGCTTAATGAACGGCTTGGGTTTTCCACTGTTCTGTAGCACAGGCGCAAATCGTATATGAGTCGGGTCGACATTCAAATGTTCTCCAACTTTCGTTGTCCATTGCTCGTATGTCATTTTGCGGCTGAGTGTCAAATCGAAAGTTACGCTATCATCCGGCTTTAGGGGAGCGAATTTGACTGAGATTCGATTGAGGAGGTAGTCATAGTATTGTCTGGCGTCTGTGTACAGGACAGTAGGAGGGAGTCTACGTGAGGAATTAGCATTTATAAATAAGAAAAGAAGGAAAAATGAATATTCAGGGTTATTCATACTCAGAATCGCTGACTTGGCGTTGGAAGCAGATGATATCACCGTCCTGTATTTCCGACTGGTGGAACGTCTGTTTAGACTTCATTGGCTCGATCATGGAGTGTTTGATTTCCTAGTTGTTCTGGTAAGCCCTACGAGTCGTGGAATGTGGGAAATAAACACATACCTCATATAATAGGAATGGGGTTCCTGCCGGCCAATTCATAATATCCAGTATTGGGCCAGCCAGTTCTGACACTTTCGAGTGCTTTCGAACAAAAACATGACCAACTCCAGTTAGAGTTTGCTGGAGAACATCAAAATGCTTCAGGAAGACAAGGCTTGTCGCATTACTGCCTTGTGTTTCCGGCCAAGTTGTTTTTCCATCCGCTGCGATTTCTCCTTCTTCAACAAACAAGCCGAACTGGTTTCCCTTGGTGCCAAACCGATCGAATGCCTCCTCAACAGACATATCGAGATCCTTCAAGGGTTGATCAGGGCGAGTAGTTTTATTTTGACGGTTAACCATTACCCACAGCCTGATCTGCTCTGGCTTCAATCCTCTTTCATCGGCAATCTCAGCCGCAAACTCGCCAACCGTTTTGGTCCTGAGGACACGGTACATTTTGGCAGCTGCGGGATTATTAGGCTCCAAATCCAGGCTGGTCAAATCGAATCCGTGATGAGACTTGAAGGACTCATCGGTTAACAACCCAACGTTCATATAAAGATGCTGTTCCTCTCGCTCCTTTTTCTTCCGCGCTAATTCAGCACGTTCTTCATTAAGGCGCTTTTCTATTATGATTTAGACGGGGTTAGCAGTCGTAGATTTGGATAATTTTTAATTTATTGGCAAAAAGGAATACACAATAGAACGACGTACCGAGGTGTGCAGGTACGTCATCTTTCTTCAAATCAACGAGGACCTCATCCACTCGAGATTTCCTGATGTAAACCAGCATGTACGCGTTCATTGAGCGCTTTGTGGAGTAGCCTCGCATATATGGCTGTCTGACTCCGGCCGTCCCATTAGCGAGGTTGGGATATTCTCCACCGAAATTTTCTTCTAAGGTCTCTTTCATGGTTGAGCGAATAACTTTGTCGTCGTCAAACCTATAAAACACACTATCCTTTGTTGGACGTAGATATGCATAGTAGTGCCCAGCATTGAAGTCACCGCTATGTACAAGAACGCCGTGAAGTTGATAGATCCAAGGTTCCGATTTATCCGCATCCTCGGAAAGGTACGGTGCCGCGTCAAACTCCTCTGGGAATTCAAGCCTGTCATTGATTTTCATCATCGCGTCTCGGTTGATGTCATATTCAAATCGTTTGAGGTGCAGGTGAAGAACGGGAGGGAAGCTCTCGAATATCACGCCCTTTTTTGCCTCTTGAAGTTTATAAGGTTCTCCAGCATCATACTTGTTCTCGCCTTCCAATGTTTCCACCTGAATATAATCTTTGAAGCTGTCATCAAGCGTCCGGTTACCCCGAACGTTCAGCTGGATATCCCAAAAGTCCTCTATTCTGGACGACTCATAGTCAACGTGAATGCAAGATATATACGTCTTTGTCTTTCCAACGAAAAGTGAAGGGAGTGCTTTTTCAGCAGGAGTGCCCTTCATTTGTCCTTCCAGTTTGTCCATCAATAATCTTGAAAGCTCTTGGACATCCTGTTGTTCAAAGGTATGTCTCGATTCCCAGCCGAAGGAGGATGTGAGTTCGGCTGTCGACACTGGAAGATCGCTAGTTTGGAGATGGTAAAATAGTCGTTGAAGGGTCCACGCGGAATTTGACTTATTGGCGTCTTGCTCCGTGGGTATTTGATACACGGCCTACCACCTCGGATTCAGCGGATGTTGTTAGCACGGGGCCAGATGGAGTCTCACCTTTCGGAACGAGTTTGTGAAAAATAAGGACTGTAGTAATGAATTTAGATAGCAGGTGGCGCCCTGGTTTCTGAGCCCAACCATCCCAGTTTCCTTCTTCGAGTCATAACTGCAGTGGGTTGTTAGCTGGGTAGAGTTGAAGTGGCAGGACGCGATATACAGACTTTTGGAAACTATGCCATAAAACCCCTGTTGGATCCTTTACAACGCGGACGTATGCGGTAAGGTTGGCGGCCTCATTTTCTACCAAGGGAGTACCTTTCTCGTTGAAAGACTGCTGGAATAGTTTCCGCAGTTCGCAAAACCGTGTAAAACCCCAGTCTGCCTCTTCTGCGTTGAAGCGGTGGTGTGCGACTAGAGAGCCGAAAGATAGCCGGGGTCCAGGTGTTAGTTGATATATCTTATTTTGGAGGTAGAAAAGGAGCTGCATACCATGTGTAATATACAGGGAAGGATCGTTTTTATTCCATAGGACCAACGCAAACTGTACACAAGCATACCAACCATCCGGAGGTGACTTCTCATAGCCGTGTTCGAGATAGAACGATGCATGTTCGACGCCGTTTCCGAATGGGAAAAACAGAACCCGCCTAAAATTCCCGGGGATTAGAAAGCAAGCTCTCACTTCGTAAACGATCGCATAACGGGTTGGGGACTAGAATCATCAGGAAAAACGCACCATGGAGCTCCTCCGCATTCAAAAACCGGACCATGTTCCTTTCGCCGCATTTTTGTCCAGTTCTCGATGTTCCATGTGTGATATGTCTGGGCTTCTGTTTCTAAATCCGGATTCTCGGGTAGCACCTTTGCCATCATCGCCTCATCTACAAACAGGATGGTTTGTTAGAATATAGACCAACCCAAAGAACATGACACTCCATCACAGGATCCATTATGGCAGAGGAGGGGGGGGCTGCGTGTCGGTGTGCGGCGGGTGGCGGGCTGCCGACAAGAGGGTTGCAGCAAGGTCAAGCGGGGCATCGCAATCGATAAGGCACCGTACGCGGTAGAGACGAGGGCTTGGATAATTCGTATTGCCATGGAGGAAAGAGAGGAGCAAAGAAAGGGAGAAAGAAAGGGAAGGGAGAGCAAAGACATACAGTCGTTAGCCAGAGGCTCCGGTTCGGGCTCACTGGCGGATCCCGGGGGTGAAACGACGACGACATCAGAGCGGTCATTACCGTACTGGTCGTAGCCATCAACAATCATATCATTATCCGTAAGCTGCAGATTATCCATTAACGAGGGCATGTCAGTCGTATTTCCATCATGGTCGCCCATAGTGGCTAAGGCTGGTGGTTGAAGACCGGGGGAGGAGGTTTGATACGGCATGGTGTAGTTATTATAAATATACAGATGAAGAGAAAGGATCCAGGAAAGCACTCACGTTGTCCATTATTTGCGGGCAGGATATCGCCGGGGCAATGGCAAAGTGCGGCTTGTGCCTCTTGGGGCCCGAAAATTCAAGACACAGAATCAAAAAACAAACAGGTAGACACTGTGTTGTGAACAGATGTTGCTGGTTGGAGCGAGACCGGGGATAGATAAATAGGTGGAGAGTAGTTGGTGTGGATGTTGCTTTTTTATTTCACTTTTTTTTTATTATTTTTGATTGTATTGATTTAAATAAATAGTCGACTTAAAATATCGTTTCTCCTGCAGCCAGATCAGTGTCACAGGGCTGAGTGGCGGGAATTCTTCTTGTATTTAACAGCGAAGTCTAATATCCGACATTTAAATATCATATTTATCATATCAACTTAATAAGTGTGAACCTTGTTATAATAGTTAGTTTAAATACTTACCTCTATTCACAACGCAGAAATGGTGACTTGAATAAATACACGGAAATATTTAAATATTTAAGCCGCTGCTGGTGGGAGAACGAACGCCTTGTTCCGGCAGTATTTAAGTCGCAAGCCACTTTCTGATATTAAATAATATTCTACACTGTCACGATGGCATTCTGAGATATATCAGTTGGTAATTTATATCTTCAAGTACACATGCGGCAGCTATACGTTATATCACGCGCTATTCATGGATGTAAGTGGCAACTGAATGCTGTAGAAGTTGGCTTGTAAAGTGTCTTTTGATAAATATTATTATAGTATAAATTGCTCATATATATATATATATATAATATAATATCCCTCCGTTGAGAAAACAGAATCTACCTCTACGGCATCATGCAATGACGTATTTCAACGAACGCCCATCTACGGACTATAGATATGTGCTTGTTAGGTGTCTACATAGTTATTCATACCTTCAATTCGAGATCGGTTTATTCCGCACTGACAACAGTAAGTTACATTTAACTATTGCGGTGCTATCTCCACAAATATCAATATCCAAAGCACTCACTCACTGTTCACAGCCACAATGTGGGCCCATCACCGACTTCATTCAATACCTGCAGCAAACATATTCACTGTTGAAGCTCGTTGGCGGGATGACCAGAATGACAGCTTGAGTGATATTTATTTACACAACATGAAACAAACTGGTCCGCCGCCCCCAGCATTCATTTCAGCACCAACCATGGCTTCAACCTGTTGGTTTCCATCCTGAGGACCCAAATCCGCTTACCTGGAATTTGACAAAGGTGTAGAACACCATGCTATCCTAGCTGCAAGCCTGAGCAGAGTTTACTCAATTGAGTATATTCATTTGAGGATATCCACGTGGCAAAGGAGGGCTTCGCATCCCATGTTGTTTCGCCATTCTGCAGTATTTGAATATTGAAAACAAATCCATAGGTCATCCTGGAGATTGTCAGAAAAGTGATGATTATTGACAAAAAGCACAAATTGCAGATTGAAAGAACTGTGAGAGAGGAGGAGGAGGAGGAGGAGAGTGCAGCCAACACCTAGACACAGTTGAAATCCAGCGAAACTTGGGATTGGGGAAGAAGATGAAGCCGCTCACAAATGACCACCAGAGATCCTTTATTCCTAAGCAGTTTCCTGTTCTGCTCTGTTCATCACTTGGCTTGTCCAGATGGGTCTCGTTGAGGTTATAATACCAGGATATCCGCACTACTCTGTACGGATGTACTCATTCTGAAAATGTTCCTCCAATTATTATCAACAAAGCTGCTCAAGAACAAACCAATTTGACTTGGCGCAAGTCTGCAAGAACAATTGAACTAGCCTAAATAAATAGCTGATGCTGGTTTGGGGCTCCCTGGCTTTTGCAGAAGCCGTTCACCAATTAAATATTATTAACCTATTTATAGTAAGTAGTAACTAATGGGTTCCCCCCCAGCAGCGGAAACATGGGGGCAGCTTAACCTGAAATTTCAGATAGCTCAACTTCCTTTTGCAAAGCCTAGGCTCGTAATTGGGAGCTGCGGGGCATTTATTTTTATTTGGAGCTCCGACAGGGGGCTATGTGCAAGGCTGGAAGCTATTTATTGCCTCCTTGAGGCTCTTTCAATCGGTCCTATTTAAAGCCCTGGGGGTTTCGCTCCATCTGCCAATGCGGTTTTCGTCTCCCGGGAGCGTAATGGCTAGGATTTGAGGCATTCATTGCACTGGAGAAGAAGCATCTTAGAAAGATTAACTTATAGTTAATACCGCTCTTGTTTCCCAAATAGTTACTTCAGGCGCTCTCCCTCCAATTCAGATTGGACAAACACAGTCGTTGAAGAAGCGCCAGCTACTACACAACCATGCCCCTAATCACAATTAATTCTAATTTACTAATGTTCTCATAGTTGCAGTAATTACAGGAGGGTGCAGACAAACGAGATATGTTGGCCTTGCGTGAACTTCGTGTTGTCCCCGCCCGCTTCCTCTGTTCAGCTAAAAGTCAACATGCTGTATGCATGTCTTTGCCTACACGCCGGCCTTATAACCATACAGCTTTGGAACAGAGCGACTCGATACGGCTAGCGGAGATCCTACCAGGCCAGAGCAACGACAACCTACAGCTAAATTTACAACATACGACCCTGCAAAACGCCCCCGCCTACGAAGCTTTATCATACGAATGGGCAGGGAACTTGGGTTTGAGACCAGTAAAATGTGGCTCGCAAGAATTTCGTCTGTCCGCCAACCTGAGAGCAGGGCTAAAACGTCTGCGATATACGAACCGGAGGAGATTGATATGGGTAGACGCCATCTGCATTGATCAGGATAATAGCCAGGAGCGCTCTCATCAGGTTTCGCTGATGAGGGACATCTATCGAAATGCTCACAGGGCGTTAATTTGGATTGGAGAGGAGAAGGAACATACAGGTGCGGCCTTTGAGATTATTCCGGCATTGGCAGAGAATTGGGCTGCGCAGGGATCACAGGACGACAAACCTCCACCTATGCCGCCCCGTTCTACGGCGGAGCCCCATGCAAACCAACTCTTGGATCCGTCCAATAAAGCCCTATGGAACTCCATCATCGATGTATTCACTCGACCGTACTTCAAACGGACCTGGATCATACAAGAGATCATCGTCTCCAAAGCTGCCTCTGTGATATGCGGGGGGTGGATAGTGGACTGGACTTCCTTCCATCGAGCTGCAAATCACATTGTCCAAGATGAGTTTCGAGCATTCCGGGAGCCTCAGCCCTCAACACTATTCCTCATCGCTCTTATACGGCGCATTGAGCGGAGGTTTGAGAAGCGTGACCTGCGCCTGCGCACTCTCCTCCGCCATTTCCGCGCCTCGAAAGCCTTAGACCCCCGCGACAAAGTGTTTGCGCTACTTGGTCTCATGTGTGGCAACCATACCTCACCCATCGATAGGCAACCGAAGAAAATAAAAGCGGACTACACAAAGCCAGTCGAACACGTATATCGTGAAACAGCTGCATACATCTTCATGGAAGAACAAAACCTCAAGCTTCTCACAAACGAATACCCGCCAAATGCCCGAGAGCGCCAAGATATGCCGTCGTGGGTTCCCGACTGGTCAGCCAACACAAAACCTCTCCACCCTCTAATACGCCAAAGTGACCGGCTAAGCCAACTCATAAAAGGCGACATCCACTGCACAGACACCTCCCTGTTCGTCAACGGCAACATCTTTGACACAATAAGCTATGCGTCCGAAGTCGTAACCGCGGCCAACGAACGCTTCATCCTTCGCAATCTCATAAACATCATGAAAGCAAGAACAACAACTACCAGCTACACCACTACAAACCAATCGCACAACGAAGCTCTCTACCGCACTTTAATCGCCAACAACGCCAACGTGCGCCCGGCGCTGGACGAGGCGGAACGCTATTTCTTCTACCTGCTCCGCGACCGCATGACAACCGTGGATATACCCATTGTCCAAGAAGGCCTCTTCAATGACCTCGAACACCTCCTCAAGCCGGACCCCACAGAGAAATGGGACCTGTATTTACTCGAATTACGCCGGACGCTCTATGATCGGGCCTTTTTCACCACGCGCAAGGGGTATATGGGGATCGGGCCGAAGGGAAAGACGAGGATGAAGGTTGGAGATAAGGTAGCAGTTTTGGGTGGAGGGTTTACACCGTTTATCCTTAGAGAGATGGATGTTAGTGCTGGTGTTGGCAGCGATGGTGGTGGAAGGGGTTGTTCTACCCTTGTGGGCGAGTCGTATATTCATGGAATGATGGAAGGTGAATTTTTAGAAAAAGGTCAGGAATTGGGGTATGAGAGGATTGAAATTCGGTGAGTGTCCATATGCTGGGCCACAAGAAAAAGGTTGGGTTGTTGATTCGGCGATTTTCTCAACTAGGGTGGTGTCTCTTACCGTCCTCATTGCATGGAAGCATCGGCGTTTGGGTTTCTGTATCTACGTATTATACCACTTCCCCAAATAATCACCATACAGCAAATGATTTCTATAGATACCCTACTGATCTTGATATTACATTAATACCTTGTAATTATACGGAATTTATCCTACTTTTGAAAATCAGGCTGTCCCTATGTTTTATGGTTTGTGAAGAGAGAATCGCAAGAATAAATTGCCCGTCCCCGAACGAGCGAAACAAAATCCAGGACATTGAGATTCATTCGAATCGTAATTGAAATAACGTAAACGTAGACTAAGGCTTCATAAAAGGGGGTATATATGGTAAAAGAAAACAGGAAAAAGGGCCAAACTCCCACGCCCACCTAACACCAGCTCCACCAGTATGCCACCCGGTATCATCTATATATGGCGAACAATCCCTCCCCCCGTTTCTAGATTCCCAACCATTGATAACTAAAGATCGGTCAATTCGGATTTCTCACTCCCGTGGAGACCGGAAAGCTCAAATACTCCGGTCCAAATTCCTCAACGATCCATTGGCAAAACTTCGCCCAATTAGCCTCCCACGTCCTAAATGCATCAGCCCTCTGCTCTGCATCCATGCATGAATGTTCAATGCTCCACTCGGCCAGAACACGCCAGCCAAAAAGCGTCATGGAGTCGTGGTGTAGGATGGTTTGGTAAAAATCGTGTGAGAGTGAAGAGCTTATCGTTCGAGAAGAAAATTGGCTTAGCCACGCGATCTACACACACACACACACACACACACACACACACACACAAGGGTCTTCAAAAGTAAAGCATGTCTGAAGGACTCACCCAAAATACGCCGGATTATCGCTATTAATCGTACATGGCACCGAATTTGCCAGAAGCGTTGGTAATACATGGCCCTTCATGGACGCGCACAGGTGAAGGACCTCATTGGAGATAGGGCAGATCTCCAGCGCAATGCCACGATCACGACACAGCTGCATGAGTAGCGGGTGTTGCGGCATCGAGAAACCGTGGCCGATGCGTTTGGAGCCAAGCAGAATGGCATCGTAGAGGTTGTTGTCTGTTGGTCCTTGGCTCTCAAGCGTCTCCCCCGCGTGGAAGATGAACGGGATGTCCAAGTCGAGTGCGGTGCACGCGGCTTTAAACTGCAGGAGTTCGGAGATGTAGTGTCGGATTGGGTTGCCTCGGCCTTCGCAGCCGACCATATCGAATCCTATTTGGGTTGGGGGATTTTAGTTAAATGGCGACAACGCTTTTGTGGGTGGGAAAAAATGGGGGATGAAAATCACGAACCGCAGATCAATTCTGGAAATTCCTGCTTTAACGAGATGCAATCTTTGAGACACCAGGCCATGTCCTCATTTTTAATAGAGCGTGGAGCGCAGTAGATTACTTTCAAGCCCTTGAAACGGCCAGCGCCTTTGCCGTCTGCATCGAGTTGCTTGATTTTAGCCTTAACTTCGTCCCGGATGATCTGCATCCAAACACGGTGATCTAATTGTCTCTCGCCGTCGTCGCTTGGAATGTACTTGTCGAAGAAGTTTGGCCGGACTTCAGCGTACATAACGTTGTCTTCGACGAAACTGTCAATAGCTTTTCCTATATAGTTTCGGAACGCAGATTCATAATTGAACAGCCCCTTCATCATCTGTGTGCTGCGATTGAATAGATCCCAAACACTACATGTGGATTTTTAGTAAGAGAGTTCTGGTCATATATAAAGGGGGAAAATAAGGATGTAATCATACCCATCTAAAGTTTGATCCATCCCGTGGGCATCCTCCGGCGAAATAAGCAGTTTATTCACCAGCCATTCCTCCGCCCTTTCCGCGCCCCCAGGAAAATCCTCTAGAAACTTGGAATATCTCATCCAAGCCAAAGGTTTGTAATTTGTGTCGAAAATATCTGCTCCCTCAGTCGAATCCCGTAGGACAGAAAATGTTATGGCTGTATTGTTCAAATTACCAAGCTGTGCATTCAAAGACAACGTGCTCCGGATGAAAATGCATTTGATATTGCGCGCTTGGGAGACAAGGAATGAAGGATGAAGGATAGTGTTGAAATGGCAGTGCAGATGCGCACCCTTGGGCAGCCTTTGGGCTACTTGCATCAAGTCACTACCATGATTGATCAGGCCAGTATTCGCGAGAAAATAGTCTGAGGCGCCCGATGCCAGATATCTCCTCCGCTCCTGGCCGCGGATCGCTTCTAGAACTGAAGCTGCATCTTTCTCGCTTTTAGACGCTTTGGCGATGGCGGCGGCATCGAAGGCTAGTTCGCGTTCTTGCTGTTGCAGTGTGTTGAGGGCTTCGAAATAATCTGCTGCTGACGCCGGGGTGGTTGAGGTTGGGCTGTGCGTCGAGGAATGTTTATTCCTCTGAGTTTTTTTGTTGTAGGAAAAAGTTTCCTGTATCCATTGGAGGTGGACCATTTCCTTTCTGAGGGTTGAGATCTTCGATATGCTGGGGAGTTTCGATTCTACACCCTGAGATGCTTGTTCCCCGTTTCAATAATATTACGACTCTGTTAACTGTGAGCACCTCGGGAATATATAGATCATGAAATTGAGCATCGAATGCTCAGTGAGGCGGTGCTTTGTTCTATCCATTTACTTAAAGCAATCTTTATTCCGCTGGTTTCATCCCCCCCCGCTGGCGTTTCGTGATGAGGATTCCTTTCTTCGTTCTTTTGTGTTGGAAGATTCTGTCACCGGTGGTCGAATTGTCAACAAAATCCACGACGGATTTCAAGAAGTGGCTGAAATCCATCTCGGATCTCTCCTGTCTCCAATAGCGGCCTCCACTGGCGCGTGGCTGTGACTGACTGCGGCGGATGGGATGCCTTTGAATCCGCACACCACTCCTTTTCTGGCCATTGGCCTTCGTACACGGGCCGTTTCTTGCACTAAACTAGCCACGCCCAGCGGGTCCCAACAGACCGACAAGTTTTGATAGGCTAATTTGTTGCATTTGTTGCATTCCAGAAGCTCTGGAGTGCACGGGATGCAAGGCTGCAAGGCGGCACAACCGAGCGCCCGCCTTCTATCAGCCGCCCGCATGGGGAATTTTGGCAACAAGAGATCGGTTTCTAGTTGTTCAATCTATCCTCGGGGCGTCAATAGTGGGTTAAACTACGATGTGTTAAATTACTTGACGTCCAAGACGTCTTCAAAGCCCGTGTCTCTCGAGCCAACAGAGACAGCCACTGTCTGCCTGATATCCTCCACAAAAACGAGCAGGCTGAATCGACCAATCGACACAAACCAGCAAGATGCTCAGATTCCCCGAGAACCGCGATGACTGGAGTCTGGATATTGTTAGTTTGCTCGCCGTCATTGGCGAGAGTGCCATGTCGGCGCACTCCCAACCGCTAACAGCTTCAATTCTGTGTCTGCTTCCTCGTATCCTGCCTGCTCCGCAGGCGCTTCTCAGACACGAGCGGCCAACACGTCTGCCTTCCATTCCGGCACACATCGTGAGCATTCACTCCGGCACCCTGCTCCTGGAGCTCAACCATTTTGCAAACCTCGTCTACAACATCGATCTTCCTAGCTTTGCCGTTCGAGAGATCCGGATCAAACATAGAGAAGGCTACGCAGACACCCTCAGTGATGAAAAGAAACTTAGAAATCGTATTCTTCGAACGCCAAAGGGTGTCATTCATGCTCAGCCCTTTTCGCCCTTAGCTCTTCTCTCAGTTGCTTCATTCCTTCTGTCGGTTGGCCTGTGCGCATGGGCTATTATCCTCGAAGATGGTGTAGCGGTCATTGCGATCGTGGTTGTGTCATTCACATCTAGTATCATTGGATTATCTTCCATGTGGCATCCAAACTTGACGGTGCGGAAACGCAAAACAGTTGTGCCGGACGGTGACCTGATTATTCGGACGAGACAGGGCGCATTTATAATCATACGGTGTACGGAAGAGATCGCCCGCGAACTCTACACGGGCACAGAAGAATGTAGCTACGTCGTCAGTGACCAAATATTCCGCGCGTTGGTTGGGGTGGGCACATTTCTGCTCATGAGCGCGGTGATCCTGATGGGAAATTCTACCTGGACCATGCAGGCGGCACTCGGCGGTTCATACGTTTTACTCAACGGCTGCTATCAGATCGCCGCGCTGTTCCCTAGAGGATGGCATTGGAACCTTATACGTTATGAAATGAAGGAGATACGAAACATAGACGCGCAGACATACACGCAGGCGCTGTGGAAAGCTATTCATGTTTCCAAGTTCACCGACTGGGTGCGGGTGAGCGGCGCAGCTCCTAACTCTGAAGCATGGAGGGCGTGGATTGACCTCGCTGGGGATAATCTGCATGACGAAAATTGGGATGCACAGAAGGCATTGGACGAGCTGCTGAATGCTGAGAAGAGCGAGGCTGGATTCCAGCCTGTTAAAAATGGCGTCGTGAGGGAGGAATCCTCCTCCTAAAGGTGACGAGTAGTGATGAATATGTTTATACATTTTTTTTGAGTTATGATGTTTGGTTTAAACGTCACGGCCGATTTATAGACATGTACTGGCTGTTAGACTATACATGGCTTGTATAACCTTTTAAGCGTGGTGTTGGTGCTTCGAACTTGGCGCGTGCGACTTTTGAAAATACCTCCCTCAGCATGTACTGGCTTAATAATGAATGAATTGAATTTATCGGGAAGAACTCGCTACTCCGATCTGTGCTGATTGACAAATTGATGCGAAGGAAAGACGCTTTTGTCTCAGGCAATAGGCCATGCAAGAGGCTGCCGTCTAAGCATGTCCAAAAGTATTTATTGCTGGTCTTGGTATTGTACGGGCTTTACACAATCCACACACGCATCTCTGATAACTGGCCTCGTCCTACAGAGTACACTAGTTATCCTTCGCTGCCCCAGTTGTTTGGTCACTGAGGTCACTGGGGCGCACCAACTAGGGTTGTTGGATTGGGAATAGCAGTTCCTAAGCACCACAGCTAGGCTTAGTTGAGACAGCTTCTTGAAGCTGAGGGGATTTTATGGCCATATGCTTCTTGATAGTCAACTGCGTCGTCCCAATAAATAATGTTCATTCCGGTGTCTCCGAATGTTCAACCATTGTATATGGTTTCATCAGGTGAAGTCTCGGACCGGAAAAGGGCATTATCGGCTCACAACGCCCATTTGGGAGCGGTAGGTTGCCAATCAGACGTTCTTTGCTTGTTCAGGGATGCGAAAAGCTTCTTTGTCCAGCCACTTCTCATGGCCTTTTTGGAGGGCATATGATATATCCAATCATCCCAATTTTAAGAAGCTTGGGCGCAGCAAAAATTCTCATTACCCATTGTCATTCATCAATTGCCGCCCCCCGCCGGTAGGCATATACTATGCGTATGTCAGTGGCTTTCTTGCTCGAATGCTTGATCCCCGCAACCATGGTGGTGGCTTTTTTTGAGTAACCATGCACTAAGACCTTTTATTTGTCTCAAGGTTGCAGCGGGCACTGTTTCTAATCCCGATAGGCTCTTTGACAGTGGTCTTACTATGTAGGTAGATATTGTCAGCGCTTCTTATCTGTTTAATGTAAACCCAAGAGGCCTACTACTAGGGAAATAACGGTGTGCCCGTCCATATCCTGGATCCAGTGTGCGCCGCCCAGGTAACGTTACTATCGAAGAGAGGTTCTCGAGGCTGGCCTTTGGCAGTAGTAACTAGCAGGAGGATTCCTAACTCGTCAGATCCTGGCTGAAATAGCGGCCGGTATCGCTCATTTGGCCCTGGAATGGCGCAGGCGTTTTAGCCTCGGGTCTGCGTAAGATGTCTGACGGGCGAATGAACAAGAGGAATTCCTTATCATGAGGAATTCGGTCTGGCCGTCCGTCTCACATCGCTGGCCAATAATAACGAAGGTGTTGGGCGCCAGAATCCGCCGCCAATCGCGCCTTGACTTGGAAGTTGAGGCGGGAAGCTTGACAGGGAGAGCTTTTAAAGTTGGAGCACACAGACCAGACAGACACCACACACGCCAGCGGCCGCCCATGGTATGGTATGGTATGGTATGTATGGTATGACACATGCAACTCTCGGGTTAAATATCAAACCCACTCCAACTCCAACTCCGCGTCCTCATCCTCATCTTCATCGACATTCCAACCCCCCAATTGAACCACACCCGCTTCCCCGTCTACTTGACATTTTTTCGCTTCTTTGAGCTAGCATTACACCAACCCGTGTAGGATGTGCTAGTCACCGCGGACAATGAGTTACGGTGAGATATACATCTTTAAGCAGGCCCATGTCCAACGTCTCTTGGAAACCAACCCCCGTGCGAGAGACGTGAATGGCATTCCAGGATGCTCCAGCGGCAATCAGTTCAATGGCACAAGGCCGTCCGGCTGAGAGCTTTTGTTGTACAGACAAGATTTCTCTCAGCTGACAGGCAAGGCCCCCCGCCATGGCGACCAGGCTCCGTTCTAGACGAGTGAGTAATATTGATATAAGATTTTGGTATGGCCTCATCCTTTGCTGACTATAGACATTCTAGATGGGTTGAACGTGAAGTGAGGCCGATTAGTTTACGTCAGTTGACTTTCTTTGGCCGCACGATCACCGAGTCACGGTTGATCAGCTCGGCGAACTATGTGCGTACAGAGCTTCCCACCAGGTCAGTTCCTATCGAGTCATTTGAAACCATTAATATCCAAAGGCACCTAACTAAATACTGATTTGATCATTTTGCCAGAATCGCCCACCGTCTTCGAGACATGCAGAAACTTCCCTACGTTGTTGTCACGAACCCCCACCTATCTCACGTTTATGAACTCTACTACAAGGCGTTCGAGAAGTTCCGCGGTGTCCCTGAAATCAGAACCTTGGAAGACAATGACAAGTACTGCGATATTCTGCGAGCCACGCTCAAGGAACATTTAACTGTAATACCGAATCTTGCAACGGGTGTGTTGGAGTGCCAAGATCTAGTAAAACCGGAAGAAATGGATCGGTTCATGAATACCTTGTTGCGTGCGGTGCGTAAAAGAGTACCTGCCTCGGTTTTGTCTGTTTCTGCGTGATGGTGAAAATTAGCTAGCTGATAATAATATCCATTTACAGCGAATATCACGTCGAGTTATTGCCGAACAACATCTTGCGCTCACAGATACATTCAATTCACCTTCGCATTTTCCGGACTCCAAGGACAGGACAGACCTCAACGCAGACTTCGTGGGAGAGGTATTTCTGAGATGCAATGCCAAGGAGGTCGTTGAAAATTGCGGCAAACGCGCGACAATGTTGTTAAAACAATCACTCGGAACTGACTGCCAGGTTCCCGATGTGATTGTTCAGGGTCATCTGGGAGCGACATTTCCTTATATCCTAAGTCATTTGGAATATATTATCGGGGAATTACTACGAAATTCCTTCCAGGCAGTTATCGAAAGGTTCAGCGGCAGGCCCGAACGGCCACCTCCCATTGAAGTTTTGATCTGCGAAGCTCCACAGCATGTCATTATTCGGGTTTCTGATCAAGGGGGAGGCATCTCTAGAGAGATTCTCCCGTACCTATGGTCATTCTGCAAGGGACCGCATACTCAAGCCCGCCTTCGGAACCTGGAGCAGGTACCTACCATGGCGGCGACCATGCAAGAAGTGAAAGTTTCCGGCACGAGATTCGATGAGCAGGGAGAAAGCCACTACTACAATACCAATGGACATCCGCATAGAGACAGTTCATTGGCATCCCTTAGTTCTCGCCCTCCGAATTTGCGGCTTGGCATGGGACTTCCGATGAGTAGGGTTTACGCAGAGTACTGGGCTGGCAGTTTGGAGCTGCATAGTCTGGAAGGGTATGGTGTCGATGCGTTCCTGCAAATTTCCAAACTTGGGAATAAGAATGAGCAGGTAACCACGAGGGCTTCGATAGATGCAGTGTGAAATGCAAACTAATTCTTTTTGTTAAACTTTCATTTTCCTATTTCGTCTTTCTTCCTTGGACTCTCCCCTTTCCTTTTCGCACACTGGAGACCTTCCAAACTCCTCTCAAGTTAGCATTTGCACTACACTATTGAGTGCTATACACTGTTTCTTTGGAGAGCATTAGCACCTTCCTGTCATGTGAATGCTTCTTTCCTTCTAGGTAATCTTCCCTCCTACACCCTGATTCCGTTTGAGGAAGTCCCAGTCGCCAATAGTACAAGCCTTCCCAATATAACAATAACAGGCATCAACAGTCAATATATATGCTGGGGCGGAATTCTACTCCTTTACCAAGTGAGAAGCCCGAAGACATGATTCTCTACCTCAAAAAGCATCCCACCCCACGAGTATATTCGGTATTCTGCAAAATTACCGAGCCAAACTTGTTTCTGTGGTTCAACATCTGCTTATGTGTAAGGATGTTTTTACTCTGATGAGGTAGGAGTTGTTCTAGGCTGACTTCGGGTGCTAGGTGATATTAATTAGGCGGTCCCTCGCCCAGAGTTGTGCTTGACATACTCTGACAGACATCACGGCACCCTTTTAGAATCCGATCATCCTTCCCTATGACTTCCCATCCACGAGAATCTCAAGGTGTGGACGCGCATAATGATAGATACGAATATCCGCACGAATTCCGATACTCTTATGACGTGCCGGGGCCCCAAACATGCAGCCTGCCATCCGAACAAGGGCAGCGCCGATACTCCAGCATCCCCCCGCCTTACTATTTCAACCCGCTGGTAGGCTTTGTTGTTGCCACTGGAGGTGTCGACAAAAGTGATGCTCCGGAGGTAAGTTGAGTCCCCCCACCTTCCCACAATATCGGACAATCAGACAGTACTTCAAGAGGGAATTTTAATGACTGATTTGTAGGTTTGCAGGTAGCATATGTTGGAGATAGGTTAACAGAAGAGGATACGATACAGCCACGCCCCCTTAATCCTGAACACGATTTTCCTAACATCACTTTCAGTCTTTTTGGCAGCCCGTTTCCTAAATGTAATAGGATGAGTGATATGTACCGCCCACGTTTTCAAGCTTACCCAGGAGCCGCACACGACATAACCCCTGAACTTGAAATTGGATTCCATCACGAGAGCCCTAGAGTTGTTCATATTGATATTACAAAATCATGGAAAGGCCTCTCTTCAGATAAGGCCGAAGAGCTGCTCTTCTGGGAGTCAACGTTTAAAGAGGTCCTAGAATACTTGTTGCATGATCAACTTGAACTCTTACAACAACAGTGCGAAGCCGCCAACCGGATACATCGTAACCGTGAACAACACCAACGCAGCAACTCGGATAGGATACATTATTTGCCAATTAGCATGATTGATATCGCGACAACTATGGTATATATATACAGAGAGCATCGTCGTACGTACCATTGGCTGGCGTCAATGGGGAATATTTATAGAACTGTAGCACAGTTTGTCCGCACTCACGACTGCTTTGTTGCCCCTGCTATGGGCTATGGATTGTTCCCGCCGACTGGCGACCTTAGAATAGGAGTCAAACTATTGGACGCGAATGATTACTTGCAAACCACAGCGACCCCTCAGTTATCCGTCTTCCCGGTTGAAGTGAATTGGACCCCAGATATGCTTTCTTTTGATCAATTTGACCCTATCACTACTGAAGGCCACGAATTCCGTTTAGTGCCACGCTATAGCCCGTCATTCAATTTTGCTGGACCAGACAGCTACTCAGCACCAAACCATATCGTTTATAAGACATCCGCGCCTTGGCTACAATGGGATCCTTCAATTTCCGGCTTTAGTGGAATAGTGCCAACCTGCTCCGACTCGGAGAATCAAATGCTACATTCACAAGCTTCCCCGGTAGAGGATCCTCTAGGAGACCGATCTAAAATATACGCCCTTCGGATAATGATTACAGCAACCGCTTTGGAATATTTTGGTACGGCGGTGAGGTTCGAGAAGATAGTTAGATCTAGGGTGATCATCAACGTTAAGAAAAGAACCTGTCCACAAGTCAATCCCACCCCAGATCATTCTCTAAACCTCTTGGGAGTAGACAAGAACAAATGTAATGAGAACCATTCATGGCTAGAGTGGAACCCTTTGTGGCAACCTAACCCTCAGATTGAGTTGTGGGATGACCCATTTATTGGCGCCGGAGCCTTTTTTAGTGGGCGCGCACTTGAGAGGGACCTCTTAAAACCGCTAGGTCTTTTCAATTCCGGTGAGAGCAGGCTGCTAAGTCGCCATCCATTCGAGAGTTTTACCATGATGCCTTTACTGGGGACCAGCCTCGGTACTGATCTATCGACATCGTCGGATCGTGACCAAATTGGCGAAGTCAATGATTTATCTCCCGAGGAACCGCGAGAGATTGGTTTGCGGGTCTCCCCTCGTCGCCGCCGGAGACGCTCTTTGGAAAGACGTGATCCTGTCGGAAAAGATAGGAAACTAGGCTCGACAATTGTCCCGCGAATGAAAACGCAGTGTCCCAACCACCCTCGAGCCGAATTGGGGGGTAAGCGGTTACATCACGATATCGTCAACATGCTGCATATGCCTCTTCACTCCACTCAGGTTGACGAAGAGCTAGAAGCAAGGCACCGTCCTTGTGGAAAACGATCATCTTGGCGAAGCACTGGGGTATCTGTCCAGAAGAAAGGGAATGGATATCCTTTCCAAGACCACCGTCCACCAAGAAATGCAGTCTTCTCTAAGACAAACTCGGAGGAAGAAGATGAAGCGTACATCTTGAAATACTGCGAGATGATGAGTCTTGCCTCGGATCAACAGCAACGCAGTGGTAACAGCCGGAGCCCAGACTTTAATGCCTCAAGAGCTTCGAGTTCTGAGGCTTTGGCTATCGATGTTTCACGATTCTTGAATCCCTACAGGGTCATGCGTGCAGGATGGGAGTTTAATACAGATGTGCCATGGACACCGCCAGCTAATGACGCATGCACTCGTGGTCTCGAAGTCTGCCACCATCCCGGCGCAACCAATCCACAGGCTGAAAGGGGCAGTGACCACCATGGTACCGAATCACCACCTCTAATTCGTGAAAAAGATAAAGCTGCTTTTGTGAAAATGATCGTTGAGCGCGCACAAGAAGAGTGTCGGATGTTAGGGAGTGATATTAGCGATATTTTTTCTTCCTCCCCGCCCAGCACATCTGAGGGGGAATGGGAGGATGTCGACACTGATGAGGAGGGGTTTAGTATCCCTGATGTTGAGTATAGTGATGCCGGTCAAACACATCAAGGGGTGCCGATCCCTGTGTACGATTCATCCACCGGAGACTAGTGATATTATTACACCAAGGGGTTAGAAGGACATTAGGATGTTCATTGTCAACGGGCTCCCCAAGAATGTTTGCTTATGTGAGCGATATTCTGGACATAAAAGGGTGTTACATTTTTTTCGGCGTTGGTTTTTGTATCACACATATTCATAGTGGATGGACGGCACACTCTATTCACCTTCTGTCATTAAATACATACTATACTGTATGTTCTTTGGGGAGCTTCGTATTATTTTGCGGCCCCTTTGTCTGTCTTTGGAAATCCACACAAAGGGAGTATGACGGGATACTTTGGCTGTCTCGCAGTGGCTCATATATTCATTTTTATGCCTAGTCGTCATTCCTTAAATTACCCTGTTAGTCTTCTCTACTTCATTCAAATCAAATGAGAAATATTAATTTCCCCGCCTAGACCGACCGGGGCTAGTTTCCCACGTGGAAATAAGGTTCTGGTTGTCGCAGAGTGACGTCATGCTATACTTTGTTTCCACTTTCGAGGGCCTCAGTTGCCCTTTTAGGAAAGTGTCCAATGCTGCTCCTCAATGTTTGTATCTTTTTATATCGTTTGCCGGCAAAATCTCCTTCCTGATCAACCCCCCCCGAAAATACCATCTTAAGGCATTCTTACATTCATCAAGACCTTGCTCCTTTCCAATTGAACGCCTTCTATGGGTGTGCATCTACTTGTATAACCTTCATAGCTATCCGGGGCTTCATATCTTCACCTAACAACATCTTTCCCCCTCCCCTCCTTCTGCATCCATCCGAGCTTATTTCAGCTCTCCAGGTTGGGTACCAATCCCAAACTGCTTTTACAGGCATTAGTATTGCTCCTTCGGCCATATCCACTCCCAGTGCACGCTCTATAAGACGCCTTTGCCGTTGACGTTTGCGGACTTCTGAGGATTGATGCTTTACTCAATTCCTGTTTTGATCAAACCGTCCAATTAGTACAGCAAGAAACGCCGTCTAGAGGGGTGTAAAGCAAATCAAGTCATGGCAGCGGACGCTCTCGGTGCTATTTTCCTAATCATTATTACAATCTTCAGTAAGTGAGCTGTTATCCCTCGATTTCTTTACGTGATAGGCGAATGTGAACTGTATATCCATTTTCTACAAGGGGTGACGATTGGAGACAGACGGAATAGGGGCGGGGGCATTGCATGATTGCTGCTTTCACCCCTGCCTATCATAAATTGCCCAGTCGATGTGTTATTTTCTTGGTAATGCTTCTATGATGATATGGCACTAACATCCACATTTCTTTACATAGTTCCGCCGCTGGGTGTCTTCTTCATTAGCGGATGCTCCCCAGACCTCCTCATTAATATTTGTCTCACACTACTTGGGTGCGTGTAAACTCTTCTCCCCTATATCCAAGCTCTGCATCCCCTTTTACAACAGTCGACAGAGCTTGTTGTGCAGCGGCTAATAATTCCCCGCCCACCCTCTTCTGTCTTTTTCCAGATATTTCCCGGGCCACATCCACGCCTTCTACTGCGAGTACATCTACTACGACCGGCGCGCAAGGGGCCATCAAGGGCGGCTAGCCTGTGCCCGCGCCCCGGGCATTTTCTCAGAGCGCATTCAAAATGGTGGCGACATGACAACTGAATACTATTACCCTGCCCCGCCTGCTCAGACACCAGCAGCGCCAGCCACACCATATTCAGGCTCCCAAGTACCCCCAAGACAACAGTCGGGGTGGGCACGGTAATTGAATTTGACAGGAGTCTTGAACCCGTTTGCGGATCAATCTTCCAGTGGGGTCGTTTCATGGACACACCTTTCATAGACACCCCTGTATCTGTGGAAAGGGGGTTGGTGCTTAAAACGAATCAAGGTACTCAAAAGGGAGACATGATGGAATTAACGAGGCCGATGAAAATGGGATTTTTTATTCTGGAGGAGAAACTAATCATGGTTATGGGCGTTTGGAATCACACTCATCTCATTCTGTTGGTTTCTTTCGAGCTAAGGAGAGGCATTGTACACTATTTTTTATTTGGGGTTGTCGACAGATACACCTGCTATCTCTCCTTGATCCATACATGCTTATCGGGAGGTGGTTGGTATACAGTAGTAGTACACTCTCATTTTTGCCCTCACACAGCAAATTAACAATTCCCTATGCACTTGCGGATCCCTACATTGTATTATTACTGTTGGCTATGAAATGATATACTTAAGCTTTAAACATGGAATCATTGGCAAGGGATTCAGTAGTTCACAATAATATGACCTGCACCCCTGTTCGCATTATATGATGAGTAAGTAGCCTGTGAAGGGCACCTGTGCTGACAAAAGCAGCAAATGGATAAATGGCAGTATAGCTCGCTCCCGAAAATGATCAAGCAAGAAATATGATAAATAGTACTAACGAGACTTGTAGAAACAATGAACCATACAGCTCATGCAACTGATTGCCACTTCAACTCTCCCCAGTCTCGAATCCACACGCAGTTCAGCTCGATCCCTACCCGCTGTTGTCTCCCTCCCTCCTCTTCGAACCCTTCAACGCGGGGAAGTTGAATGGTTTACTCCTCCCACCCTTCCCCCCGGTAATAATAGTCATATCAAGAAGTCCACCCAACGCCCCGCCAATATTCTCCGCAACCTTGCTGTGGGGACTCCACATCAGTGCCCCCACCCACGGCTGCACATTCCAAGCCACGACAAGCTGCGCATTCTCACGCTCAGCCATGCGGCCGGATATATCTGTAATTTGGTATTTGTTCTTTTGGTTACGGAGGCGGAGGAGGCCTGGTTTCTTGGAACTTTTATTAGAGTTCGTGGATGTGTTTTTGCTCGTTTTGGAGGATTTTGAGGATTTCGACTTTTTGGAGGGGAAGAAACGGCGGGTTAGGGCGGGGATGGAATAAGGGGATTCGGTGGCTGGGATTATGGTGTCCCAGATTATGGATTCGGTGGTTAGGTTTGACGAAGAAGAGGGTGATGTAGGGTAGGAGGCGAGGACGTAGACGAAGAGTTGCTTGGTGTTCCAGTTGAAGAGGGAGGTTAGGTCTTTGGATAGGGGGCAGGTAGGTGTTTGTGTTAGCTTTGTTAGACAAGCGGGAGCTCCCAGTTATTGAGACTTTCAGCAATGGAAGATGAAGATATGCGCATGAATCGGAATTTCTCACTAGCATCAAGATCGAATCTAATCTGTGCATATTCCTCGCGCTTCGTTGCATAGTAATGCGGTCGTCCCTTAATTCTATACACATCCAGAATTAGCCCAAACTGTCCGCTGCCCATAGAGTAACTCCTATTGACAACCATATAGCCCATTCCTGGGGTAGCGATAAAGGGATCAAAATCAAAACAAGCCTTACACTTGTATGTTCGAAAGCTCAACGTTCGTAACCGGATCCGCAGGACTCAATACAACGGTCAGCGCTGTTAGGGCACTCAGCAGAAATGCAACTGTGGTGAAGAATCCAAAGACGCTCTGAAACCGATTGAGCGCGGAGTGCATAGCTGCAGAATTTAAGAGCGGAATCAACCGCCGTTTGCGCAGACGCCGACAATACGCGAGAGAGAAATGTCAGAAGGTTTGCTATTTTTGTGTCTACAAGAGATATCCGGCCAGATATGTCAATGCCGCAGCTGTTGCGGTTATCTAAGCGCCACCCACGATTGTCGCGCGTGTCGCGAGTCCAATTGTCGGCTTGGCATATTTGGCAGCAGAGCAAACATTGCCCGATACTGAAGTGACCAAAGGGACAAAATCTGTCTCTGCTCTGCATGATATTTTATGTAGGGAAGAACACGTCAAAAAGTAAAATACAATATCGCCATGATACTTGTGTAAAATATTTGCTAAAAGACGAAGAGCCTATCTTCCTCAACCTTCAACCGATAGGGACGCCAATTCAATGCATGCCTGGGATGTAACAAAGGATAAAGAAAAACAACATATGTGTTCTGTCTCTGCTTCTCAATAAAGAAAACAAAATGGAAAGAAAGAGAAACACTTTGGTGGATATCAGAATGACTCGAACAAATGGTGAAGGCAAAAGAAAAAGCGAAGAAAGTCGAAGAGATAAAAGGAGAAGGGGAAAAAAAAAAAATAAGAAAAGAAAAGAAATAGGAAAGAGCATCTGTATTCAGGTAAAATTTCCCTTCAACGGTATGAATATCTATCAAATAACTTTACATCATTCGATTCCATCTAGTATCTCTTGGTCCTGTCCCTGTAGTATCCGAGGATGGCTACTTGGGCTTCTTGGGTGCGAAGAAGAATCAGGTATTCCAGAAACGCGTACCTCTCTCCCAGGAGAAGGAGTCCTAGGAATTTCTGAGATATTTTGTTTGTTTGTAGAATCTTGCCCTCCATAAAGTAAAATGCCTTCAAGCAGCGATTTCGCCTCGGAGTGCTGAATAGCTTCATGTTCAATGATGGCCGGGTCCATGGATGTCTGTACTTGCTCGTTCTGATTGAGCCTTGTAAGTGCGCGAGTAGGTGTTACCTGCCGAGGCTCCTTCTCGGAATCATGTGCGAGTAGCTTGTTTTCTAGGGACCTGGGATTAGGACTGGTTTCTGAGTGCTGCTTTAGTCCAAGCGAGTGATTCGAAGTAGAAGGTTCACCTTGCGGTGCCTCTGTGGGTGGATCATCTACCAACAGTATTTTCAGTGGATCGGTATCGATCAGCTTCCGTTCTTCTCCTGCTTCATTCTGCTTCGATCTTCCCTCTTCTTCGTGTAGTTCGAGAAGGAAGTTCCGCAGCCGCCGCCGAAGAATATGGGATTTCATCGGTGGCCAATCGTAATATTCACTCATCTCCTTTCTCACCAACCTGCTAATGAACACGTCCGGATCCCACATAAACTTTTCAAGGTATGCTAAGAGATACAGCCCACAATCCGAAAAATTAGGTTGATATGGTATATTTCGAGCAACAATGCCCCTGATTTTTTTCGTGTCAACGCTAAGTGATCGCTTAGCTTTCCCTTCCTCCTCGATATATTGTCGAAGAATTCTTATCGTAGGGTACCTAGCACAACCTAAAGAATCGAAAGTGATGATAACGGGTTCCTTTGGATCACATGGGAGCTTCCGGGGAGATATCTTAGCTCGGGGCTCTAAACTCCTCAGTTTCCCAGAGCGTAGCGATTTTGGCTGCTGCGCGACATCTGATTCTTCCTCAGTTTGGACGATAGAAACGAGTGGTCCGTTCTCTCCCTCGTCCGGCCATTCATTCCTGTCTTGAGTTTCAAATTCCTTCAATGGACTTGTGTCATTCTGTTTCGAATTGACCTCGGGGCCATTATCCGACAACGACATTGAATCGAAATCCTCTTGGAGGAGTTGTTCGCTACCATGCTCTAAGGTCTGAGCAACGGTGTTGTTATTCTCCCCAGGTTGAAGCCCGGCTTTATCGCTTTGCCGGTTATCTGGATTTCCTAAATCAGCGCTCGCTTGACTGCACGGCGAATCATGAGTCACCTTGTCGCTCTCAGGTTCATTGCGTTCGGCGATGGATCCTGTGGGACGCAGAGCACGGAGGTTGCATATAATGGCCATATACCAATGTTTGTTTTCGTTGATTGGGACGACGATGTAATCATAACTGAAAAGGTCCACATTCCTCGTCCACTTTTCCACGGCCTGGTAGTTAATACCCCTCAAACCCTTAGGCGTGTTTGTAAGGCTTGCAAAAAAGTAAGAGTTAAAAAAGTAAACACGTGTAGCCAGATCTGGCCTCTTGATTTCCATGTGATGCTCAAGAAACCGTAGGTAAAGCCCGATAAGGTTGTCATTTAAAAATTCCCCATCACCCAAGCGTTCCAAATCATGGAATTCTACTTCGGCTTTCCTTTTACCTTTAGGTGGGTATACAAGCGGCCTAGATGAAGCATTAATAGTAGCTCGACAAACTTGATGAACGATGCACTTACCTTGACCACATACGAGTATATCGGTGAGGTGAAGGCGACGGTTCATGGTCACTGGATTCAATTATTTAATCAGGGGCGGAATCCCAAAATGGACAGACAGAAGAACATTACGCACCTATTAATTGTAGTAGGTTTCCGTTGCCCCTGTGAGCGAGTGACACGCAAGCTCACGGTAGGACTGTATTTCTTGACAGGAATAGTTATAGGACGATCAACATCTGGATGACTATGGCTGAGAGGCGACATATCATCCTGAGCATGCTTGCGGGGTCCGCGCGACTGGAGTGAGTCTTCTAGCGGAGACTTTCTCGTTGTTCCGTCACTGTCAAGTAGGCTCTCACTGAGCTTCTGTCGTTTAGGTTGTGTTGACGGCTGGGCGACGGCGTCAATATGGTCATCCTGAGGGCTTTCGCGTTTCGAACTCGCGGGTTGACGGTTTCCTTGTCTTTTTTTCAGAGAGCGTTTGAACATATTTTCCATCCACTCACTAAATAAACTATCAGATTTCCGAACTCTGAGCTTTCAAGATGCTTGTGTGATAACATACCTCCCCTTATCCCTTAATTTCAAAGTATTGTTCAATTCCCCCATCAGGTTACAGCATTCAACCGCTTCCTTCTCAGACGAAAATTGTAGTTTTAGGTCGTCTGTCGATCCTGAAGCCATGGGGAACTTCATTGCAACTCTGGGTCCACCATGCCAAATTAGGTTGATTTTGTCAATAGAAAATTCTTTGGATACCCAAGAGCCGGTATCACTTGTCACGAGAAAAGAGCCGTTTTTAACAATAAGCGTGCACTGTTTCTCAACAGTCTCCATTTTGTGATCAAACATAGACATAGGAAATGAATGCGTATGATTAGATGAGATTCTGCGCCTTCTATCCGCACGTTTGCGGTCCTTCTTCACGATGGAGAAATTTGTCGGGCTAATATCACCAGGCATTCTACCCAGGCGGTCCTTTACACCGCTTCGCCAACTCTCAGGGACGGTTTTATCTCCCTGAAGTGCATCCGGGCTCTCACGTGTATAAGAATCATGAAGCTGACTATCCGTCTGGACAGTTGAATCGGCAAGGCTGCCCGCAGAGCCCTGAGTCTCCTCTTCTGTCCCCTCCGCTCCGCCCAAATTACCAATCGGTGAGACTTCAATAGCAACCATTGGTTCAGAAGGTCTAGATAAACTAGAACCACCAGACTGGGAAATGTTGGTACCGATGTTGTTTCCGAGCCGCTGTGCCTTGGCTTCCATGGTGAAGAGTTCATCCTCGGTCAAATCTGGAACGCGCGGCTTTTTGTTCTTAAAATCCTGCATCCTACTCTCGACGTTCCAGAACTCATGTGTGATAGATTCTTTTTGATTAGCAGAGCCGTGGTGGTTGATTATTGGGGAACTTTGGCTCAAATATGACAGGCTGTAAGTTCTAGGTCGAGTAGATGAAGGAGATTCCGTGTGAATGATAGAATCATCATCATTCACCTCAATGACCTCCGCGGGAGCTTGAATCTCGTCGGTTCTTCGTCTTTTACGAGGTCTGTTTCCTTCTAACTCCTGAACCACTCCCGAAGCACCTTGTACATGTGAGCCCAAGTGTGTAGTCCTATCAAGATGCCTTCCAGCAAAGGTATCAAGTGGTTTTCCCCGGAAGGTGGAGTGAAGGGTATTTCGTGGAGTGAAGTTCTCAAAAGACTTTGTAACGGCAAACAACTCAGTAACTAGAACAACGCCGCACCGCAGAGGTATGAGACAATGTTAACCCTACCTTCAAATCCTTGCCGGCTCGTCCTTTTCTCGCCAGCGCTCCTGGTGTTATACGAACGGCGTTCGGGTCCCTCCTGCTCAATCCACCTCAAAAATCAGTTTTTAAACCCTTTCGGATCTAAAACGGCGGCTTGTCACGGACCTGGAACCTCCGAATAATCTCCTTTCCTCCTGTAATTCCTCTTCGTTCTGTGGTGTAGTTTTACTGCGGTTGTATCAGAGTTAGTATTGGACGAACTGTGCCATATAAAACACGCGGAAATCCACAAACGTACGTGCCGCCTTTCTTTAACGTGAAGCTGGTGGTATGGTTGGAATTATCTCGGTGCAAACTGGTGTTCGGGCGGATTCCGGAAGCGTCCTGCACGTTCCAGCAAAAGGAAGAAGTTAGCATCGGGAGCGAGCTAAAAGGTTTCAAGAATAAAATTGCCATAACACAGGAAAATAAAATCTTTGGAGCTATGCTTGCCGTACCTTTCCTAGCTGTGAGAACTGAAAAGAGTTGCTCATCTGTCCATTTGTAGGAGACAGCCGATTGCTCACGCCGGACATCTGGAGCGGGGCTGGTATATCTTCGACACCATTAGCTGCGTGTCGTCGCCGCCGCCGTCCCCTCGAAAGCTCGCGGGTTCGTGGTTCCTGCGCTGTGCTACGGGTGGTATTTTCCGGCCAGACGAGGTGAGATAGCTTGTATAGCCAGTTCATAAGCTGGTGGGGGAGAGCATTCGCGACTGAGACGGCGTTTTACGCTGGGGAGGAGGCATTACGTTGCAAATATGTGTGATGTGGGGTGTAGGAGGGTAGGGTTGCAGGTTATTTAAAATGAAGTGATGTTGGTGGCAGAGGTTTGGGGAGGGAAAATACTGTTCGCCAACGCCGCTTTGTCGGATAGAGTGGAATTTAAAATTTAAACGGTCCCAACCGGGATGGACAGCTGCCACCGCATAGGGATTCCGAAAATTCTTTGGCATAAATATATGGGATTTTGAATAATTAACATTATTTAGAATCATTAACCTCTATTCTGACTTAAATCTGGTGCAATCATTCCGTTCTTTTCGGTGTCATCAGTAGATATTCCTAGATGTGAGATATTCAGTGAAACAGTAGCAAGAGGCAAAATGAATTTCTATTCCTGCCATCATATTCCTTCCAGGTCGTGAAATCCTCAAAAATAAACTTAAAACAAAACCAAAGGCTAGCTAAAATCCACCAGTTAATCAGAATAGAAGAAAAGCTTCACTCCAAACACAGAATTTTCCACTACTCTTCTCCACTTGATACAAAGAGAGAGCATTAAGGAAGAAGCAACGGACAAAACAAAGGACTCTCTGAAGAAGCCATCTGCGAAAGCCTGCCTGACCGCAATGACAGGACCACACAACATCAGCACAAAAATATTAAAAGAAAAGGGAAAAACGCAAAGAGCTACTACTGTACACTGCCCATATTCGTATCTGGACCTTTTACGATGCTGCTGTCCGCCCTTTATCAGCGGAAGCGTCATCCTGGTTGTGCCCACGACGACGATCTGAGCCTTGGTGGTGGTGACCGGCATTCGCAGCGGCTTTGTCCAGGCGGGCTTGGTCGATGGCGGAGCGTTGGGCAATGCTATCGTCATGGCTTTTCCATACAATGTTGGTGTCCGGCGGGAACGCTAGCAACCGCTTGATTGTTTCCCTGAAAGAAATATTAGCAGCAGTAACCACCAACCTGACTGATATAACATCAAGTATCATACCTAATTTTAATATTCCGCCCACCATCAATCCTTGTCCAGACAGACAGAACGTCCTCCCCGCTTCTGACGCTCAGGACTGCCCCGCACACCTCATCGCTTGCTTCTGCAAATTGATCGCCCACCATTGCCAGAAGCAAATCTTCCCAATAGCGATCAGCAACTCCTTTCTTCAATCTGACAATCCATTTCCCTCCTCGTTTGTTTGCTTCGTCTTCCCAAACTGGCCGTATTCCTTTCTTAAAAATATGGTAGTCCGACACCGCCGGGAGGAGAGAGGGCCGCTTAAGATGTGAGTAAACGGCCCAGAAACTCTCAACAGAAGATATCGATGCAAGAGCTATGGTGGATTTTTCGTAGTCGGAATGCTTCGGCGTTGGGGGTCGGTACCAGACAATCCAAGTGGACCGTATGGGGTGCTCTTTTGGAGCTGGTGCAGAGGTATTATTGAGAGAAGAGGATGATGCCCTCAATTTCACAGTTTTATTATTCGTCCCTTCGTTTTCTGGTTGCGTTTCTCGTTTTTCGCTGGTGGGTTTCGGGGTACTGAGGTCAAATGCGCCGGGAGTTTTCGGTGTTTTGGCCGAGCCGAAGGAGGCAAATGCACCGGATCCTAAGCCAAAGGCGGATGAGGCGCCGGCGGAGGGGGAGGGTGCGTTTGTAGTAAGGGGGGAGATTGCGTTGAAAGGGTTGGATCGGCCGTGAGAGCTGTCAGGACCGAATCGCTTGGACGGATGACTTCTGGAGGAATCCTGTCTTCCACTACTATCTTTGCTGTCCGAGCCGGACATGGACAGGGACAACTTGCTAGTGCTACCTAGAGTCAATATCAAGGACCATTGAACCGTCACATCCAAAGACTCAAGATATTTATTAGGCTACTTACTTCGAGCGGCGAGTCCATAGGTTGGCGTTGTCCATTGCGACCAAGCGTTTTACCTAAAATTGGGAGAAAAGTGCATCCAACAGCAGAAAAGGAGAGAGCAGCAATCGGGTTTCAAATGTCGTGAAAGGGACAGTAAAATTAAGAATAGGCAAATGTACCGAGATATGAAGCGTATGACAGGATGGGTATTTGGAAGAATTTTGGGAATGAGTTCAAGATTAAATGCTGCTGGACTTGAAAGTTGAACGAGCAAAAGCGGAGCACCAGCTTTGCCGCCACACGTTGCATTTACCGCGCGTCTAAGATGCGGCTGGGACGCCACACTAGGCTTCTTTGGGACTGAAATTTTGGATTTAACGCGCGCAAATCTTGAGTTGGGAAAACTCGGGCCAACAGCTCGTACAACCTGAACTAGATGCAATTGACTCGTGCCGTTTTTATACTACTAGCCCAACACACTTGGTAGCTGTTTTACCGAGCGAGCCTCGCTTTTCATTTGGCAAAAGTGTGCCTACATGGATGTGGCAGCTACCACGTGAACGACAACGTGAAGTGAAAGAAAGTTGAAGACGAATGGAATCCAAGATCTTTATCTAATATTATCCGATCATGATCTACACCTGGTACCATGCATATAGAGTCTGTCGATGTACATGGTATTTCCAGGAGATCCAGAGATTGTAAAACTCTGAAGATGACCAACACCCTGTCTCAATGGTAAATATTTCCATTGCACGGTAGTAAGCTATAGTCCCTGATTCGTTGATTCTTCCTATAGAACACTTGGTTGCCCCTCTGGGGTGGGCTAACCCATGTGGACATGACGACGGCTGTAGTGGACAGAAGTGTTACGTATATCCCAGTAGAACGTCAATACGTGGTCAAGTCGCAGTATACAGGGAAATACCAATGTTCCCAGGCATCTGTCGCTATCCTGATACCCTACCCTGACACTTCGCTAGGAGTGGAAAGAAAACCGTTTCCAAACAATGACGATAAAAACGCGGTGTAAGAGTTGGGGTTCGTATTTGGGTTCGAACGAAGGATGCTCAATAATCGATTTGATCTTACAATCCCTCCAAGGGTGGTGATTGTCGAAGCGAAAGAATAGATTTCGGCGTGAAAGGACACTGCTATTCAAAGCCTTCAAGGACTGAGCTAGGAATTGAATGGATGGACCACCCGATCAATATGGGGCGCGCGCGCGCTTTGAGCAGCCATGTATCTTTGTTGGTGGTTGGAGTGGTTCAACCGCTCGGTTAACCATGGGATAATGAGATATACCTCTGCTATGATCTTGGTTTAGGCTTCTTAACAAACCTAAATTGTTTGAGAAGAAATTTGAAGGCCCTCAACTAGAACGTGATATGGTCCAAATGCTTTCTCTGAGGCTCTTACACGGTGAAAAATTGCCGTTCGCTTATTGACTTAACGGCAATTCCGCGCTTAGAGGCAAAGGATCCAGTTCAGGTCCACACCTAAGGAAGAGCAGTTTGTCCAATGGGTAGAATCAATTCATACTTGCATTCATTTTCCTATTTTGCGCTGCTCGATAAATGAGGATATCATATCATTATCCGTGGTCCGTCTCGGATTTGAAAAACCATTCATCACTTTTCCGTTGGGAATGCTCGAAGCCGCCCAAGTGAAAGGTTCGGCAGAATAAATACGCCCGGTTGCCAATTCGGCATGTCGCCAATTCACCTTGGACCATGAGAGATACGGTCCTCAGCCTTGCTAAACGCATAACGGGCCGATCATCACGAAGCATCATTTCATCAGTCGGGAGCAATGAGAGTTAGCCAGATGCTGCAGACAGGACAGTTATACCGGCAGACGTGCAGGGCTTGCAACAGAATTGCAGTTATTTCGAATCAGGTGGAGAATAGCTCTGCAGACGTATGCCTATCGATGTAATGAAGTGGCCCAGCTTTTCGCCTATGGTAAAGCGCAGAAGAGATCTGGAAGGCTTTATGTACCACATCGCAAGGATCTCACTACATTGAGCAAGCCAGGGCCAACGTGCCTATGGCGTCACACAAACGTAACCCTAAGGACAAACTTCACCTGGTACAGGAATGCAGAGTTTGCAATTGAGTGCTACTATACATTGTTATTTTGGCATCGTAAGTAATGGCTTGATCAATACTATATGTTATCTGGATTTTACAGGAGCTAACCACCATCACCCTATCCATTTTCTCGAAAAGTTAGCTCATAACCGAGAGGAATTCTCGTCAACAATCTAACGTGATTAGGATGGTTAACGTGGAAAAAAGAGAGAAACAAGACGAGAAATATGTGTTTTAGAGCGTCGAGTTCATTTGCCGTTTTGGACGAAGCGCGCGGGCGCAAATGCAACGATGTGGAGACGTTTGATACGCACGTCGTAGGCGGAGTTTGGTGATGTGCTCTCTCAAAAGGGAAAGTCGTTTCGCATAAACCTTTGCCGGAGTTGACATACGCTGTTAGGCCAGAAAATCCGTTCTAGCCCTAATTAACGTTACCTAAAAAGGTAACAAGGGACCGAAAGTGTTGCCAAGCCCAGAATTCCATTTTTGGATGCAGGCCTTAACCTCCGGGAATCTTCCCCCCCTCCTCTTACTGCTGGATGCAAGCAGGACACAGCTACTGGAAAGCTGTATTTGAGGTGGATGGCAGCTTTCAAAGCCATGTAGGAGAATGGAGCAGTCATAAACCACTGACCTCGTAAGTGGCGGAGGGTTCTCTGGGGTCCGGCAAGCGTTTGTCTAAGTTCAGATGGATACTCCCACAGAGCATGTCAGACAACAGATGCTTGCCCTGCAGCCCGCCATGCATTTAAACCCCCAAAAATGGGAACAACCTTTCCAAACCGCTTGGCAACCACAGTTTTGCGCAGCAACTGGAAGCCCGGAGTCCGATCGGTAGGCCTCTCCCCAATGGGCATGGTCCTTAAAAACACAGCTCCAGCCTCAAAGAGTTGGGAAAAGGGAATCTGTCGTGATCCCCCCGAAATTTTCTAAACGTGGAATCAATAATATCCTGGCAGGGCTGGGAATAGGGCTTTGTGGGTCGATACCATGTCACGTTGGCCGCACATCGCTGCGGCCGATGGGAATTGCCTGAGAAATATCCAAAAATGGGCAGTGGAATCTGCCGTAAATCTGCTCTTTTGACTTGTTTGGAAAGCCGCCGAAAACTGGGACTAAAGCCTCAAAGACCGGTCCGTTTATGCAGCTAGGGGTCTTTACCAGTAATTATCGGGGTGTCGAAACTCGAAACATGGATCGCTCGTGGCATGATCGTACGAAGTGTACGCGCACATGCACCGTATATATCGGTATCATCCTCCCTAAGTATTGTTAGCGAGTCAAGACTTTCGGCCCGATTGCTTCCCTTGCCATCCCCTTTCAAACGCTAGAGAGTATAACTTGAATTGGGATTGCTCTCGGCTAGGGTCGAAACTCAAGTGATTACATGTTTGAGTTCACGGATATTTGAAGTGTCTATGATTTCAATTGAAGCTGCAAACCAAGCACTTCCATCCTCAGCATTGACTTGAAGATTAAATCGAGCTACACCTGTGGCACAAGATATGACAGGTCAACAGTGGAACACCTTCAGCAGGCATATTGTGTTAGTCCCTCAGATTTAGCCTTCATAATCTGGAGTCTAGTCAAGATAGGCAAGTGGTACAAGGAGACATTGCGCCTGAGCCGTGGAAACAAGCAGGGTTGGCTCAATTGCCATCGAAAAGCTTATCATCATCTGAAGCGAAGTTCCGCTGTTTTATGAACAAGAGGTGGATGTCGAGGATTTTGTTTCGGCTCTTCCCTTCTCGGTCCTGACGTTCGGCCACGTCGAATTGAATCCGCTCACATGGTCTCGTGAATAACTTGACAGCTCACTAAACCATGCCGCAAGGCTTCAGGCGGCTATGGCTAATAACTATTTTTGGAGAAGCGGGTGGCAATCAAATTTACCTGCTCTAGTCATAAAAGGAAATGTCGGCTGTATGCTGCGTATGAAATAGGTTAACCGATCATAAAGCCAAGGCGGGACAACGTAACAGTTGGTAATTGAACTAACATACCTCTCACCTGGCTGCTAGCAAAAAAATTATCTATCAGATCAAGCTTGGGCGCCAGCTGAGAAGGCAGAAACGCCTAACGCTACTGCCAGAGCAGGAGTTAAATTCGCCTTGGGGCAAGGAGGTGAAGGGAATCTGGAGCGACATTTATTTTTGTTTCCCTAAACCGCTCGTGTTGTCAGTCGAACCAGCGGCAAGCGACAGTTCTTTTTCGCTCAGTGCCTGCATTCTGCGATGGTCACCAAAATGAATTATTCGCAGCTGCCTACTCGAACATCCAGCATTTCACCGATCACACCATCGATAGGGATGAGAATAACCGACCGTCGCGATCCTGATGAGTTAGACATCGACCTGTCTACAGATGAAAATTGCCTTCTTCGGGAGGAGCTAGCCGACATCTGCAAACCCGGAGCCAACAGTGAATTACACTCGCATGTAGGACTCATTTATGCCACTTGAATAATGAAAATATTGGCTGATTATCACGATATCAGCACTCATCTGCGCAAGGATTCGCGGGAGAACCAACCCTTCTGGGAAGCCTCGCAAAATTGTTTAACAACTATTTTAATCCGTGTGTACCTGTCAGGCCACATCACATAGTTGCAGGCTCAGGGACGAACAGTTGTCTTGTTACCTTGCTCTATAAAATCTGCGATCCTGAAGACGGCGTCTTAGTGCCAGGGCCATATTGGAGTGAGTTTCCATCCTCAAATACTCCAGGCTCGCGATAAATTGTCTCAAGGATTATTGCAGCAGGTGAATAACATAATAGAGCGCTTATAGACGGGGATGAGGTAGACTTTCGCACTTGTTCATCCGTCCAGTCAGTTCTAGTCAAAACGGAAAAATTCACGGACATTTTTACGTTGAACTTGATACCCAAAATGGAGGAGGCGATGGATAACGCCACATGCAGGATAAGAGCCCTCGTCTTAACGAACCCACATAATTTATTCGGGCAGTGTTATCCCCAGGAAGTTCTGGAAGCCTGCCTGAAGTTTTGTCAGCGACGGGAAATACACATGGTTTCTGATGAAGTGTATGCGATGACGACATTTTCGTGTGCGGAGATTTCTGACCCAACTCCGTTCATTTCGGTCTTGTCCTTGGATGCTGGTGCATTGCAATGTGACCGTTCTCGTATCCATATGATATGGGGTACCAGCAAAGATTTCGGCGTCAGCGGATGTCGAATGGTAAGTATCGCTCACCCTAAACACTTTTAAATTGGGTTACTAATTCTAAACAAAAAATAACAAAAGGGTTGTATAGTATCACAAGATAACAGAGAGTCCATTGTTGGACTTGCAGCTTCACCCAAAGCCCAGGTCTCATCGCCATCTGTATTATCCACAACCGCTCTTCTTTCCTCACCCACACTACCCCTTTTAGTCGCTTTGAACTCGGCCAGGTTGGCAGAATCATATATCCTCATCACTTCATTCTTTATTCGCCATCGAATCGACTATATTCCAGTAAATGCAGGATTAAATATATTTGCAAGGCTCGTTCCAAATGCAAAGACTTGTGAGGACGAACTGGATATGATAACGACACTTAAGGAGAACGGAGTGGTGGTTAGAGGTGGCGGAAGCTACCACGGAACACTTTTCGAAAAAGGGTGGGTACGGATATCATTTGCTTTAGAGGAGCACCGGCTCCAGGAGGCCCTCCACAGAATCGAAACGGCACTGCATTTGGAGTCGTAAAGTGGTCAGCGGGGCTGGTGGTTCGATATAGGTAGGCTACGGATGCAGCTCGGATTACGTATCCGTTAGAGTCGACCTTGCTTGCAAACTAAGTCCTTGCACTATAACTATATGTCTTCACTTTTCCACCAGTAAAGATTGGCAGGTATTTTCGGCCTGTGAGACTGTGACAGGGGGTCTGGTTATCTTCTCTTTGTGTCATCTTTTACACAAGCCAGCATATTCGATGGTGGGCATCTGTATAAAGATGGGGAGCGATTCATATGTATGTTTATATTGACGAAATAAACAATCTAAGTTTGGAAGGTCGTGACAATCCAGAATATGACGCGAAACTCTGAACGTGGAACCTGTCGATGACAGGAAAGCTCAAAATATTTTTTAAGAGGCTCACGACTTCCGGCACCCACAATCGCGAACTTCAGTCTACCTTGGGTACTGGGCGGGCTAGACTGGCTTTTGAGCGTAGTTCCACACGCCTCATATTGAAGGGTGCAGAGGAGCAGAAGATGAGATGACATGTCCCCTTCGTCGAATTAAAAGGGGTTTAAATCACGGCATCTTGCACACATCTTGTCGTTTGATATATGTATTCAGCAGATACATGGATTGGAATCCTGAATAGTTGGTTGACCGGATTATCCATGATGCGAGTTTGAAATGCATAATTGCATACAAGTGAGCAGGTGAAGAAAAGAAAAGAAAGACATTGAAGCGCGGGAGCGATTATTTTAAATAGTTAAACGTTAACTATAAGTTAACTAAATAATAAGCGAGGGCTCGGGCGGCTCTACAAGTTTCTGGATGCTTCATCAATCATTACTATTATTCATTCTTCAACCACCCCCATCATTCTAGCTGAGCGCGTTTGTTTCTCTAAACACTCAGACTGCCAGGGCCATAACTTCTATGCGCCCTTAGAACAACACGGGCCGCAATTGCGCTACCCAAGTTTCAAGCGTCAATTTCTTGGAAGACGATTTTCCTCTGACCCGACATATTGATTGCTCCACTCGCACCATCCCTCACCCCTCGAGAAGGAGCTGGGAACATATATACACATTATTCATTTGGTAGCTTATATCCCATTTCTGACGGAAGACTGGAGCTTCCTGGCAGTCACAGGGATTGGCCCAATTAAATAAACGGCATATTTATTTTGCACCGGTTCCTAGGTCACTAATAGTCTGACCCGATGGACCCTGAATATCTTCCAGATGAATGAGCTTTGGCTGCAGAATATGACACCCTCCACTTTCCACCCTGTCAAGTCAGGATAAAAGCAATGTTGTAATCATCGATGGGCCCGAAGGACTTGTTCTGTCCCGGAATTGGATATTGGCTCCAAGGACCCGATCCCTTGCAGATGAAGCGCATGTATGGCAGCCGGGAATATATTGTAAGATATTGTGATAGTCGCCATATTGATTTACATATATACCATTCGTCCATATTGTTCCTTATCCTTCGTACAATGTTCACAACTGCAGGCCAAGTCACCCACCCTCAGATCTTGGGCGCAAACACCGGAGGCAACCCCACCTCCTCCAGTGTCTTAATGACAGCATCTCTCTTGACTAAATTCGCAATCAAAGCTGTATATTTCGGGTATTCTTTCTCCATCTCCAACCCAATTTCCTTTCCCCACCGATAGAAAACCAACAAATACAGATCCACAACAGTGAACGCATCTCCAACCGCATACAGGCCCCCGAGGCTATTTTCAATAAGCTCATAGGCAGTTATGATAGTCGATTTTCCCCTCGCCTTAATACCATCCAGCGCACTGGCATCGTCCGAACATCGCTCAGGGCGCCAGAGTCCGCCGTATCCTGATCCGTGCAGATGGCCAGAGAGCCAATTCATCCACTCATACACTCTGGCGGTTTCGATGAGTGTTTTGCCAAGCAGTTTGCGATCCGGGGGTCCAAGCTGGGCAAGCGCAGTGAGGATCGCGGGCGCCTCTGTGATGATCTCGTCATCGATGGAGAGCACGGGGACGCGCCGCTTGGGGTTTATGACGCCTAAACCATTGGCGGAGAAGTCTGTTACGCGGATGGTTTCCACGTCTAAGTCCAATTCGCGGAGGAGGATGTGTGGAGCCAGAGAGCAAGAGCCTGCCCAGTACCAGAACTTAAGCTTCGTCATTATGAAGCGTGGGGGAATGTATATATGTGTATATAACTTTAAAGAAGGAACTGATTTTCATGGCCACCACACTAGATGGGACGTTTGTTCGAATAAATACTGTTCGCAACCCAGTTATACATCTCCCAATATCTTCCGTTCCTTGATGTTAGCATTCTGTGAACTTAGTTTCTTGCTGTGGAATCCAGGAAACAATTCCGAAGATTTTATCCTGCATGATCCAACGTCTCCTTTGGCATACGAGGCTGTGGCGGAAATTCAATCCGCAGTGACTTCTCTCAACATCCGCAAGCCGAAAATGAGACCCTATTAGTCAAGCACTGCTCACCTAAATCCGAGCGACCTCGGACAAGGGAGTACAATTATTAATCTGCTGACATATCTCGAGCATTTTTCCATCGACCATAGGGTTTGAGCGAGCGAAGGGCGTTTGTCATTTGAGGCCACAGTTATCAGATTCACACATAGTCAATCCGGGAAAGCGTTGTTTCACTGAGCAGAACGACGCGAAAAGGAACGCATAGACGTAGTGGGGAATTGATTGTTATTGAGGTTTTTTCTTTTCTTTTCTTTTCTTTTTTTTAAAAAAACAAAAAAGCACCATGAATTGAAGTTTCATCACTAACTACCTGGTTCCTTGAAGCAGAACGTAGACTAGGATGACGGACAGGGTGTGCCTTGGACCTTGGGGGATTCGGGCACAAGATTACTTCGCGGGATAGATATCCGAATCTGGATGAATACGATTCTTCCTTGTTCATAGCGGTGTTGATATATAGTTGCGTCAATGAAGCTCGATATGTCTCCACCACCGGTCTCTGAAGTTGAAGAAGCCAAGCATCATCGTATTTTGCTTATTTAGTGGCTCTGAACACGGACAATGATTGGCATCTCCATGCAATTAATAGAAGCATCTCGTATAGCCTGCTTGAGACTTTCTCCCCCAAGATTCAACAGTGCATACTCCGTAAATCCAATTCAATAACGGGGACTTAGGGAGGACATAGTTATCTCCGGTCCGGCGTCCAGCCCAGAAAAATTTAACTGCTCAATGATCAAGAAGAGCGAGCGCTCTGCCTCTTTGATACAAATAATGAAAACACTCTCCGCAGACTCCAGGCGAAGACAAGACAGCTTCCTCGGCCTGCTTGATTGTGGAAATTAAGGCTCGCGTTTCCCCTCAACTCCCACTGGGCCGGCTGCCGAGCGCCGCAGTGGCATGCTCTACTACCGCGAGCCGCTCGCTAGGCCGGGGAAGTTGACGATTTGCCAAGGTGTTGCCGAAGCAAAATGCGGGGGATGTTGGATAATCTGCTCTTGTGGAGTCGTGGGGGGGAATACTATTCTTTTTATTCTTTGATGTTCAACATGAAATAAACAAATTGACAGCTCGGAGCTCGATTTGCCTCGGTAAATGGCTATAGATTGCGAGGTTGTGCAGAACTAGAATCTACAGCGTATTTGATGAATGCTTCGGTTTTCTAGTTCAAACACTCTAGTTCTCTGTTTGACTTGTAGGAGGATAAACGCTTCAGCCGAGCCGGAGCTCAATCGTGTTCATCTAGACAGAGGAGAGCGGAGCTATACTGTCTCAATCTACCCGAGCAGTTTACACCTCTTCTACCTAGGTAGTTTTCACCGAGGGGAAGCAGAATAATCTATTGTGGCCGATATTTACTGCGCTTCCGCCAATCTGCCTTGCTGAATCCTCTTTCTACTCTACAATTCATCTCCATTCTCGCACCCCAGTAAATTATTGTAGAAACCTGAACGAAATCTACTATGCCCTGTAAGTTAATGTCCCATATCATGTTCCAATCCAGTACTAACGGGCCCTCATCGCAGTGACAAAAATCGCCGCTTCCGTAGCCGGTGCGCTGGCCGCAACCGCATACCTGGATGCCAAATTCATAGTCCGCCGCGACCTTTCTGCCGGCTCAATTTCCGCCCAAGCAAAAGATGCCTTGCAATTTCTCACAGAGCGCTGGGAACAGGACAAAACTCTCATATACCATTGCCTCGAGGCCCATGCCCGGGGAGAGAATCAGAATAATATTTTCTTGGTCTTCGAAGACCGCTCGTGGACCTTCAAGCAGTTCTTTGATGATGTACATCGGGTCGGGAACTGGCTGATGAACGATTTAGGGGTCCAACGGGGCGAGCTGGTTGCCCTGGACGGCGGGAATTCGCCTGAATATCTTCTGCTGTGGTTTGGGCTGGAATCCATAGTTGCCTGTCCGTCATTTATCAATTGCAACCTTACGGCCGCGCCGCTGGTGCATTGTGTGAAGTTGTGTGGAGCGAGATATTTGCTAGCGGATCGGGGGACGGAGCATTTGGTCCGGCCTTGTGAGGAAGAGTTGAAAGAGGCGAATGTCCAGACGATATATTATGATTCAGAGTTTATCGGTTTGCTCAAAAATAGCACACCCACTCCCGATTCTAGACGGGCGGGTGTTGGAATGGAAGATTTGGCGTCATTGATATATACTTCGGGTACGGACTCTTTTGGGCCATGCGTAACGCCCACGGTCGTTCCCTTGTGCACCAACTGATCGTTGATATTTAGGTACGACCGGCTTCCCCAAGGCCACTAATATGATTCGACGGAAAGAACTTACCACATCAAGGGGAGCGTGCGAATACCTCGGTCTCAAACCCGGCACGAAAATGTATACATGTCTACCACTTTACCACGGCGCAGCTCACGGGCTTTGTATCAATCCATCGATATATGCAGGATCAACCGTGATCCTTAGCCGCAAGTTTAGCCACAAGACTTTTTGGCCAGAGGTTCGTGAGTCGCAAGCGGATATTATTCAGTACGTTGGTGAATTGTGCCGATACCTCGTCAATGCACCCCCTTCACCGCTAGATAAGAAGCACAACGTGAGAATGGCCTGGGGGAACGGCATGCGACCGGATGTATGGGGTGTTTTCCGTGAGCGCTTCGGCGTTGAAACAATCAACGAGCTTTACGCAGCCACTGATGGGGTATCATCAAGCTTCAACGCCAATAGAGGCGATTTCGGACTTGGCGCAATCGGGGTACGGGGCTTATATTGGCACTGGGTGAACGGAAGCAATGAGAAACGGGTGAAAATTGATGTTGTAACCGAGGAAATTCAGCGGGATAAGAATGGGTTCGCCATTGCGTGCAAAGATGGCGAACCCGGCGAAACACTGTATAAACTGGACCCTGCCGCACCCAATGCTGCTTTTGTTGGATACTTTGGAAACAAGGGGGCGAGCGAGAAACGGAAGATCCGCGATGTATTTCAAAAGGGAGACCTGTGGTTTCGATCGGGGGATATGATGCGCCAAGACCCAGATGGTTGTCTCTACTTCGTGGACCGCCTAGGAGATACATTCCGATGGAAGAGCGAAAATGTGAGCACGAACGAAGTCGGAGATGTGCTGGGTAAATTCGGCAACATTGCCGAAACAAACGTCTATGGTGTGCAGGTGCCTCATGCGGACGGACGAGCTGGCTGTGCAGCCCTCGTGCTGGCAGACAGCATGACGGTCGATTCGTTCGACTTTGGCGCATTTGCAAAGTATGCGATTGGCGTGTTGCCTCGATATGCGGTGCCAATTTTCGTGCGTGTTGTGCCCAGTTTTGAGACGACAGGGACGATGAAGTTGCAGAAGGGAAAGCTGAGAGCTGAGGGAGTCGACCTGGATAAGATCAAGGAAAACGGCACAGGTGGTCGTTTGTTCTGGCTCCCTCCTGGTGGGAATGCGTATACTCCCTTCGAAGCAGATCAGTGGGAGGCGTTGAAGGCCGGAAGGGTCAAGCTGTAGATCTCCAACTCTTTATGCATGCTGTTTCGTTCTATGACAACCCAATCCAAATTGGTAGCATAGAATGCAATCTAACAAGACGTCTCGAACTTGGTGTGAGATAAGTTGAGGGGGTAATTATCATCTGGTAGCTAGATAGAAATTAGACACGGAGGGATCTGCCTTATAGCTCCAATCCATGTAAGCATCATTGTGAGATGTGTGGCCAGATGGTCGTGACGTAATAATATATTTCTGATATAGATTATTGAAGGGTTGTAAGGGCTCACAAGCAGCCTGCTCAGAGCTTAACAGATCCCGCTCTAGGCTGATGCGGGATTGACCCCCTAAGATGTCAGGCATTTGATTTCCTGTCCATATCCAGGGCACGTAGCCAAAAACCCGTTAATTCAGCTTCTTGACTTCATCCTGCAAAGGCTTAACATCCTTTAGCCGCTCAGCTTCCAGCTCAACCTCCTTCAACACCCTTAGGACATTCGCTCCCACAACCCCTTGCAGATCCTTCTCAGACACCCCGCGCCGCAGCAGCTCTGCAATAAGATCGGGATACTTCGAAACGTCTTCTAGTCCTTTCACTGCATCGGGCATTCCATCAAAATCTGCTCCAAGCCCAATATGTTCGTACCCGATCAATTCCCCCGCGTACTGAACATGGTCCGCAACGTCCGACAGCGACGCCGTCCCCTTACCATCACAGCGCGTATACGCCGGGAAAAACGTAATCATAATCACACCACCATTCTTCTTCAGCTCCAAGAGAACATCATTGGGCACATTCCGTGGATGCGCGCATCGCGCATATATTGATGAGTGTGAGAAAATGACCGGCGCGGAAGAAACCCTCAACGCATCGCGCATGGTATTATTGCTCACATGCGCCAGGTCCACGATCATGCCTAGCCGGTTCATCTCGCGAACCATGGCTTCTCCCGCAGGCGACAGGCCGTTGTGGAGTGGTTTTTCCGGTGTTGCGCTGTCGGCATATTTGTTGTGGCAGCTGTGGGTGAGGGTTACATAGCGTACGCCCAGACGGTGATACATGCGCAGAATGCTGGCACTGTTACCAATTTGGTGCAGGCCTTCAACGCCAATGAAGCTGGATATGGTGTCGGAATTGGCAAAATTGGTCCATACGTCATTCGCGGAGGAGACGATACGTAGGTGTTGTGGGAATTCTTTTGCGAGGCGGTGAACCAGGTCTATTTGCTGGAAGGTGTCGTGAACAGTCTCTTGGTAGGTTTCGTCTGAAAAGTTGTGGGAATTTCTGGGGCTGGAGGAATTGGTAATTGATGTTAGTTATTTATTGAGGATTCAGCGGTTGTTGAGCAGCCTCTTGCGGTAACTCACCACTGCACGTACGCACTCCAGAACTGGCCTCGCAGCCCACCCTTTCGTAAGCGTGGGAAGTCCACCTGGCCTGGGAGCTCTATGCCATTGGAGAAGTTCTTGTGATATATATCATTGTTGTAAAGGGCTCGAATAAAGTATGGAAAGTCGTTGTGGCCATCTGTAGTGTGGTGCCAACGTTAGCTGTCTGCCCAGCAAGACACAACCCCGCCTTCCTCTGTATAGTCAATACATGGGAAATCTTACCTATCAAAGGTGCTGTTTGTAAGATCCTGTCGACTGGTGAAACGGACGCATGTTTGCAGTGAAACAGCTTCCATGGAGAAATGGTTGATGGAATGATGGTGAACCATGCTATGATAATAATACACGCCGCTCCAATGGAAAGGATATAAGTATAACTGGGCAAAAAAGGTCGGCGCTCCGGCCTCGCACACTCTTTACCCTTCGCATGCATAGCTATCCAAAAGTCACCTACGGGTGGTGTCTAATGATCGCCCATCTCAAAGAGTTAGTGTTGAAGTTATCCTGCCCGACTTTGTGTGTAGCAACTTTGGAGCTAGCGTCGTGTGTAAATTGTAGGCTACTGGGGCAAAAGAGCTCAGTCACCACCAGCGCACTGCTGGTAGAAAGGCCGATCAACCCGGGACCCCCAACATAAATCCTCGTATATTTACCCGGAGTTTTTTTTTAAAAAAGAAATTAAAAATGAAACTTGAAACTATGTCACTGGAACGGTGGAAGAGATAATCAGATTGAAATGTTGATTTCTTAAAAAGTCGTATCTATGTTTGAATATACTCCGTAAGCTACAGTTATAATTGTATTTATCAGCGCGAAGCTTCTATCCATCCAGCTCTGACACTGGGAATTTGTAGAATTGGTGGTTCGATATGACCTGAGAGAATGCAACTATATTTTCTACTCGTGGGCTTCAATGGAAATATCGCAAACGTACGACTGTACTATAGAAAGAAGCACAAGCAAAATTCTAGCCACTACCGAGAAACTATTAGCCTTTGCCATAACCCAAGAGGATGTCCCCTCCTCCCATCACGAGATTGCTAAATTCCATAGTGATCGTATTCTCCAACACTTTGTCAGACTTTGCCGTGTTGCCTCAAGCTCAACCAGCGGCTCGGGATTATAACATACAGTGTTGCCCGAGTGTAGTTGCGCGGTTGAGCACTTCGGATTACCAGAGCTGTCAAGTATCTTCATTCCTGGACGCAGGTCCAAGCCGCGCATGCTTTGGAGGGGGTGAGAAGGGAAGAAATGCAAAGGGGAAAAAAACTCACGGTCAGCAATTTCTAGCTTCCCTACACTTGTCCTGCCGCGACGCAGGCCATCCGGCCTATCAATTCACTTTCAAAGATGAGGCATAGTAAAAACAAACTCTTCAACACAAAAATTGTCCCATCTGTCAGGTCATCACCGCATCATGGCAGCTCCTCGCGGAGCCCTCGTGATGATGGTTTTAGAAGTGGGATTTTTATCGATCTCGACACACTCATCGGAATCGCCAGAGCAGTGGAAGAAAAAAACCTCAGAAAGGTCATAAGAGTTGCTAACTGGTGATGATTTGAGTTGGTGGTCTAGCTGTTGAAGAAGAAAAAAAGAAAAGGAAAGAGAAAGAGAAAGAGAAAAAGAGGAAAATTTATTGGGCTTTGAAGTAGCCGGAGGATAGAGTAGCCGCTTTGGGAACAGATGTCATGTGACCTTGAAAAAAAGCCATCAAAGAGCAAATTTTGTACGTAAACAGCTGCGAAAAATAAAGATTCATTCCAAAGTCCAGTTGTAAAACAATCGCTAGCTCCAATACTATGCAAAATAATGAAATATCCTGTCAAAGGTGCCCAAGAAAGCCCAGTTCCACGCCAAAAAAAAGGGGATATAAGCTCCCAAAACAATAAAAATAAAAAATTATAATACGGAAAAGAATATTAAAGGTTTATGACAAATTGGCATAAACAGTCCCATCCCTTAGTTCATGTATCGTCTCCTTATCCGCAGACACGCCAACCTCTGCATACCGCCGCCCGTCCCGCAATTCATGAATGGTAATCTGGCGATGTCTGGACCTCTTCGGTCGCGCATATTTCTTGAAAATGTTACCCCTGCTACTGCTGGGGCTGCCACTAGTTGAAGTGGAGATGGAGCTGCTTGTTTCGGTGCTGCCGCGTGCCAGTGCCAAGTATTCGTGTTTCTTCGCGAGCTGCTCCCCCTCCTCCTCATACCATTGCCGGAGAGAGGCGACGTACTCTTGCTCCTCGATGCCAAATTCAACGGGAGGCCCATTCATCTGGACGTCAGTATCGTTTCCCCCGGGGAATACAGCCCACGAGCTAGTCGTCATACTGATTAGCATCATTTTGTGGTCCATGCTTTGAACTTTGAAGTCGCGGAGAAGGATCACGTCTCCCTTTTCTGCAGTGGGGAGCGATGATTTTGTTTTTCGGAACATTTGAGCACACACAGTTATGCCGGACATGGAAGGTTCTGTGATATGCAGTGTTGTATGATATTCCCGGGGACCTTTCCTCGATCGTGAGATTTTTGAACATGAGATAACCACGGATATAGTATCTGTCATCTTGTTGAAATTATCCGCAAGGGTGGACAAAGGAAAGAAATATGACAGGCGGCTACGAAGGCCTCTGGCATTGGTATTTGGTTGCAATACGGTAGGTGACTCGAGCTCAGCGGTTTTTATGGCATCGGCATGGTCCACGGACTTCCCCTTTCGCATATCGATATCCGCCTTAACGGCAACATCGACGCTAGCGTTTTCTGCTTCTTCATTCTTAGGAGGCTGGGGAATGGGTAGGGGCTGCTCATCAACGAACTCGGGCGTTTGGAGGTTCTCTCTGCGCGATTGCTCCTCCATATCACGGAAAAGTTGAGAAGTAACCAGTTCATCTTCTGCTAAGCGAGCTTCTAACGACGGCGGCGAGGAAGGAATATCAGCAGATTTGGGGGTTTCTATCCGTGTTTCAGACGGATCTTTCGCATCTGGTGACAACGAAACTCTGCGTTCTTTCCAACCGTTGATATCAAACGCTCCCTCATGCGATGGTCCGTGATCTACGCTACCTGGAGTCTTGGGACGCGTGCTTGGGCTTTTCTGTTTCTTAGGTTGATATAGTTGAGGATCAATAGCGATATTATCGGACAAATGGAGCTTAGCTTCCAGTTCCCTATCAGACATGGAACCTGACGAGAAAGAAGGGCTTGCATGGCGGAATCCATTCAAGTCTCCCGATTTCTCGCTAGTATCTTCGCCCTCGTGATCGGTCGCGGCAGGTTCCGCTTCGATATGAAGCGCTGCTTGCGCCATATAGCCTATCGTTTCTTGCTGGGGAGTCTCATCGAAGCTAGCGCTAGGCTCAAGATTTGGGGGAACAATATCCCCACCGAGTAAGTTTGTAACAGCCGTAGATTCTCCAGTTTCTTGACGCGTATCCGCACCAAATTCACCATGAGGTTTGAAGCTAATAGTGGTTAAGTCTTGTGGTGGCGAGTTGGACAGTTCAGTATCACTTGGCTGCCGTGGCACATCAGAGCTAGGAATTTCCACGTGTTGCGGAGCAAAGGTCACAACAGGGGCGCCCTCGTCGTCATCACTGTCCAAAACGATTATTTCTGGCGGAGCACGGGGGACAGCGAGATAAGTCGGTCTCGGTGGTAACGTGTCTTCGTCTGGCCCTAGCTCCGACTCTAGCTCTGAACCTTCATCATATTCCTCTTCAGATTCGAGTTCAGATGAGTTTTCAGAGACGCTATGTCCTATTTCATCGTCGGAGTATATTTCTATGTCCTCTCCCTCCTCCTCTCCTTCTTCGTGCTCTCCCTCTCCCAACCTCTCTTCCTCCATTCGTTCTTCCAGTTCTTCCTGCAACTCCACCAACTCTTCCTCCAAATCTTCAGTCGGTTTCCGGCTTACTCTCTGTTCGAATATTTTTTCAAATTTTTCCTCCATAAGTTCCTCACGACCTTCTTCAAGTGGCTCTCGCGCAGTTCCTTCCACATATTCCTCAATTTCTTCTTCGCCTTCACCATCCTGATCAGTCATCTCCTGGTCTACATCGTATCCCTGTCCGGATAGGCCCTGTGACATTGCCAGGGCAGCTTGCCGTTCTGCTTCCTCTAACTCCGTCAAATCTGCCTCGCGTTCCTCCACACTAGTCACGCGCGCCACATGATCAGGCTCTGTGGCTTCCTGATCAAAGCTCCCTTGGCTATCAAGATCAACGACTGGCGTTGGAGGTGAGGGTCTAGCGTTATTATCGGCACGATGGTCAAGCAGGTGATGCACGCCTTCCGGCCCATTTACCATAGCCTCATCTTGAGATCCCACTTCCTCGCTGGTTTGACCCGCTATGCCATGTTGTGTTGTAACCAATTGGGAAGCGGTAGTATCATGTACATGAAGCTGGGTCGATATAGGGCTGCTAGATGGCGTGGCCTCATGACTTGTACCTTCTAAAATTTCAGGAGAAGAGGTGGCCGAAGTTAGGGGAGATAATGTTAGGGGCGGGGGTTTAGCAGTAGCTTCATGGTCAACTATTGGTTGGTCTTGCACAAACGAGTTCCCAAACGAAGTGAAAGGTGTGACGGTCGGTTGCTGTGAATGCGTAGTATCCCAGTTCGAGTTCTGGGTAAATATGTGAGCAGAGCCGTCGGGCAGAGAATGGTCAAAAGTGGTACTGAATGTACTCGAAATATTTAATGCGGTGGGTGGAGTAAAGTTGTCTATAGTTTGAGTTTCCAGTAATCTCCCGTTGTCTTGGCTTTTAGAATCTGCGTGAACGGTTGTTTGGGAATTAGGAACGGTGTCGCCTTGGGAGGGATATTCTTCCAGTGTAACATCTTCTTGTTCCCCGTCGTCCAATTCAAGGTCTTCATCTTCCCATGCATCCGCAGCAGCTGGCGGTGGACTAGGCGGTGTATCCACGAAAGTCCATTCACTACTCGGTCTACTGAATTTTGTCCGTTTCCTGCCCCTACCCCAGATGTACCCATCTTCTTCCTCAAGGGGATTGAACGCTAAGCTGGAGAGGGAGCCAAAGGAGCCGCTGAACTTTTGCGAGAATGCAGGTGAAGCCCAATTGTCTGTAACTAGGCCAGCATGTTCTCCGTTCCTTTGCGCCTGTGGGGCCGAGGATAATCGGTTGGGAGTCGTTGGTACTGTGCCATCGATACATAGACGTTCGACCTGAGGAGGTTCAACTTTGACAGTTGTCAACAGCTCGGAATCGCGATATACCTAAATACATGCAAGTCAGAGGTTGTCCTTTCTTACATTCACTCTCAAAGCTATTTAGATAAAATATAATCACCTCAAGCAGCAGACGCTTAGAAAATGAGAGATCCCAATCAATGCTTTTTCCCGGTGTACTAATATCTGCGTCCTGATTCTGCCACCGCGCGCCGTCAAGACTCAAAACCACAGTATCCCCAATACTAACTTGTGACTTTGCCACTGCTTCTGCACTCGCACCGTGGAAGCTGACTCTGACCTGGCCCTTTCTGTCTCTGAGTCTAAAATCTGGCTCAGAAATGAGCAGGCTAAATTGCTTCGTGTAGGATGAATACGGCCATAGCAGTATCACAACAGCACGGATATGTCGTTCCTTAAGACGGTCGAGAGACGGAGAGAGGTGGGCAAGAGGAGTTGGTGTGGCAGAAACCAGGGCCGATGCCCCGTTCGTAGATAATGCTAGTGCCATAATAATTCCCACGCCACCATGATGGATTAAATATTATCGCCGACGGTGCATCGTGTCATAGGATAGAATCGAACAAGATCAAGCATACAGTTAGGTCGCACTCTTCTAAAGCTACAACCTAAGTAAAAGTCGTGCTGTGGGAGCTGGATGACACCAATAGGCAGATGTCGCGAATAGTAGGCAGATATCACCAACAAAGTCGAGGTCTAAAGAGGAGCTGGAGGTCATAGCATAACCACGTGATTTTTCAAGCAACCTCGGATCTCTGCTATCTCAACACATGGAGAGTTCCTTTGAGAAGAGCCAAATGGTTGATGTTGGGTTACTGAAAGACTGCTACTGCAACAAATATGCCATTAAATTCCAGTAGCAGCCATCTATTCATATTTGCTGATAACTGGATTGGCCCTTAGTACACAATAGTACTAAGCTCCAAGACTTTTCCCCATGAAACTACTGGCTATAGATAGAGTATTATAGTTACGGAGGCAGAGCACCTCGAACAAAGCTCAGACTGGCATGCACCGTCGAATCAACTCATCCATACTCTTTTTCCCCTCCTTCGCGTACTCACGCATACCATACCCGCCTACTTCTCCCCTCAGGCCACCATCAAAGACCTCCATAGAAAACCAGCCCCTAAACCCTGTCTCTAACACTGCTCTAGTGACATCTTCAATAGGCAAGTATCCACCATGATACGGGAATGGGCGGAATGCATGACTCCACCGTGCTCGAGGCCTCATGCCATCAATTTCCCTCTTTTCCAGCGGTGAGGGTAGCGGTTTATACGCGTCGGAGATCTGCAAGAGATAGATCTTGCCAGGCGGTACGGTTTTCGCCAGTTCATCCAAACTCTGCTTGAACCTCTGATCCAACTGATGTTCGTTGATATCTGCGCCTCCTTCCACTTTTTCAACAAGTCCCGATGCATTTGTCGGGTCTGCCCACTCACTGCCGGCGGTCTGAAACGTGTCGAGACACAGCCCAACATTTGGCCTGTTGACTTCTTGGACTATGTCCCATACATCTTTCCATGTGGGAGCGTGTGTGGACCAGCACCAATTTTCATAAGCGAGACGCATATTGCGTAGCCGCAATAAATCGGCTAGTTGCTGGAGATCTGAAACTATATCCTCACGATTTGCGGATATCTTATGTGCTGGAGCGTCCGTGGATCCAACCTCCGTGTAGTGTGAGCTTCTGATGTAGGCAGATGTCGAAAACTTTACGACTACTCACCTGCAGCATATCCGTCCCGCACGCCTCCATAATCCTGATCCAACCATTTGCTCTTTCAAAAGCGTCCTCTCGCTCTTTAGATCCTCTTGCCCACCCCTCAAAGTTGCTAAAAGGCTGCAACATCATCACTCTGATGTCGAGTGCGCGGCACATCAGTGAGACCTCCTGAGCTGCTGTGCAAAGATCGGTGTAGTCATCTGCAGCAACATCTCGATGGAGAAGCTGCGTTGCGAACTTCTGGAGATCGGGAAATGCAAGTTCAACTGCGGAGAACTCTGCGGCGGCGATTGCTTCGAGATTCCTAGGTAATGTGTTCTCATCGGGGTCCGAGGATGAGATGGAGCAGGTCGCAAAGGATAGGGGGATTTTTTCAGACATTTTGCTTTCTTCCACTTCACTTTTTCATTGACGTTTGGTTTGTCCCATTTGTGCCAGACACAGTATGATGTGGGATAGTACTCTTCGCCAACTATTCGCCATGCTCAGGGCCGAAAATTCCCGCTGAGTATCTCCTCTGGTCACTTTGGCGTCATAGGCGTCATATCTCGTGGAAGACTGGGAATGGGCCAATCCGCAACAAATACCCTTACCCTTAGTTAATAATGACCAACCCCAATTTTCCCTCGCAAACTGCGGTAACTCTGTTGTACTTTTTAAGTTTCCATGATATGACGTCACCTTGTTTAATCCGGGAATTGCGTGGTATCACAACTACTGCCGCTCATAGCAATTAAGTATTCGCTGGTTAAACCTGAATCAAGTCTGTGGGGTGTTCATAATTTATCAGCACCAATTTATCAGAAACAGCCATGGCTACCACCCAACCATTCCAGCACACTGGCATCGTTGGCGCCGGCAACATGGGCACAATGATGGCTTTCGGCCTCGCAGAGCTTGGTCCCGATGTATCCCTGTGGGACGTGAAAAGCTCTAATGTCGATGAAGCAATATCAATGAGCAAAAACGAAGAGAAACTGAAGGGGAAAATCTCCGGTTTCCACGATATCCATAAATTTGCTGACAGCATCAAGCCCGTCACGGTCGATGGCGATCAAAGAAGGCTCTTTCTCTTCTCAATTACGCACGGATGGCCCGCAGACAGCGTCTTGGATAAAATGAAGGATGATCTGAAAAAGGGAGATATCATCCTTGACGGCGGCAATGAAAATTATCGGAAGACCGAAAGGCGGCAACGGGAATTAGAATCAAAAGGAATCAGCTGGATTGGAATGGGAGTGTCTGGGGGCTATCAATCTGCAAGACATGGGCTAAGTTTGTCGCTCGGTGGTGATCCAGATGCCATCAACGTAGTGCTACCGCTTCTGCGAACATTCGCTGCGAAGGACGCACGAACAAAGGAGCCCTGTGTCTCTAATATTGGTCCACGCGGTGCGGGCCACTACGTTAAGATGGTACACAACGGCATCGAGAATGGGTTGCTATCAACTCTTTGCGAGGCGTGGGATATCCTGCACTCCGGCTTGCATTTATCCCACGACCAGATTGGAAAGATACTTGAGAAATGGAATAGTGAAGGGGAGTTACGACATACGTTCCTTGTCCAAATTGGGTCAGAGATTTGCCAACGGCACAAGACTACCACAGGTGATAAGGGTGGCGAGGCTGCAAGTAGCGCTGGCGGCTTTGTCCTAGACGATGTCGGCGATAAGGTCGTGCAGGATGACGACGATACGGAAGGGACCCTCTACTGGATGGTCATGGAGGCAGCGGACCGGCACGTCTCTGCCCCGACTATAGCGACTGGCCAGTTTCTCCGAGTCGCAAGCGGCAACCGCCGACAACGGCTTTTGGTCGCAGACAAGCTCAAAGTTCCCCACCCAAAAAAAATGGAAGCTACCAAAGACGCAGATTCGTTCATCGAAACGCTTCGCAAAGCGGTATTCGTCTCGTTCCTGTGCTCCTACTGCCAGGGACTGGAACTGATAGCACGTGCATCCCGGGACGAGAAATGGAATGTTAATCTCGGAGAGTGCATGAAGATCTGGCGTGCCGGCTGCATTATTCAGGCAGAATACATCTCCGATCTCCTCATGCCTGCTGTGACATCTGGTGCAAGGATTATGAACATGAAGCTCATCAATGAGGTCTCAGCTGCACTTACGGAACACTATGACTCGTTAAAGTTAGTGGTTCTGAGTGCGGTGGAGGCAGATTCCTGTGTTCCCTCAATGTCAGCCAGTTTGGAATATTTGAAATATGAAGCGAGTAAGATGCTCCCTACGCGATTCATGGAGGCGGAAATGGACTTTTTTGGCGCGCATAATTATGATAGGCCTAGCGTTAAAGGAGAAGATCCCGGTAAAGTGGCCAAGGGTGCGCATCATTATGAATGGCGCCCTGCTTGAAACATGTCTGATGTGATGTTGCAGGACACTCTCGGTCAAGCAAATTCGTTCATTGTCCATAAGGTGGAAAAGCAACGCATCTATTCATAGTGCATTTGGTCTATCAATACTTAGTAAGGGTAGATGAGAGTTATAGTCCTGGGCAATTGTCTTTTCTAGCATTGTCGCTGTTCGTCCTTGTGTAGGACGAGGGGTTTGTTGGTTGGCTTATCTTATCTTACCTCAATCTAATCAGATAACTATCGGTCTTGAACGCTAAACCCAATAGAGTATTCTGGCATTTCTGCCTGGACAGTGGCATGTTTGCAGTCGAAGAAGTTGCCGAGCCGATATAAATATAGCCGGCGTACCAACCAACCAACAAACAGCCGGAGAAGGTGGCCCTGGCATCGTCCGCATATCCAAATTAAGCCACTGTACATGTAACTATTCACCCGCCAACCAAGTACTGTCTTGTTTGCGTGGAACGATGCGAGCGCTTTCCTCCCACCCAATCCGCAGGGTAGCCATTATTGGCGCTGGCCCGTCTGGGTTGGCTGCGGCCAAGTATGTATTGGACCATTATTACTAAAACAGCGTCTGCTTAATGTTGTCCGTCGTAGCGGGGTACGTACTGACGCGATCCCGTAGATTCTTGTTAGCCGAAAAATATTTTGAAAAGATTGACGTTTTCGAACAGCGCAGTCGGGTTGGTGGGGTCTGGAACTACTCAACAGCTGCAGACAAAAAGCTTGCTTCGATTGATATCCCGCAGACAAACGCCCACTTACCCGCAGAGGAGCCCATTTGGCATTCGTCGTCGGGTTCGTCGCAAAGTTCTGATTCAGCAAAGTCGCAAGGCCGAAAAGAAGCCTCGTTCATATCCCCACTCTACGATGACCTGGAAACAAATATCCCTCACACTTTGATGCGGTTTTCCGATAAACCATTTCCTACGGATACACAGCTATTCCCTAGATTTGCGACTGTGCTGCAATATATAGAGGAGTACGGCGCGGATGTCGAGCACCTCATACAATTTCAGGTCCAGGTTGTAGATGTGAGGCTTGATGATGCGCGTGCGGGGACGTGGATTGTGACAAGGAAGCATTTAGAAACTGGCGCTCAAGAGGATGATGTCTACGATGCCGTGGTGGTGGCGAACGGTCATTATAATGTACCATATATCCCGTCGATCGCTGGGATATCGGAGTGGAATGCGGCATATCCGAACGTCATAACACATTCCAAAACATATTCGTCCCCCGTGGAGTTTCAGGATAAAAAAGTTATTGTTGTTGGCAACTCTGCCTCTGGAATTGACATTGGAGCTCAAATCAGCACAACATGTCGCAAACCACTTCTTGCTTCTGCGCGGTCTCCTTCCTACTTTGCCACCGGAGCTGTTGACGATAAAAAAGAGTATCCGCAAATTGTTGAGTTCCTGCCACCAATTACTCATAACCGGGCTGTTCGGTTCGAAAATGGGGAGATTGAGGAAGACGTCGATGCCGTGTTGTTCTGCACGGGATACTTATACTCATTTCCGTTCCTGTCATCATTGAAACCTCCGGTTGTTGAGGATGGAAGCAGGACACTCCATGTTTACCAGCAAATACTTTACGCTGACCAGCCCACCCTGGCATTCCCCGTTTTAAACCAGAGGGTCATCCCGTTTCCGATGGCGGAAAATCAAAGCGCTGTGATTGCTCGAGTCTGGTCCGGGCGGCTCAGTCTTCCCTCAAAGCAAGAAATGTACCAGTGGGAAGAGGCTGAAATAGCCGCTCGGGGACCTGGCAAAGCCTTCCACGTTTTCAAGTATCCCATGGATGCTGATTATATCAATGCGTTGCATGAATGGGCGGCCAGCGCGGAGCGGAGGCCAGGTTTGGAGAACGAAGGGCGCGGCAGGGATTGTACCTACTGGAACGAAAAGGATCGATGGACCCGGGAACGATTCACACTCATCAAGAAAGAGTTTAATATGAAGGGGGAACAGAGACATCAATGTCGGACCTTGGAGGATGTGGGTTTTGATTTTGAGGCATGGAAGGCGGAGCAATCGATAACGTATCGATGAATTTAGTATCTAAAGTAAAGTAATTATATATCTAGATAGAATGGATTCCATATTCTCAATATATACCACTGTTAGCTATTTCTATTACATTCTATTACAATCAGCATGGTGTACCCTGGCCCTGGGCGCCTCCACCAGGGACTTTGATGACAACTGCCCCCGGCAGCATGTCACGTGCAAATGGTCATGGTTATGTCAGCAGCTAAGTTAGTGGCTTTCCGTTCATTGCACCAAATGTCGGCGCGCAATACATTCTCATTTGCACTCGCGCTTATATTCTGCGTTCTGCGTGATACAGTAGCTATTCTATTTTGAAATTCAGTTGTTCAGTTTTGCCCTATTGTTGAAAATGGACTGTGGCTTTGTCATTCCCATCCATGCATAATAATGGGCAAGTCGAGAACGCCTACTACAGTTGCACATCTCGTCTCATCATCTCGCAAGTCTAGAAATACGTCCAACACCCAGGAATCCACCGCTACGGGATCTGAGACCTTACTACAACTGTCTGACGAAGTATCTGTCAATAGTTCTCAGGAATATCCCATAAAGAGTATTATTGACGAATCCCGCGACAGGTATCTCATTGCCTGGGAAGGCCCGTACGAACCAACCTGGGTAAGTTCTATGTGATGAGCTCATGCATGCACCAATTGCGGCCGTTCTGTTTTTAAATTTGATTTGATTTGATTTTTAATAGATGAAATATTTTATTTTATTTTTTACCTTATTTGTTTGGCAGTGTTTGATCACATTGTTGTTTGATCACATTGTTTTACATTCATGATTGAAGTACTGTGCAATGTATGCTGGCTTGTCAAGTTTGTACCGTGGCGATTGTTAGCTAAAGCTCCATCCTCTAGGAACCCAAGCATTTTGCAAACGACGTTGCAATTCAGATCTGGGAGAATAAGAAGAAGAGGACAGATAGTGTTGCCTATAAACGTGGTGGCTCTGACCAACACTCCTCTTTACAGTCTCCTTCCGCAACCTCTGTTGCTGGTCCACCTTCCACGGTACCAGAAACTCAACAGACAGGCCTTAGTCAAAATTCTGTGCTTTCAACTGCAGCTGCGGGCAGTCAATTTTCTTCAAATCCTTCTCAAGATTCTGAAGCAAGCGGCAGTTTGTACTATCCAGACACCTCTGATCAGGCCACCCAGTCAAGCAGTGGTGCCTCAGCCCAAAGCCAGCATCAAAACTTGACCAGGGGTGCAATTCAACTTTGTTCAATCCAGTCGAGGCGCAATCACACCTTATCGACACAAATTGAACCAAGCCCTACTTCAGGATCGCTGCAATCTCCAAGCCATTGCTCCCTTCAATTCATTCGACCTAATACTCGCAGTGAGCTATTGACCCGATTTCGACGGCCCGCACGTCACAATAGACTACAAGCTTCGCACAATAGTTCATCTCCAAGCTCGTCTACAAACCCTTTAGAAACTAACTCTACCTCAAAAAACTCCTCGGGCATCTTTCGATTTCAGGGCACACACGCCTACCCGACAAGCTGCGAAGGGGATCACTCCTTGGGGTACGCAAATTTCCACTCAAACAACATTGGAACTGAGATTGAGATAGCGGAGACTCCACCAGCACGCCTCTCGCTGTATCACAGCCAGAGCGCTAGCCAATCTCACCCATCACTTAGCCCATCCACTTTATCTCGCGTTTCAACTCACCATTCTCCCTCGCAAGCCCCTTTATTCAACGATAGTTTTGGTAAAATCTCTCCGAGTACCTTCCTAGTTATGGTCATCGCTAATAAGATACCTTCAGTACATAAAACACCTATTCGCCAGATAGCACTTCCTTTAAGCAATACTGTCCCCGAAAGTCTAGAGCGGGGTATTTCCACTCAATCCCCGACACCCTCGATCGGGCAAAACCCTTGTTCCCTTGCTGGAAATTCTAGTAGCATATCCGTATCCATGTCAGCACAGCTACCCAGTAACAGCGACGCATCGCAACCTGCAAATATTCCACAGAGTTCCATCATCAACATGGATGAATCATCGCCTACTAGCGGGACACCGAACCCGTCCATGACTATGGAGGAAGCACGACGTAATAATCCAGGGACGAACTTTCGCGAGAAAATGAGATTTATTCGTGCCCATGAGCGCTCTCTCGCCGGAGAACCACAGAGCGTTAGTGCAAGCGTAACACCATCATCTGCTAGCGATATTGAACCATCACATCCAGCTCCTGCCAGAGATGCGGTATCCCCCCTTAATATCCGCGTGGATCAGGAGCCTCATACTCATCCACCACACGTCATGACAACGGCCGAACCGCCCCCCACATTTATTGCACCCCAGGCTCTACATTACAATGCGGAACATCCAGTTACTGTCGCGGAATTACTCGCAGAGTCGCAGCCAAACCTTGCTGGTGAGGTAGAACTTCCAGAAGTTTCAGCAGATATAGTAGCCGAGCCAGTAGCAGGATTCGAGGCAACCGTGGCCTCAATTGAAGAGGTGCCGGAACCGCAGCCTGTTGGCATCAACCTGGGACCCATGGAATTCGCTGTTCCTCTCTCTATGGACTCTAGAGTAAAGGATGACTATGATGTCACCCTTTCCGCAGAGAGCAGAACGATTGGAAAATTTTTGGCGGAATCTTCGTCGTTGGGAACCGATATGAGCAGCTCTACTCCGGAGGTTAGTAGCCGCTTTAGCCAACCAAAGTGAATTTCAAAAATTTCTTACACAGATATAGTATGATACCCAAATCTCGAGAATGCTGAAGTTGGTCAATAAACTGAATAATATAACAACACATCCTGACCTCAATGACCAACCCGCGGCGCCCGGTGCGAATCCAGTCAAGGAGGCGGCGTGGGCGGAATACTCGAGTACAAAATTTCAATTTCTAGGTTTCCTAATTGACGCAGCCGTAAATGATGATTTGCATATTATCATCGTAGCACGAAGCGACAAAGCTGTCAAGCTTGTGGAAAATTATTTGATGGGCAAAGAATTTATCAATACTCAACCGGCGACGGATAGGTCGGCTGATCTTGAATTATCTCTCTGCAAAGGGCAGCTCAGCTTTGCGATTCGGTCAGCGACTGATAACAGAGTACTTCAACCATTTAAGCCCCCGGCTGCGATTATTGCTCTCGATAATTCTTTCGACGCGGAGGATCCTGTCATCCGCCAAATACGCACAGAAGCGTCTCCGAATGGGCAACTTTTGCCTGTTATTCGCCTGCTTGTTTCTAACACTGCAGAGCATGTCGAACGATGTTTGCCAGACACATCAAACATCAACAGGCTTCGCCTTCTTGTCAAGTATACGCGAGACTTCAGTAGTACCGCTGGAGAGCTTCAAGATGATGCGCTAGGAGTACAAGAAAACGCAGAGGAGGTTTTCCTTTACTTGAAAATGGACCCTGCTACGCGTGTGTGGCCGCTTGCAGCGGTTGAATTAATACCAATAGAGACACTGGACGTCTCTCCTGCTACTCTGGAAGTAGAGGAGCTTCGATCTATGTCATCTTCACGACAGAAGCGGTTGTTGGTAAGTGGAGAGATTGCTAGCATCTAAGGTCCATGACGCTAATAGATTTGTAGGAGAACGATGAGGATGAGGCTAGTAATCAAACAAAAAGGCAGCGCATGACCCCTTTCCAGGATATCACACACATTAGCGACTCGATGCAGGGCCAAACACAGTCGCAGGACGGAGGAGATTCTCGGCTTAGCGAACGAAGTTTAGTCCAAGCGAAAAACGCCATGGAATTCGAAGTTAACCAGCTACAAACTGCTTTGGAAAAGGTTCAAACGAATCTTCAAACCACGGAGAAGAGTTTCTCTCAACTACAACATCGATACGAAAGCCGCCTAAACAATTACCACAAATTACGCAAAGAACTAGAGCAAGCCCTCGAAGTTTCCAAGACGTCCTCCGAGCGTCTCGAACGGCAGAAGATTGAGATAGCCAAACTCAAAGACGAGAAAGCCACCTTAGTCAAAGATCTTGATGAAGCTAGAACCATCATCAAGGAGGGAGGAGGCACGGATGCGGAGTTAGAGAAAGCCCGAGAGGAAATACGCCGCCTGACAAAGGAAAATACCAGCCTCCAACGCACAGTCCAGCAAGAGCGCTCGCAGACAGAATATACAAGGCAACAATACCAAAACGCCTCCACTGCCGCCGCGCAATCAGCCATGGAACTGCGCCAACTCGAAGAGGAGCTGGGCGAGCTAAAAGCCAAGGCCGCAGGCGACCTGACGAAGTTGAAAAGGCTACGCCTGCAGAACGACGAGCAAACGCATCTGACGCGGATTAAGGAACTCGAAGTAACGTTGGCGCAACGGGATGAGATGTTGAACCGCAAGGAGGAGGAGTTGCGGGAGTTGAAGAAGAATCGGCCGTCGACTCGTGCGACGAGTCTGCAGCCGCGTAGCCCGAAGTGGGGGGCTAGTCGGCCCGCAAGCCCGGGGGCGAATAATGTTGGTGGCGGTAACATGCGGGGTAGTGCGTTGAGGTATCCGTGCTGAATTGAATGAGATGAGGTGCCATCGGTGTGGACGTATATACAATGTTCTGTCGTTCTAGTTATGGTTGCTGGATGGCTAGGGTTAGCTCCTTATACAGTTTCATCAAAGGGCGAGCACATTTATTCCGTCAGGCACTATCAGACGGGAGGCAGAGAGAAGTGTCGGATGAGGCAGGGTTTTGTGTTAGCATTTTTACCAGTGCTTCTTTTCCTCTTTATTGAAGTTGTCCGTCATTCTTTCATATTTCCTAATGCCCGTACTCCTTGAATAACTATGGACAGATTCACATCCCGATGCAGGCGCCAAGGATGGGCGGTTTGGTTTATACATATAGATATGTATGCCTTTTGATACTTTGTTCAATGTTGTCATCTACTTTATCCTCCTGTTATCTACCTATTGTTTGGGTTTTATTGTCAAGTATGGTAAACAATCGTTTAGTTTCATTCAAGGATGATGTTAAGCCAGAGATCCTTTTTCACTTTCTTTGTTCTCCTTCCCTATGTGAATGTGAATATTCTATTTTGTGGAGGGATACATTCGTTATTTTTTTGTTTGAAAAGAGTTTTGCAGCAAGCTTGCCGCTAAACTTACCTCCATAATTTTAGAATAGGCTCCCCCCAACCAAGCTGGCTTGGCCTAACTGCACCCGGCCGTTGAATCAAAGTTTCACTCTTGCCGCCCCTTGCCGCCCTTGCCTGGAGCTCAGTAAACTTTAATTCCACATCCCCACACCAGTCAAAATCCCCCACAGCGGCTCCAACTCCAAGCTATCTAAACTACGAAGAGCTGCATGGTTTCCATCCACACAGAAGTGACGACATCATATATCTTACGTTCTTTAAAGAGAAAACCCATAACACTAGGGACAGAGCTACAACCAAGTCTACTTATACCTCAAATCCTAGCCCCCTTGTTGCGTCATCGTATCCGCAGCTCACAAACGGGTCCGAATCCAACTGACATGGCAGTCTCTCCGGGTCTCTCCACTCCAGATCTCTCTACCCCGCCCCTTACGTCTCCTTCCTACAAGCTTGAAGTAACTGCGTACCCCGAGGCCAAAGACGCACTTTCCAACGGCTTATTGCGTCTACGAACGGATCATGTCAGCGGAGCGAAAGACCTCGCTACGAGGGCTATATTTTCACTCGTGCACATTGCTGAAATTATCGGGGAGAGGCTTATTGAAGAGATAAGGCAGGATGAGGAAGAGGCGCGCGGCGGTAAATTGCGCGGTTCGCCTTATTCGGCGGTGGAGACGTGGTGGGAGTCGTGTCGGAAGGCTGGGTGGATTCTTGCTAAATATGGCCGGCCGAGCATGAATGCAGCGATTACCGGTGCAATTGTCAAGGCGCTGGATAGAGAGAGGCTAGGGCTTGCTGAGCTGGACGAGGAGGTAGTCTCCGATCGATATGGAAAATGTGGGGTGGTGAGGAAAGCGTCCCGAGCGGATGGTGGCGAGGGAGAGCAGGTTGAAGATGAAGAAAGGTGTATTAGGATCGCAGTTGAGAGAATGCATGCGTATCTGATGGAAAGATATCACAATGCCACAAGGACGCTGATTGGGGCGGGGTTACGGCAGTTTTTATATGAGAAGGGAACTATCGAGGGCGAGAGACGGGTGGTGAAAATATTGACCCTAAGTTCCAGTGCAACGGTTATGAATGCATTGGCAACGGTGTTGGAGACGGAGAGAAAAGTGGGCGGGGATGGTGGGTTGAAGATTCTGTTGAAGGTCATGGAGTCTCGACCGCTCTGCGAAGGTGTAGACTTCGCCAAAGACCTTGTCCAGGGCGCAGAGGCCGTCGGGGCCACGGATCGGCTGCGTATAGAGATTGCGTCAGATGCCAGCGTTGCGATCCTAGCGAAGGGCGTGGATGTCGTTCTACTGGGAGCTGATCGAATATCTGATAGCGGGGATGTGAGTAACAAGACTGGTAGTTTACCTGCCGTGCTTTGTGCGAAAGCGGTGTCGGATAACGTGGCTATTGTCGTAGTGTCCGATCTCGATAAAATCTCCAAGCCAGGGGCAATGGAGGCGTATAGAGAGGAAGAGAACGACCCTAAAGAGTTGGAACGTGGATGGGACCACCATCACGCCCACGGAAGCATAAAGTCGAACCTATGGCGCATCATGGTGGAGACTCGAAACGTGTACTTCGAGTGGGTCCCTGCCAGATATATCGATCATTATATCTGTGAGACGGGTATCCTTGATCTCAGCAGCATTAGAGAACAATCCGAAAAAGTGTTCCATGCGGAGAGACAATTGTTTGGCTGTTTCCCCTGATGTTTGACAAGTGCGGTAGTGGTGGTGATCTGCCGCCTTGGACAAGGGTAAGGGTGGTTTAGTTTTTCACCCGTTCTGGTCGGGAATGTCGACAAAGCACGAGCAATGACTGGCAGCTGGTCGGGTCGTGCAGAGCATTGATTGCAAGAGAGATAACCGCCCTTTGTTGTTCTATTTTAGGATAAATTGAGGCTATCCCAAAGTTTTTTCCTGTTTTGGAATGTGGAGCCTCAGCCCTACCGATCGGCGCTAGGCCCGAAACAGCAATGAGTAAACACGCAACAACACATCAACGTCCCGGCCCGGACCCTATCACCGCGGACAACAACAAAACAACTTCTCCTGCGACAATCACAGTTCTCCCCAACCCAAAACATTAATTATTTTACTTATCCCTGCCATAGCTTGTCTGATGGAGTGGGTAACGATCCGGTATTAGCTACGAACGACTGTACGACTGCCTCCTCTCATCTAACGGCCTGCTCTGCTCACACTCGCTCATTCCCAACCTCCTGTCGCTCGTTACTAGGCAATTGTGCCGCCATTGTTTGTCGTACTGCTTACCCAGCGGGCTCGTTGCATCTGGAAGCGCATCTGTTCAACCAACTCCCAATGTTATGACATCCCCAATCTTCCACATTCGCACCCATCCTATTACCACCCACACCACGTCAATTCTTCGCAGCAATGGCTCCAGCTGCACCAGGTCTTCCTACCCGATTCCCCTGCTGGTGTCAGGCTGTATATTCATGGGGCGGAGAGACAAAACGAGACCTAGGGTTTGTGGAAGGAGACCTTATTGAATGCTTGAATGCTGGTGATGGATCATGGTGGACTGGCCGCCTACGTCGAGATAAACGCATGGTTGGCGTGTTTCCCTCAAACTTTGTCAAGGTTCTTGGGGACGACTTTGTCCCTGGGAGCCGGTCGGTCAGTCCAATGCCTGGTGGACCTGCAGGCTTGACGATGGATTTACGCCGGATATCAGCCTCCAATTCTGCTGCATCACCCAGGAAACAAAAGACTTTCCGAAAGCCCTTTCAGGGGTACAAAGAGGCCGTAGGGCCGTCTGAAGCTTTGAGGAAGAGGCAGAATGATGATAATATGAACAACAACAAGAACAACAACAATAGCAACGTCAATAATAATAATGAAAATCATATTAACAATACTGGGCAAACCGTTTCGGCTTCGGGGAATCCGTCAAGAGCGAGTACAGGCTCGGCAGGGACGCCTCCAGCGTCGAGCAAACATCGTGGATCTCTTTCACGTCAATCTCCTCGCCATTCTCCACACTCTGATCCCCCTGCTCCAGTTCAACATCGATCGTCCATTTCTCACGCCATATCTCCCTCACCCGGTCAGCATGCAGGGTCGGTTCGCCGGGAAATATCTCCTGCACCTATTCAACATCGTGGTTCTTTCTCACATCATCCCACTTCCCCCCTTCCGGTACGACACCATCATTCCTCGTCTAACCCCACGCCTCATACCGCTTCCACAGCACCAATGCAACATCGTGGCTCTTTCTCTCATCATCACCGTCCTATTTCTCCTGCACCAGCACATTACCACGAAACTGTACCCCGTGCCTTGTCTCCTTTATCGATGCAACATAATCACTCCGTCTCTAACCCTCATCCTCGTGCTCTTTCACCTGGGCCAATCCAACATCATCAGTCCGTATCTCGTGCCGTGTCCCCGTCACCAATGGAACATCACTCATTCTCTAATCCCTATCCCCGCGCACTTTCTCCTGGACCAATCCAACATCATCAGTCCATATCTCGTGCCGTGTCCCCGTCACCAATGGAACATCACTCATTCTCTAATCCCTATCCCCGCGCGCTTTCTCCTGGGCCAATCCAACATCATCATTCTTTCTCTCACTCACATCCTCGTGCGCTTTCTCCCGGGCCAGCACGAGATACCGAATCGCCTCCACCGCCACCTCCCCCTCACCGAATTTCCGTCAAAACCCAGCCGCGAATGCATAGCCAATCACCTATTCCCACACCCGATGATATGGATCATGTATACCCTACCAAAGCCAGGACTCCCTCTCCACATTCGCACTCTCCTGCCATTTACGGTCACACCCCATCTCCTCTAAGAGATGCTATGGAAGACGTCATGTCTTCTTTACAAGATATGGGTCTAAATCACGACGGTCCGGTAGAACACCCGCGTCGCTCTCCTTCACCCTTCCATCCGTGGTCCCCAGAAGCGTTTGATAAGCTTCATAAGAACGACGTGCCTAATCCAATTCAGCGCCCTATGACTTCCTTAGGGCTAGGTGGTGGTGATGACCAGCTACAGGAGAACAGTCACCATAATTTTACGCACCAATACAATGATGGGCCTCCGCAACTCAATAATTATGTGCAGAGGATGGAGAGCAGACTCCGCAAGTTACATGCGCAAAGTAGAAAGTCCTCCGATGAGCTTCATATTTCGCCTAGTAGTAAAGACCTCCCGCCCATACCTCCCCCGAAAGGACCTTCCGATTCCAGGCCACAGTCATCTTCAAATCAAGATAACCCGGGATCACGATTAAGAATCCGAAGATCTGCCTACGAATTGGGCAAAGATGTCCTTGAACGGACGTTTACGACAAAATCCAGTGCCACAACTTCTTCCAGTGGTGTCCAAAGCAATGCAACTAGCAGTACCTCCAGCACAGGACGTACAAACCAAAGTGTTATGAGTGGCCCATCAGCTTCAGGGTTGAGCGCAACCAGTGCCGCCAGCTATGCACGGCATACCAATAGACCAAATACTGCCATGGATAATCTTCGCCCCTCTGGGCTAATTGGTTCTGATAAATCTTCTGACAGCGGACTCCGGCCTCAAACACCGCTGACCGGAATTTCCTACCACTCCAGCCATGATTCCTCTAGGCAAGGAGCAACTTCTGCTGTCGGATGGAACGAATATAGTAAAGATGCTCCAAGCATGTATGGCGGTCTCACCACACTCAAGTCAAAGAAAACAGGCTTTTTCAAGAAAATCATTGAGTCTGCTAAAACAGGAGCTGCGACTGCAAGGAGCAATATTGCTGCAGGCCCTGGTGGAGCCGTATCGCCGACTAAGAGCCGCATGGCTGTGGGAATATCATCTTATGCATCACCTCACTCGGCGAAAAGTGTGGCAAGAGACACAGGCTTGGGTGCATCTGTGGATTGGGTTCAGGTGCGGCGGGACGTCAACAGGTGTACTACGCCAAGCCATCATGAACTAATTGAGAGAGCGGAGAGATGCCAGATGCTCGATTATCCAGTAATATACGCTGTGGAGGAACTGTATGAAAGTGCAGAGGGAGATGAAGGAATAGATGGCCTACCAATTGCAGAGCCTACCAATTGGGCTGCTGTGAACCTACAACTAGTGGACAAGAGTGTTCGGTTCATAAGTAGCCTACCTGCAATGATAAACCCAATTGGCTTATCCCAAGGGTACATATGTCGCCCGCATCGCAGTGATGGACAGCGGTTACGTGCCATATTTACTTGGGTAGCCGAAAGGATTGCATGGGATGATGATATTGATGGTGACGTTGATTTAAAGAGGGTGCTCTATATGAAAAGAGGGTCCCCAAAAGAAGTTGCCTATTTAGTACAGGAAATGTGTTCCGCCGTTGGCCTGCATGCTGAGGTAGTTCATGGCTACCTGAAAACACCAGGAGAGCAACTAGATCTTGATAGTCTCTCCCATCCAAATCACTGGTGGAATGCGGTATTGATAGATGGCGAGTGGCGGATCATGGATTGCTCCTTGGCAAGCCCGACCCACCCACGAAGAAGCTTGTACTCGAGTTTCAATTCTCAGGCTGCTGAAAGCTGGTATTTCCTGGCCCGTCCTATGGAAATTTGCTACTCTCACGTTCCCATTAACCCCGAACAACAACATATCTGCCCACCCGTATCACCCGATGTTCTTCTTGCGTTACCCTGTGCTTGTCCTCCATTCTTTAAGAACAACCTGCGGTTCCCTAATTATGACACAAGCCTTATTCGGATCAACGGGCTTGAAGCTGTCCAGCTTCGTGTTCACGTACCTCCTGATGTTGAATGCGTTGCCGAAGTTGAGGCCCTTTCATTTGACCGTGATATGGATGGTGACCTCTTTGAAAATGGTGACATTTCCAAGAAGCGTGCACTCGCACAGCCGGACTGGATTGGTGGGCAAAAACGCTTTACCATAAAGGCAGTCTTGCCTGGAGATGAGGGGCAGGGAGTTTTAAAAGTATATGTTGGGAAGAAGGGATTGATGCATTCTATCAAAGATATTCCTCACCCTCTAGCATTTGCACTCCCGATCACCCACACAGGGGATAACCCGACCTATGACTTCATCCTCCGCCACCCGACGCCTCACGCCCAACGTCACGACCTTTACGTTATTCAACCACAATGCGCCAAGCTTGCAGTAAACAACACCTTCGTCTTCGCAGTCCGCCAACATCCATCGTCCCTTCCGTCCAGCTCCCCGAATCCCAACGATGGCAACGGTCGCATCTCCCCGAACCCCTTCGCCCGCCCTACCAGCGCGCTCAGCATGGGATCTTCCGTTGCCGCAAGCTCAAACGCGTCCTCAGGCTCCTCGTATATCAATCAAACGTTCTCCGCCTCTAGCTCTAATGTCTCGTCGAATGGCAAACAGTCGCAGCACCCCCTCAAGCCTGCGAAGCTAGCTATACAAGCACCTTCAGGGAGAATATTAAGACTGACACGCAAATCTGAGCACGCCCTCACTACCAGCATTTGTGGAGATCTAACAGGAGATGGCCCACCTGACGGCAGCGTGTGGGAGACGGTGATTAAGGTTGGTGAGACAGGTGTTTGGAGAGGCCTGGTACTTGCTGACCGCAGTGCAAGGTGGTGTGTCTTTGGGGAGTGGGAGTGTTTCTGATACCCTCTTTTGTCGCTTCCTTTCTTCTTTTCCTAGGTAGCGAGACATGGTAATAGAAGCCCAAGAACGTTTTTCCTCCCCGATTTCCTTCTATGTTCCCTAGCGAGATTTGTTTGCAGTTCTCCCCGTCCAGCGACTTTATTTCTGGCCCTCTTCTTGATATGTTATGGTTTTGGGTGATGCTCGATATCTTTTCATTTTCTCTAGCCTTTCGTGGCCTTTTTTTCCCCATCTCTTTCCTGTTTTTTGTTCGTCCTCAGAACATTGTTGTTTACTATGATGTTAGTCTTCAGCATTTCCCCTTAGCTAATTTCAGAGAGTCATTTCTCGCTTTCCTTCAATTTTCTAATTGATTTCATGTATTCCTGATGATTTTACTAAGTTAATCGGTCTTGTTTACCTCATTACATCGGCCAATTTAGCAATGAAACAAGAGGAGGGCAATAGATTCAGCAATTCTTTCGTTTTCCTTCAGGGTGGAGGGTGTCTCATACTTCGTTTTATTACCTTGCAAGTGTGCTACTGTTCCGTTTCTGTGACATTTTGAAGCCTTTAACAATTAAAGCTTCGAATTCTACCGCATGATTCGCTATTCTGGTTTGTTGGCATTGGTATTATGCTAGCTATACCCTATGTTTTGTTCAATACAAAGACTGCATTGGCATCCACAGTTGTCCAAAATACTCATTTTATCCACTTCACTATAGCGAAATTTATGCTACTGTATATTCTAGCAGAGACGGCTATCAATCTGCCTTTATATGGATATTTCCTTACCTCTCCTCTGACTCAAATCACAGCATCACAGAACGTCCGCCGCAACAATGGCGCAACCTGCTTTCTGCTCTTCGACACGTCAGTCTGACGCCAAATCCACATACAGCGACCGGTATCATCACCAGTATCCGGGGAAGCAACATGCTGAATCCAAATTCCGGCTTCTAACCCCAGCTCTCCAATCGCAGCTGCCTCGAAACGCTTCAGGCCATCGCGACAATCACGATTCAAATTATAGAGCAGCAATTCACGGCGAAACTCGCTCTCTGGTTCTGGGCTTCTAAACGCTGTCATGACAGCGACGAGGTCGAGGTGCTTCTCTCCTGCGAAGGAGGAGAGGTATTCAGATAGTAGCGCGGTGGAGGATGTATCGTTCGTTGGGGTGGTCGCAGGGGTTTCATATTCCCGAGCACACTTTTCCATGAGCCAGGAGAGGGGCTTTACTATGCAGCAGATGCCCAATTTCACCGTCTTATTATTGTTTATGACCGGTGAGCCTGTGGTTGTAGCAATGGTCTCAGCCCACTCCTTATAATCCCTCCCCAGCACCTCTAAAACCGTTAGGTTTTCAACGCTATTCTCCTTCGCGAGAGCGATTGCATCGTAGAAGGCTTGTCTATCCCAACATGTGCCGCTGGTAGCAGATTGAGGATTACTTCGCAAATGTCCGTCTGTGCCCGCTCGTATCTTAGCTTCCAGGAAGGTAACTGCCGCTGTATCGACGCTAGACACCTTGCTTTTCGCCGTCATGTTAGCTGTGTCGATTAGGATCGCTGCCATAGCTAGTTTTGCTGCTTGTGCTTCGTAGATTACAGTCTGGTCTTGGGCTGTCTCTGGGTCCAAGGCGGTGTGAGGGTGTGCAGAGAAGGGAACAGGGTCCGCCCAAAGACCTTGCGCTCGCAGCTCGCGAACAACAAGAGACATACAACTTCCTACACCTGTTTGTATGCAGCGGGGATCGTGTAAATATGACTCAGGTTCCCTTGAAACGAAACATTCATCATCGTGATGATCTATGCAGCCGACGACGGAAAGGTTGAGCTCCGGCACGGCGTCTGAAAGACCTTCAATCCCACGTTTCCCCCCATTGGATGGGAGTTTTGGCAGCGCATTCCAATCCACCAACATAACATTTAGGGTTTTTAGCTCTTCTGCAACACTGTTGATGTTTCCCGGTGCAGCTTCGTGGTAGTGCCTGTCGCCAGCCCCCTGAGCTTCGTTTTCTCCACTGGCATCAGTTGGATTCCCGCCCAAAGACAACAATAGCTGCTCCTTCAAATCCGCAACAGTCAACACACTATTTTCTAGAACACTGGTGTCAGCTTCTTCCTCTCCTCTATCTTCACTTCCATCCCACCCCACCGCTAACCTCAACGCCGTCACAAACTCTGGCCTCAACCTTGCCAACTCTTTCCCAGAATGAACATCTGGCAAATCGATTAGGGGTATATATTGACGAAGAATCTTTTGTCCCCCTTCCCTTCTTGGCGATGAGAGAACAGTCCCGGGGCTAGATGAGACTACTCTCGTGGCAAAGTATGAATATACGATTGCAGAAAGTATGGAGTCTAAGTCCGCGGATGGATTACCCAGGACGTATATTTGATACTTGGCCGGGGTTATAGGTAGTGAAGAAGATGATGCATTTGGAGAAAAATGGGAAGAGTTGTGTGCTTGTTTGAGGAAGCGGAGTAAGTCTAGTCGTCGAGTGAAGGTGGCTGGTTTACCCATAATGAAAAAATTGTGATGGCGATGATGTGGGCAAGTAGAATAGAAATGAGGCCTGGGTATATAATTATATAGCCTTTGGTGTATTATTTATATTTCGACACTGCATGCCTGTTCTATGTAGCTAATATTGATCGATCCGTGGAATATTGATTCGTGATGGAAATAACTCAACAAGACATCGATGCGAATTGATACATATTTATTTCTGCCAATCACCTGATTTCATGTCTCCTGAAATTAAGCACGGTTTCCAAATCCAAAATAGACGATCTCACACTTAAAAAGTCATAATTATATTATCATTATTACTTGCTTATTGATCTATAGGCAAGAAGCAGGCCGTTTTCCAGGCGGAGTGTAGTGTGTGCGCAAACAAGGGAAAACAAATCGTCAGAACATATAAATTAAATCTACCTTACAGAAGTAACGCCGGCAGGTAGACGGAGAAAGGAAGAAGAAAATATATCATTGACAGAAAGGACCAAGACATATGTGCCGGAAATTGATCTTCTTTCGCGTTACGCCACAAATGAAAAAATTCCCTTCTTCCCTTTTTTTCCCCTCGCATTTATTTAAATCGACAGAAGGGGAGCTAGGAAGAGCCAGGCACGAGTGGATTTTCTTTCTCCTTCGCATGTAACGACTCAACGTAACATATGACGATGCGCAGAAGTGAGCAATCACACAATAGGTTGACAGAAATGTATAATAAATAATAATAAAAAAAAGTTAAAAATGATAAGAATAAATAGAGAGAATAAAATGCGCAACTGAAGCAATGACACCATTCGGGTAGATAATACGAGCATTCCAGAGTAGTCAATAATACTGTAGCAAGGAAAAAGAGAAGAAAAGAAACGAAACGAGAAAAGTTAAAAAAAAACAGAAGAGCGCCCACCTAAAATATCCTTCCCATTTGCAGATTCCACCCGCAACCCCCATAAAAATTAACCCATCCGTGGCGCGCCGTGTAATGTGGTAATAATGTTGATGTTATAATCATTTTGTCTACAGGAGTGTAATTGAACAGTAGGGGGGGGGGGGGAAAGAAAAAAAAATACATAAAGCAAAGAAGAAGGAACACAAAATCAAAGGCAAGAAGTTTGAAAATGGGATAAGGGGAAAAGAATAAGAAATTCCACATGAAATCTCAAACATTGAACAAAGAAGGAAATGGCAGAGTGGGGCATAGATTAACGGCGTTAAAAACAGGAAAAAAGAGGGAGTAAAAAGGGCTTCGATAACAGCAGAGTAGAAGATAGGGAAAATAATGAAGCACATCCTTCACTGGGAGTTGGTCAAACGCAATCAATCGTAAGAGAAATCAGGTCAAGAATTCGTCGGCAAGGAGGTTGTTCGACGTATCCTCACCATCGCGATCCTGGCCATCACCGCCATTCTCCTCGCCGAAATCATCGCCAGATCCAGAAGCAGAGCGGTCCTGCGCGCCACTGTTACTAGCGCTTCGAAGTGCCTCCAGCGCCTCATTCGCATGGCTAACCTCCAACGCCTCCATTTGCTCCGTGTCTTGGTTCGTCATCTCGGCAAAAAGGTCTTCCATGTCCCCTCCACGTGGGCTACTGGCAAAGGCCATTGGGCCACCCATATCGTCGTGGTCTTTACCCATGTTCTGAGTATGGAGGGGGTTGCTTCGGGTAAAGCTTGGAGGGCTGAATAGGGATGGATCGAGACCTTGGTGGTGAGATGGTGGGGAGGTGGGGTCGAACGAAGGGGAATGCACATTGTTCACACCTGGGAGGTATGCTGATGATGTAGGGGCGTAAGACGGATTTGCGTCATTTGAAGGTATTGGGAACGGATGTGAGAATGAGAATGCAGCCGGATGTTGAGAAGCGGGGGCTGGCGGGGCTACACTAGTCGGAGTCGGCACATTGCCTGTGGAAGCAGATCGAGGGTCACCGGATGGTGTGTTGGAGCGAATCTGAGGTGCCGGTTGTAAGGGGGGAGGCCGTCCAGAAGCATGGGATTCGGTTGATTTACGCTTGCTGGAAAATGTATGCTGCTTGGTCCGTAGGTGAAGTGGAAGATCTTCAGGTTTCTCAACTCCAAGTTGGGCCATCATCTTTTGCTGTTTTGTCGGTCGTGGCTTGCGAGTAGATAAGGACACTTCAAGAATTGGAGGCGGATCGGGAGCGACAGGTGCCCATTTATGGATCTCCTGGCGAAAATAATTCGTTTCAAAGGCAAGGAGGACTTCTGCCCCTTCCATCTTCCTGAGATAGAAGATCTGTGTTGGAACTTCTTCGGCAGTCATGCAGGCAGCAGAGTTCACGAGTGGTCGCACGAAATCCCGGAACGATGTTGCTTGGTCAATTATCGACTCCAAAATCTGTTCTTCTTCGGGTTGGAATGGGAGGTCAGGAATTTCGGCCTGCCAATCAAGCAACTCTTCTAATTTGGGACGAGCTGCATCGCGAGGGATCTTGACACGCCAATCGCAAATGGGGCAAGTATAGCTGTCAAATTCCTTGACTTTGCCTCTCGCAATTTTCAGGCATTTTCCGTGGTACCTAAGAACGTACTTAGTTATTGAACTTATAGAAGAGAGCACGCCGTTCTGAGCAGACTATAATCTCGAAACTTACCACTCATGACAAAGTTCGCACTCGATCATTAGCCCAGCTTCCTGTTGCCGACAGATACAGAATACATCCTTTTTCTTCGACCTACTACCAGTCCAATTATGAGCCTCAGCATCGGGACTTGCCTCTCGCGACGCCGGTTCAACAGGTGGACGACACCGGTCCTCAAGATCGAAGCAAAATGAGTTCTTCTTTTCAACATATTGTAGATGCATCTTGAGTATGTGCAATGGAGCGTTGGCTTTGCCAAACAACTTCTTACCCTTCCGCATCCAATCCTCATGGCGCTTCTGCTCCTTTTCCAGGTCGATGGTTCCATTCGGCTTGCTGTTCAATTCCGTCAGAGATTCCATAAGATCACGGACATCCTTATAATGGGGCCTTTTCCTAAAATCCGGATTTCTGCTTCCATCATAGAATGAGGAGATCTGTCGTTGTGCTTCACGTTGCTTTGTCAAGATGGCGTCAACTGCAGAAAGGGTCTCGGGGGACACAGGCAATTTAGCTGCCTGTGAGGAAAGTGCTTCCAGCTGTTGGTAGTGCACAGCCTCTACCGACATGAGTTCTTTTGCCTTTGCTTCCCAGGTTTCTGCTAGGCGATGCATTTCTTTGAAATAAAGTAGATGCTCGTTTGTCTCAGATAAGCCTAGCTGCTCGCCCTGTGCAATGAACTCGCGACATTCATCGAGCGTTTGGAGTTGCTCCCGTTTGCGGCGGGCCTGATCATTCCATTTCATTTGGCTTAGGGCCTTCTCAAGCTTGTCTACCTCAGGCATGTCAACATTGAAGCTCCTTCCAAGATCTAATAGCTCCTCGACCTCCTGGGTCGAACTAATGTGAGGGTTGCAAAGAATAGCTTGGACATCACTTTGAAACTTCTGAATCTCCTGGATCTTTTCCCTAAGCGATGTTATCTGCGGGCAATCAAAGGAAAGGTTGTCCGCTTCCTCGAGTAACGCATGGATCTTTTCCACCCTGCGGAGCTCACGATCGCGCTCTTCCAGTTGAGCTGCTTTGGCCAAATTGCCTCTGCGCCATGCCTTCTCATTTTTGCGACGATTCTGCTGTTTACGAGTAATGTAATTATTAGCTTCATCGACCCATTTGTCGCAACGCTGAACAAACGAGGCCAGATCCTGCAGACCGGGTAGGAAATATGGGATTTTCTCTCCCTCACTGAGTAAAGCATGCAAAGCTTTCAACGAAGGTTTCGGTTCGTCCGCGAGAATTTTGTCCACCTTTTCGGCCCAGGTTTCCGGGATTCGAGCTCGGTCTTCCACTTTCTGAACGCACGATCTCAAGGCATCATCGGACATGCGATAGCGTAAGGTATGGTTAGCTCCAAGTAATTTTTGCGAGATATCTTCTCCACAGCAATCATAGCTCTCGACATGTAAAAGACACAGAGTCTTGCCCTTTTTTTGGCATTTGAACTGCGTCAGATAACTGTATACTTTGCAGTAACTGCACTGATACTCTTCTTCAGGAAGATCCGTATCCTCAACCACGAATTTTAGTTTGCACTCCTCCGACTCTTCGTCTCCGCCAGTAATTTTACAGTTATGTGGACGAAGCTCCTGATGGCGCGCTAGTAGGGCCGAGCGTTGTTCGAGCTCTCGATTGCACATGCGCTGCAGCGCGGGGCCAAGCCACTTAGCAGTTTTAATAGATGTATCCCTCGCGGCAGCTGTGATGAGCAACTCGTCGTGTGAAAAGCAAGGCTGCCGTCGAAATTCCTGCAAGCGCTCTACTCCGGCTTGGCCTAGTGGTTCCCAATCTGATGGAGCGAAATTAACGGCTTCGTTGAAATTAAATCCATGGTTAAACCCGGCGTGATATGCTTGTGGAAATGTGATAACGAATTGGCCGGCACGCTGGTCGAGAGCATACACGTTGACGCCTGCTTTCTTCAATTGATCCGGCGGCAGTAACGTGACGAGCTGGAACAAGAGATCCGGCTGAGTTTCGAATAGTTCCGGGACTGCTTGGCGCATAGCTTCCTCGAAAGCTTCAGCATCATCCCCGGGAATCCCATACCACGTCTTTGTAGCACCAAAATGTTGATAGTTGGCTGAATACGTGTAGTGGTCTTCATTATGCCAGCAAAATGTAGAGAAACACATGCCAACATACACCCACGGAACGGTCATGCCAGAGACGTCTGACTTAATATGCCGGAAGAGCGACTCTGAGTGCAGAGGCATAACATTCAGATTCCACGGGTCAACAGAATAAGGGTCCAAAGGATTCCGTTCGACAGTGGGAAATCCGCTTCCATGAGTTGTCGAGTGAATATCTGCGCCATACTCGACTTCAACAGTCTCGGTCAAACTTTCAACAAGCCGCCAGAACTCTCGCTCAACGTCATCCTCGGTTTCCTTTCGAGGAGCATTGAGAACGGGATCAAATGGCATCCTTGGAGCAAAATAATTTTCCTTGAAATTATTCGCTTTCTCCTGGAACTGTTTTAGCGAGTATATCCCACCTTCTTCAAATCCGTACTCTCCAGTTCCCACCAGGCATTTAGGGCAATGCCAGTCGTAATCGGGGACTGATTCAAGGGGCGGGTCAAGACAGTGCATGTGATAACCATTTTCACATCCGTCGCATGCTAGAATAGTTAGACGATCGTCACTCTTGCCGCAATTTTCACACCGCTGGGGAAGTGGGGGGTTAGCTTGCCATCCCAGAGGGTCAAATCTTTTTGAAAAAAAGTACTCACATCTCCGGTTTTCCTGGTTCCATTCTTCGTTCGCCCCTGAGTTGGCGTAGGGCGGAGTAAGCTCATATGCGACCCCGCGACCGTTGGCACGCCATCTAAATCTAGAAGTTAGCAAAACTAGAAGTACCATGTGCAAAGGTACTTGGTATAATAAAAGATGAGGATTCGTAGTGCTATAGTTTCAGAGCCGGCCAGTAACAGCCTGCTATACGTACCTTTCTTCAGGCGTTTACTGCGTCGCCCGTTTGCGCCATCAGTATCTGGGTTGTCGGTCTGCGAACTCCCCGTCAAGCTTTCTTGGCTGAATGCACGTTTGAGTGGTTGTGAACTGTGGCCGTTGACGGTTGGTGTACGGCTAGCTTCAGGCTGGTGCTGTTCTGTGGCGTTGTTGGATGTCGAGGTATGCTTTCCAAGGGCTGCTGGATGGGTTCCATTCTCCATCTCCCGTTTTACCGTAGGAGCCGAACTGTTGACCGCAACGAATGATGGAGGCGCATTGATTGCAGAAAATCCGCTTGTAGTAGCATTGACTGCTGTGAAACCCGAAGTGGTGACATGTCGTTCCTGGGGGTAATCAAGTGGAGTTGAAGATTCGTCTTTCTTGACCTCGTTGTCTCTCACCGAACTATTGAGTGCAGCAGATGCTCTCGCCGCTGGAGAGTTCTTGCTAACTTCGGAGGAGCGATTATTGTTTGTCTGTGACCGTTTAGCGGTCGGAGACGTTCCCGGGGACGGGGTGTACGGTCCTCCGTGCTCAAACTCCAACTGTTGCTGGACACCAGGCTTGGCGACGCGCAGATATTCCTCGTAAGGGTGTAGCCAGCGTTGGTAGGAATTCTTTAACGAGGTTGATAATGAGGACATGATCTTGCCACTGTAGCCCAAGTCCCGGCCGATCTCGGCCCATTTTTTCAGTTTACAAACTTGATCGAAACCCCCACGGATATCGACGGCCTTTTTAAGCTTATAGAGATCAAGTGGGCGCTTATCGACGCTGGGGAAACGGCTTAGATTCATTCCATGTTGTTTATGGAATTTCGTTAGTTGGTCGAGGTAGTTGAGATTCGCTCGGGTGCCTGGTTGAGGGTCAGATTCGGGTTCCCGGGGGCTTATTGCACGGGGTAATGCTTGGGACATACCTCCTTCAACCGAGTTCAACTCCTGCCGGCGGGTGCGGAAATGGAATCGCTACATATGAGAAACAATAGATTTGATTAGCCCCACACCCCCGAAAACAATAGAACGTGGATGAAAAGATGCAGCGGGCTGGAAAAATTCAGTAGAATATCGTACCTCTGTGTCGATAGCAAAAGGCGGAGTCCAGCTATCGGGGGGGACAATCTTGCAAATGCCATATTTCTTTCCTTCCGGCGCGATTTTGCGGATGTATTCGAAAGGGTCTTTGAATTCTTCCTCTGTAGGACGGAAAGTTGGAGCTTCCTGTAAACCATGAGGTCGCACACGCTTGACGGGATCTCTACTAGCAGCAGGATGGCCACGTCGCTCGACGGTAGAGAGATCGAGGGGCGCAGCCCTTCTAGCACTCAGAGGGACATTGGCATTGTAAGATTGGTGGTGGTGGTTCGAGTTCGAGGCGCGGGTTGAGGAGCGGGTGGCCGATGGCTGGGACTGCTGGGCAGTGAATGCTCCAGTCGAGGGTGGGACCACCATGTCTCCACGCTGAGATGCGGCAGAGCAGGAGATGAGATGACGAAAATAGATTAGGCTGCTGTGGGAAAATACTGATAGCGATGCGAATAGCGCATTGGAGGGGAGGGTGGTTGGGTAAAGGAGGATGAGGGTTGGGGGAGATATGCAAGTAAGTGGTAAGAGTAGTCCAATAGAGACGCGAGAATAGAGAGCGGTTTAATTAAATAACGAGATAATTAATTGCAAATGATAAGGAGAAGGATACCCGGGGAACAAGGGGGGGGGAAGGAGGGCGGAGAGAAAGCGGAGAACAGAGACGGGGTGGTTGCAGAAGCGCGAGGAGAGAGAGAGAGAGAGAGAGAGAGAGAGAGAGAAATCCGAGATAGGAAGATTTGAGGCGGAATGGGATGATTGATGGATGGATGGATGGATGGATGGATGGAATGGCTGAAGTTTGTCTGGTTTGTAACGTAACTTATTTATGCGGTTGGACGAGACAGAACAGAAGACTCGGCGCTGGGCTGCGATGCCTAGGTACGGCAATAATACACAGGCCTGGGTACGGTACGTGTATTTGCTATCACGAAATTTTACCCTGCCTCTAGTCTGCGTTCTATATTATATGATACCGTCCTGTACCGTACCGCGGCTGAGGATATATAACTAGTTACAAGTACTGTACATTTTACTTCTTATTATGTGCTTCTTATCAACATCAATCTTCGAAAGTATATAATAATATATAAAAGCAATAAGCTTGCTGGACTAAGTTGCCATTTTGTATTTTGCCGAAATGCTGCGCAGGAGGTATTCATATATATCATCATCCTATCCATCCTGGAAGCGGAAACCGCTGATAAACTGTGGCGTGATCAAGAATGACGCGAGCATTTAAACAATATCTTGTCTCTCCCTCCCTTTGAAAACTCCCTCCTGGATTACTTATTGCCGCTGCCGTTCAATATATCACAAGACTTCTTTTTATCTATCGCCTTACCATCACTTTTAAATACTTTCTCTGAATCCCTCCGCATGTCGAGAACGCAGGCGTCTTCACATTGGATAGATAATAATAACCAGTGACAGAACCCCAGCATCAAGAGCACTGCAAGACCAGAAAGCTGTGACATGCTATATCATGCATGATATATGGGAGCAATCACATCAAATCATGCTTCCTCAGCTTCAGTGAAAATACATTCTCATGTGTGGATAGAGCTATCCCCAAGTCTCTACACTCAGACATCTAACACCTCAAGGACAATTTATATTCCTCATATATTGGCTGTCAATTCCAACCCGTATGCTAATGCATGGGGACCATATTCAAAATAACATTCATTTCTTTGTCCCTTGAAAATTTCAACAAATAGTTTTGGTTCATCCAATCCCGCAACCCCAACTCCCATTGATCATGATACCTCCTCCACCAGCGAACTAACAACTGTAAGATAGGGAACAAAAAGTGGCATGAAAAAAAACTTATTAATCTGCCCATCGTACCCGGCAGCCTGCTTTTAAAACCGAGGAAACAAAAAAGGCAATCTCAAAAAGAGTTGCCGGCAAACCCAGTAAGTATGTACATTATCCGCACAGGACTAGCGCTAACGACGACAGAACGCTTAACTACAGTAAGCGCGAGCGAAGCAAGGGCGAAACCAACTCCACCAAAGCCCTCCGGTTGTCCTACAGGCTACAGGTCGGTCAGTGTCCCTGTATATTATTAAATATTTCATGTCTAATCTATGTGCTGGGCCAACCTGGGCTTCTACCAGTTATACCTGTTTAGGTGCCACATGTGTATCCTTGGATCGCACAGTTACAATATTTTGCTGACCTGCTGCGTATGAATACCGTATCTTACATTCCAAACATTAAGTTATGTCCTGGCGAAAACATCGGTACCTTTCCTTCCCACCGCTCCGCAGCCAACCGGCAAGTACTCCGTATCCCGTAACAGGGTCGAACCAATATCACTGCGGTACGAAGTTGCATAAATCAGACGGTAATAAACACCTCAGGACTAATCCGAAACCCCCGCAAGAAAAGCAAGCAAATTTCAACATCCCGATTAACTTTCCTCCCCATTTTGGTGGTTTACCATACCAAATTGTTGGAAGGAGAATACCAAGATGCTTTATTTTCTTGAAACCATGTCTCTTAGGAATAAGGAAAAAGGGGGGGAAAAAGCAATATCTAGGGAATTTTGAGTTGTCATTAAATATAAGCTTTCCCACTCTTCCTCTCTTCACACTACATTTACCCTGTACAGACATCACAGTTACTTTTAATATATCTGCCTGTGAACGAAATACAGGTGCTCCGTGACATTTCCGGCTACTGCTACGGTGGCTAGGATCTGTAAATCAACTTGAGATCTAAGATATTGCACGAGCCCTGCTGGCGAGTCAAAATATCTTCTCAGTCAACTCTCAAATCAACAATATCAACATTTTCTTCTTTACTGCTTTTATTATCTCTAAATGAACAAAATAGTATTACAGATTTCACATCTAATAACAAGATTGTATACACAGCTGTATCTTTCTTTTCAAAGCCTGAACAAACACTTTCAAATTTATACTAGAAAAGAAAGATAATCACTCTACACTATTAATACTTATTTAAATTTTTAGATATAAGTATATTACATATAATATTCTTTTCTATATTTCACTTGAGTATTATTTTTAAAATATAATTTATAAAAAGAGGTTAACAACAAAAGTAAGGAGTACACCTCAAGTTTCCCGAACGGGCCTAGCCTGTCGTCGCCCCATCCGTTATCCGTTATCCGTTGCACCAATGGGTGGAGTTACAAATCTATATAAGATTGCTCCTCTTCCCTCTTGCTCACACCCTTCCATCTTCTCAATTTTCCTCCTCATCTCACTCTTCCCCCTTTGTTAGCCTGCTGCATCGCAAAAGACATCTGCCAATCTCTCTTGCTGAACTGTTTTGCTATCGCATCCCCCTTCCCCTCCTAAACCTAGATGTCGACGGGCAAGAGAGGCACAAAGCGGGCGGGTGAAATATTCGGTGAGTAGAGCCTGTTGTCCTCGAGAAGAGGAGTGTGTAATTGTGCTCTTTAGATCAACATGGTCTTCCAAGAAGACAGACAAAAGGGGAAGAGGCGGGGCTGACGGGGCTCCCTTTCAGTCCTTCTGCTCTAGCTTACTCTATTACCCCTACGTGATACATTCACATTTCCTTCACCCTTCTCCTTCTCTTTCTGTTTGAACTACAATTCGGTGCATGCGTGTTATACCATTGACCAATGGCAAAAATGCCTCACATCAGTGAAACCCGAGAATTGATATCTCTTGTTCTCAATTTGATATTCAAAGGATACAGTTGATCTTAGCTGCCTTCTTTTGGCTCCGTTAATGTAAGCTGAATTGCCGCATCTCAAGAAACCCGCCGCTAACTCTGAGTGGCTCATAGGAAAATCACGGTGTGGTTGAGAATAATGATGCTTCATTGGTTACTATGTCTGAGGAATTCCTGAACAACTGGGCAACGGCTTCATTTCAGTCTGTTTGTCCCTCGGTTTAGACTCCCGCCTTCGTTATCGGCGCGGATGGTTAAACGGACGCAGCCATCGCACTCGAATTGAGTATACTGTACATTTATACCATTTGACGAGCCCTAACGGTCGCTCTACGTTTCAGACAGCATCAGATGTGCCATGTCCAAGGAATGCTGGATGGGACGAAGCTGATAAACCTCAGTCGTCCATATAGCATCGCACATGGCAATATAAATCTGTACACTCATACCACTCTGATTGCGGTATTTGACTGTAATGGAGTGGGATTATCTCAACAGAATGATGGTGCTGACCCTTATGAATTCAAGTTACAGATCTAGGGGTGTAGTCCTATTCCAAGTGATCATATATTCCTGCCCTGGTGGACATGGCCATGCCAAAATACATGAAGGTTGAAATCTGTGAAGTTGCTGTGGCTGCAATTCAAACACTGATACCTGCAAGCTCAAATCAGCTGCTCTGCAAGCCTAGAGAAGCCCGGATATAAGAGTGCAACATACACACATCAAGAAATCTTCATTCTCAGTGCTGCCGGGTACTAAGAACAAACAATATCATCTAGGGAGTTAGAGTCAGTGCAAATCGTACATTTCTTTTCCCTGAAGTATTAAAGTCCATAGTATATGTGCATTCTTGTTGAGATCTCTGTGAGTCGCTTCATCAGAGGATTGAATGATGGAGTGAGAAGCCAAAAAACAGATAGCACAAAAGCCAGAGACATAATTTCTGGAGCAACAAGGAGAGCTGATGAGAGGTAAAGCTGGGAGAGAAGTTTCTAATGAAATACAAGCTACAAGCTGTGTAAAGTGAGCTCAAGTTCACGGGCTTTCACAGAAACACCTAGCAGGTGCGGTTCCATTCTGTGGGCTGTGAGGTAGTTATCCACCTGTTGTTTGGCGAAGCCATACTCATGCTTTCTATTCAAATCACAGAGTCATTCTCAATAAATGTCCTTTACCCTTCTCCAAGTGCATTCTATGACAGAGCCATTGGTCAGGCAGCGCACACTCCGCTTCGCCGTTAGCCGCCCCTATTGACAGGAATTTTCCGCAGGGTCCCATATACCTTCCGCAATTTCCTGGTCCTCAGTTGTTAGTGCTTCATTCTTCCCACAGAGTTACTTGCATAAAATGCCTTGGGTTTAACCCCTACTTGATGTGAGGAAGTGGCATTTTAGTATACACTTCGCGAGCTCATTGCATCGGAAGCACCTAAACAGCACGCCCCGGCGGAACTACGGGCCAACGGTTAAACTATGAAAGGCAAGACTGGGTGACTATAAATTTTTCTCCATTGACAGAACCTTTATCCCATAACACCGAAGGAAAAATACCGACAGTTCACTGCTTTTTCTAGATATACACACAAGGCTCTATGATAGGTAGAAGGGGTGGGAATAGTTCCACGCATCTATTCCCCCATGATTTCCTCACCAATAGGCTCAATCAAGATACATACAGTAGCCCCCTTGTCGGATACACGGGAAACACAGCTTGCAGACCATGATGTCCATTCACTTGATTTGTTCACATCAGGGGAATTGGTACTTTGGCACTTTTTTGGCAGTGTGTTGGTCCTCTGCGACTGCAACAATTGTGGATATATCAGCACCTGCCTCGGTGTTCACCATTCGCTTAGTTACCATAATAACCGCCCCTTCGCTATTATATGACCGTGCAATACCGTCATTCCCAACATGTTTAAGGCTCTTTGGGTCAGTCTTCAGTTTAAAATTGATACTGGTTGCTTTTTCATCCCATTCTCAAATAGTCAGGTTCGCCTATTCCAACATGTGTCCAGGCGGGTTTCCGACGGGTATAGTAAATGCTTATATGTGGCCTGTTGAGCATCAAGTGGAGGAGCTGGTTGCAGCCACTGCAGTAGCTACGTTGAGGTACGTAACCAGAGGTAGAAGCTACATGAAGGATAAAACAAATCGCTGGTGTTCTCTAATAGGCATCAACTTCCCGCGGCGGGCCGGTTACATACATCTACGCCAGCTAAATCTACTCGTTATCGATGAATATTACCTAAACCAGCTCCAAGGGAAGGGTATGGTACTCGACACAATTCATAAAATCCATAAATAGTGCTAGTATTCGCACCGACTCTTTTGGCCGTTATTTCCTTTTCTCCACATCACAGCTGGCAATTCACGTCTAGCAGGAGAGGTTAGCCAATCATTTGCTGGCGCTAGGCGGCAAATTAGGCGCTTCCACACGTGGCCGCGCGAGTCGTGCCGCCCCACTGACAGAGCTCTGTTTACTGAGGTGTTGCTATAGGCGATGGAACCCTCCTGGACCAAATGATAGTACAGTCTACCCTAAACCCAACGAATTTAAGACCTCGTTTTATAAATAAGAACTCCACTCGTTTTAGCGAAGTAGCTTGTCAAAGAACTGCGCCGGGGGGCCGTTCCATAACCAACACGAGACGGATATGCCCCGCAATCTCTCCACAAACAGTCATCCAAGTTTACATCTACATCGCGAAGAGAGAGTCAGTCGCATTGCTAACCACGATTCCTTGAAAACTTAACCCTCAGAGAGCCGTACCATCTCCCCAAACCTTTCAACCCAATTCCCTGTGTCCGTCCCCGGCTACCTATGGCAGACCATTCCTCGCAATCAATAAGCCCGATTCCGACTTTCTACTGTTGTTACCTTCTCCGCTCGACTGTTCGACACGCTAGTCTCTATATTGGCTCAACCCCAGACCCAAGTCGGCGCTTAGCCCAGCATAATGGAGACAAGACCGGCGGCGCTAAACGGACATCGAGGGAGAAGCTGAGGCCTTGGGAGATGGTGGTCATTGTAAGTGGGTTCATGAACAGAGTGGGTGCATTACAGTTTGAGTACGTTTAGATTCAACTCCTTCTATCTTTCTTCAATTCATTCTCAATTTAGGTGTATTCTGACTACGTTATATAGGTGGGCGTGGCAACACACACAAGGTTCCCGCCATGTCGAAGTCGAAAGGGGCGGGAACGAGGAGCCGGGCTTAAGGATATGTCCCCGGACGGGAAAAGAGGTCAAGACCAGGGGGAAACCTCGCTCCTCGCTACGGAATATTTTGGCGAATCTACATATTTTACTACAGTCGCCGTATTTTTCGGAATGGCCCTTGGAGGTGCAGTTTTTCTCAGAAGATGTGTATCGCGCGTGGCAGGATTGGTCGCAGCGCGCGGATGGTTTACTAGATGATAGAATCAAGGTGATAACGGCTTTTGGTTCTGAGCAGGCGTGCGATGTCGAAAGGAAGGAACATCTTGGAAGCGCGGGAAGAATTGGAGCACTGGATGTCGGTTACGACCATCTTGCGAAGTATGTGGAGAAATCGTTATTTTTACTTGAGTCTGAGGAACAGATCGATTGCGGTGTATGCAAGCAGAGGTTGGATTCACAACATGATATGATTGCAATATGTTCACACAATCTGTGCCGCTGCGCTTCCCACCTTCTATGTTTGGCGTCACATTTCTTGGGGGCAGCAGGTTTTGGTGAAAAGTTGGTACCAAGAGAAGGGACGTGTCCCGCGTGCCGCAACCAATTGGAATGGCCAATCCTCATGAAAGAAATTACATTGCGGTTCCGTGGCCAAGAGGAGATAAAACGGTTAGTGAGACGAAGACGGCGGGCTGAGGGCACGCGGAAAGCAAAAAAAAATTTGAACAGCGTCAACTTGTACTCGGAAGAAGATACAAGCGATGCCCCAATATCATGCACAAAATTTGGAAGCATTGGATTTCTGAACCATACATATCCCTGTGCGGATGACAGCAAGATTGGAGAGCTAGGGAGCAGTATTGACAGCGCAAACAGCACAAACTCAGACAGTGACTCTGTGAGAACAATCACGCCTCAGATTGAGCTCTATAGCCGACGGAAACCATCTACGAAGGCGAACTGCTCGGGTTCATATACAAATAAATCCGACTGGGACAATGCTGAAATTATCGAATGACAACCGACGAGAGAGGGCGTTCTCTCAGGGGATATATATCATGATTGAGTGTTCGCTGGCTTTAATAAAGGTCCAAATTTTCTCAGCGATCTGATGCCGCAGACATTTTCAACAGCTTTCCTTGCTGTCTCTATAACGTCCAGCGCAACCTCCCGCTCCGTCCGACCCGCGTCGATGATGTGCACATTGTCGGGGTCCTCTCTAGCGATAAGCGTCTGAAATAGCTGGCGTATTCGGCTCTGAAAGGTGTCGTTCTCATATCTTTCTAGTCCATAGCCACCGCGCTTTGCGGCTTCCTCTGGCGATATGTTCAGGAAAAGCCATATATCTGGCTGCGGCAAACCGATCTCTGGTTGCCAAGCCCAATCTAGTGACAGTCCAGGGATATCTTTGGCTGCAGAATAGACAACTCCGGAGTAGGAGTAGCGATCGATAATGACAGTAATGCCATTTGATATATCTTGCTGTATTTCCGTAGCTGCCTCCCATCTATTGGCGGAGAACAGAAGGTGAATAGCATGATCGTCCAGATGTGTGTTTCCCATCAAATACGCGTTGATCATCTTCCCTATCTCAGTAGTTCTATCTACAATCGCTCGTTAGCATCGGCATGGATATGATAGAGCATCTGGTGGCACATGAGCAAGTAAATACCTGGAAAACGACGGTACTTGACCTCATGTCCGTCTTCTTGGAGAGTCTTCTGTAAAATTGCACATTGAGTAGATTTGCCGGCACGGTCCAACCCTTCCACCACAATGAGAGCCCCCCTCTGCCCTTCATTGGTTCCCTGTACTGCTTTCATAATACACCAGATATATTTCCCGAATCAATTGTTTGTTGCTGTTGAAAGGCGGGCGGAGTGGACTTTCTTGGCGCGGTCATGTGCTTGTTTGGGTCGTGACAAGTTTCTGATAGTTGCTTTGGCTGCTGCAGTCATGTGTCTCACATTCTATAAGATCTTTATAATCTGTAGAAAAATCAACATTCTTATCTATCTAGTGAGGTTTTCAGATAATCAACCTCTAGTTATTTGGGGGTGGCGTACCGTACGGGAATATTTTAAACTGGGTTTGGGTTAGTGATATCTTGGCATCTTAGGGGTGGCAGTACAGTACTGTACGTACAGTAACAGTACAGTAGTTAGTTCGTATGCCTCTGGAGCAGTTATTCAATGCACCCAGTGATATATATGTATTCTGCATCTATTGCTCCTGCTGATTAATTCATATATCAACATTATGAAACGTGAACTGTTCGCTGAACTTCCTGAGGAGATGTTCAGTTTCAGCCTTTTGGGTTCCGCCCCAACTCTCCTTGCCCCGCGGCTGGGCAGACTTGCGCTGGCCGGGAGGAAACCAACACAGACACCGAATCATGTTCCTATATCGTCTCGGGGCGCATTGCCCCATATGTCTCACGATATGATGAACGAGCGGATGTCAATTGGGAGTTTATATGCTGCATTTGAGGATTGTGAGTTGGGTCCACGCTATTATAATTCGACAATTGGCCCATATCTCTCGAGAAGCTAACGATGCTGCTCGTTGGAGCAGTTTAGTTGCGGAGAAAGGACATAAATCCATTCCACCGGTGTATCAAGTTCCTACACAACCGTTTGAATCGGCCCTGCGGAAATTTATATGTCAGCGCGACGATCTATTGTTGATATTAGGTCCCCGACGAGTCCCACCCGTCCCATGTCCAACTCCAAATGCCTCGAATTCGGTTACGATATTAACTTCAGTTGGGTACCGTCAGTTGGAAACCGAGAAATACCTAGAGGCTATCCAAAAATTACAACCAGATATCGCTGTTGGACTTTCGGATTTGCCAAGCAAGCTGCCCGGCGTAAAGCGACGAGAGCGAATGGTGGACAGGACCCATGCATGGACGAGGGACGCAGTCGACAGACTGTATGATCCCCAGGGTGAGAAACAAACTAGGTCGTTGTTTCTTGCTCCTTTACTGCCGCTAGATAAGGAACAGCAGATGCTATATATTGAGGATCTGGAGGACGAGATGAAACAATATGTGGCCGGGTTCGCACTGTACGATTCCAACAGTAGCTCCGTAATACCGGAATCAATGTCCGCGCTCGTTCGTTTGTCTTTGGGCGAAACCAAAACCCCACGGGAAATCCTGAAGGAAATATCGTTGGGTATAGATCTCTCAACAGTAACATTTGTCGGAGACGCATCAGACGCGGGTATCGCGCTACACTTCGTCCTTCCGAGTTCAGCGAGCGATGTTGGAGCTGATCTGAGGCCATTGGGGACTGATATGTGGCCGGCTACGCATGCGGCAGACATGTCACCCCTCCAGCAAGGTTGCAAATGCTACACGTGCCAAAGGTTCACGCGCGCCTATATTCGACATCTGCTTCATGCAAAGGAGATGCTTGCATGGACGCTTTTGCAAATACACAATTATCAAGTCCTCGATAATTTTTACGCGGCAATCCGGGACAGTATCGCCAGGGGGACTTTTGATGAAGACGCGGCGAGGTTTGAGCGAGCTTATGAACCAGAATTACCACAGCAATCTGGCCAGGGACCTAGGTATGTAAACCATAGGATGTCGCAACTACCAGCCGCGGCTCACTCTCCCTTCTCTTCCCTTCCTCTTTCTTTTCTTTTACTCTCCTTTCCCTTTTTATTTATTATCAGAAAGGAATTTTGGCTCCAGCTAACCACCCTACCACTACAACTGCTTAGATTACGGGGATATCAATTCAAAGGCGAAGCAGGCGCCAAACCGAAAAATCCGAAGGTGTATGGGCGTTTGGACCATATCACAGACACCCTCACGCAATCGGAGTCGTCGATTGCCACTCCAGACGTCGATGTTGATGAACTGCAAGACCAAGGTTTTGCTGCAAAGACGGGGTGACCAGATCCGTTTCTGAGCATCACTCATACCTAGATATGCACGATATTTTTGTCATGGTATCTGCTTCAATGAAACCTTATTTACATCTCTTACCTTGTTAGGTCGATGCTTCGGTAGATCGATGGCTGAGTGGGTAGAGAGAGAATGAATCCGTCTACCTGCAGCCACTAGCCAGCCCAATTTACACACATCCATGTTTTGTTCTACGATAAACATGGCGCGGGTAGACATATCCTAAAAGAACCTCGATTTTGGAGTAAATACTTACAGAAGTGTACGATTACATACCATATGTCATAGGTGTCAATTGCTACATTGTTTCTTCAAGTGCCTTTGCTCCCAATTTATATCATTCGACATACTCATTTGAATCACTCAATCAAGGGGTCGTTCCGGAAATATTCAGCCCCGTTCGGCTGGCTATATCGGGATATATCAAACACACGAAACAAGTTACTGAATCCAAATATAACCTTAGCCTGGAGGCGGGGGTGCCCATTTTATGCAAATTCATGAATACTCAACTAATATATCCAAGCTGGCCGGACGTCAGCACCTATGATGCTCATATTGGGTGGAGGAAGCTGTGTGTCACCCCCCTCCTTTTCGTGCAGAAAGGAAAAACACTTGGTTACACAATATATAGACTTGACCACTCCGTATTCTTTTGATTCGCATACTTAAACCTTGCCTATATTCTTTATCTTTATGGAATACTAAATGAGAACCAGGCAGAGAAAAAAAAAATGCTCGGGGGATACAAGACCTTGTATTTTCCAAGATATGTACTCCTCGTAGAGAACAGCCAAAAAAGGAGCGCTGATCCCATTATAAAATGGTATAAGAAATGCTCAATGCTTGTTGGTTGAATCCGCCTCAGTAGCCTGTCCCGCCAGTAATTTCCATAATAGCTTCCCTTCCGTTTCTGCAGCCTCTCTACTTTGACAACCTGCACCGTATTTCTGGCCCACTACACAAACCAGCCATACATCGTTCTTTAGTTGATCTAGTAGCTTCTCGGTGGGGCTTCCACGCGGGAAAACGCGTCTCCACTCGTCCCAGATACGGAACGCCTCATCGCCCCATGCACGGAAACTGACTTCTTCAATGATAGTTGGAGTCACGATCTCCTTACCTCTGAATACGCCCCACGTAACAGCATTAACTCCAGTACCACCCGCCGTAGCGTTGGAATCCAGATAGACATCAACAGGACCGGAGTAGTCGTTTGCGCTGTCGTCGGTGGGCGGAGAAGAGGACTCGAAATCACCAGCAGCATTCGTTGCGAACCACGCAAGTTCATCGTGGCCATGGTTCTCAAAAATCGGTTTTAGAATGGTTTTCAAGTCATGGGCTGTGCAGAAGAACTCGACAAATGCCTTCTGGAAAACGAAGCCCTCGCCGCGAGGACCCCAGCCGAAAATCGGATGGTCGTTGCGCACCCCATTCACTGCTGGTTGGGACGCGAGCGTCCACCACCCACGTCCATTTATGAGCTGGAGCAGCTCGTCGCGAATAGTAGCAGTTTCTGCATTCAGGCCGCCCGTATCTTGCGTTCCACCTTCTGACCAGGGCACAATGTGAAGATCGCCAGACACATGGCGTTGGAAGATGGTGTTAATGTCCTCTTTCGTTGTTGGATATCCCCAGAGTCGACGTGCTACGGCGGGAGTGACGTGTAGTGACGGGCCATATCCATCGATTTCTCCGAATGCAGGGGATCTCGCATCACCCCACCGACCATTGGGGAAGTCATCCCAGGTCGCCTCGCGCCCAAGTGCACCCACTCCCTCTGAGATTTGTAGTGTTGTCGCTCGGTGAGGGGGATTAAGAGCTGGCATGCCAGCACCAAGAGTCTGAGTTTCGTGGGTAGTGGATGCTTGAGAGGAACCCCTACCGTCCGAAGGCCGATCAACAATTAATCTGTTATGGGGTTGGGAATTTATGGAGGAAGCACGTCTTTTGGACATTCGGACAATGTTGTTTAGTTGACCGTGTACCATGGAAACTGCAGTATCCAGATCTGCTTCTGAATCGCTCGAGGGTTCGGATGATGGTGGTATTAAGCTGCACCTCTCAACTGTAAAGGCAACTGCCTTTTCTAAATTCAGGGTGTAGAAATGAAGCCCGCGTGGACCTGGGCAAGGAATCTCTTTTAATCCATTTACAATCTCACACAAGATATCCACGCCGATTCGTTTCACTGATTCATCGTCTGATTTCACTTCTTCCACTCGTGCCATAATGTTAGGAGGTACCCTCGCATGGCTTAGTTTCGTCGTCCTAGTTAAAATATGATAGCTCTGGATGGGCATCAAACCGGTAATGATAGGAATATCTTTGAAAACGCCCGATTCATGCGTGCGAAGCATATTCTCAAACCGTTTATATGCTTCCAAATCGTAAGTCAATTGAGTCATTATAAAGTCCGCTCCAGCCCTTGTTTTCTCGACGAGATATGGGACGTCTCTAGCAGGATCCTGCACTTCGGGATGTGACTCGTCTGAATGTCCTTCTGGATATGCTGCCACTCCTATGCAGAAGTGATCACCGTGTGTGCGGCGTATGTATTTCACCAAATCGACTGCATACGTAAAGTCCTTATTGCTATCATCTTCGCCATCAATATTGTACTCTTCGCTTCGCGGAGGGTCACCGCGCAATGCTAGGATATTTCTGATGCCCAACGCTTTGGCTTCTGAGAGCGCATGGTCCACCAGTGAGCGGTTCATATTCGTACATGTCAAATGCAAGCAGGTGGTAAGTCCTAATTGACGCTGACATATCTCAGCGAGCTCGAGCGATTTGGCCGCAGTGCTTCCACCAGCACCCCAAGTAACGGTCACGAATAGCGGTCGTAGAGCTTGTGACATGCGTTCCAGACGGGCTTGGAGATTTGAGGAGCCCTATAGACGAATTGATTAGTCTCGTGAAAACAACGTGGGGGGTAAGGAGGAGTGGCGGGGTAATTGATGGAATTCACCAAACTCGACGGGAACGTACCATCTGGGTCTTTGGAGGGAAAAACTCCAGCGAGAAGTAGTTCGCATTTCGGGGAAGAGCGGCTATTTTATCTGATATTTTCTCCATGGTTGTGGTTGTAGTTGTGGTGTGTTCTGCAATGTGACATTCTTCAGGTGATGAAGGGTCAGCAGTCAGTGTCTCGTTGATATTGAAATGGCTCCCTCTTGGTTCCGCGTTAGCGGCAGATCAAGTAGTTAGTTATTTAGCAAAAGCTAACCAGTCGCATTTACGGCATCATGATGAAGAGTAAACAGGAGAAAACATGAGAAACAAGGAGATAGATATGTCCTTCTTAAAACCAAATAATATGATAATTACTCTACAATTCTCTAGATTCTCCTTTTGAGCCCATGCGGAAGAAAGAAGCCAACGCGAACCTCACTCCCCGGTCCCTTGGTAGCGCATGCAAACAAGCTTCGCGATGCTGCATTTAATTTATCAAACAGTACTTCTAGGTTCTTATTTGCAATGCCTATTTTCCCTGGTCATGAGTACCATCTCTGGAGCTCGGAGTGATGTCAGCCTGGCTGAGGGTCAAACTGGGTGTAAAAGCTAACAGTTCAATTCCTTAACTATTCCTTTGCCCACCAGATATAAAGTATCAGAAGAAAATCCTACCCACGGATTGAGAGGGGAAAACTACTTACTGTTCTTGCCAAGGAAGTGTTTTCAATCTACAATTTCCCATCAAAGGGATTGCGGGATTGCCACTGTGATGTAGCAGCCTTCACCGTGTACGACGAGTCAATAAAGTTAGCACATTTCCATAGAGTTTGATTAAATTATCGCCAATCGAAATGAATGATAACAGCGGGTCAAGCTGGTACGAATCAACATCGCTCACGCCACAGTAAGTGACATCCGCACGGGCCATTATCGATTTTGCTTTCCGTTTCTTTGTTCAAATTTGCACCTCTTGAACCTGTCCGGATAAGTCGTACCTTAGGCGGGAAAACGTGGCGTCTCCGTGCGGCGGGTGATGGAGGCCCTTGCGGGGTGGCTCAAGTTGGTAGACCTATCCATAGATAAAATTAAAAATGGTTGGAGGGGTATTCATCCCGGTCGAAATAATTTCAAAGAGAACAATACAGGAATATGTTCAATCAGTTGTCTGTATTGTTCACCCCAACGTATGGTGTTGTTGAGGACTTCCTGCTGGAACCTGCGGATCTGCATGTAGGTCCATGGACCATCAACGCTCACCCATTGAGAGCGACAATATTCCCGTCTTGATTGACGCTGACCGTCACTGATTTTTGGCCTAGCTTGATATATGAAGTGAGGGGGTATTATCATCTTCCGTCGTTCTAATTCCATCTTCCTAGCCCGATGAATTGCCTGCCGTCAGTAAAAACCTGTCTTCTTGGGAATAACCGATAACGCTCGATAAACCAAGCTGCAACACCGCCAACCTGCAAAATCACAATGGCGGCCGACTCAAATACCAGGTCCAAGTACGCACACCTCGCCGCACCTCACCCGGTCTTTGAAACCTTAAAGGATGAGGCTACTAAACTCGTTGAGAGTTTATATGCCATCAAGGACATGGAGCAATTCAAAACTGCATGGAATGCCTTCCCGCCTGCGATTTTCGACGACGGTCCCGTTGTTGGCAAGGATATCACGATCGAACATATTAATATCGTAGTCAGAGATGGCGCGGATGTGGAACTCAGAATCTATAAGCCGATAAATCCAGCTTCAGACGCATCCTTATTCTTTGTCTCACACGGGGGAGGTGAGTGATATAGGGTTGTCCTATTTGCTTGTATTCATAGGAGTGAAAGACCATTGGCTGATAGTAAATGATAGGGTGGACAATATTTACCCATGATGTCGAAGAGGCACAGAATAGACAGGTGGCCAAGGATAACGGATGTGTGGTCGTGAGCGTGGAGTACCGAAAATGTCCGGAATTCCCATTTCCCTATCCCTTGAACGACTGCTTTGACGCATTGATTTGGGTATGAAAATGCTCTTGAGTTGCTTACCCTCGAGGAAGACGCCCGCTCACAATCGTTCGACAGTGCAAATCGAATGCCTCCACCCTTGGGATCAACCCCAAAAGCATTTTCCTCGCAGGCTCCACCAGCGGTGCCAATCTTGTAAGATTCTCTCGCCTCACTTGCTGTTGATAAAAAAAAAACCTAGTAACAACTTGAAAGGCAGCAGCCCTCGCATTGAAAGCTCGAGATGAATCTATCACTGGGATAGTTGGCCAGATCCTCAACATGCCAATGATTTGTCACCCAGACTTCTTCCCTCGGGACAAATATGAATACAAGAGCTGGGACGAGAATAAGGAAGAAGCCGTTGCGTCGTCCATGAGAGCTTTATTCCACTGGAATTTATATCTCCCGGAAGGGAAACCGGAGGTCTATGCCAATCCCATACTGGCTGAAAGCCACGCAAACCTCCCCCCAGCTCGTAAGTGAAAGGAAAAGAAGAATGAAACATGATATTCGCCCAAAACAAAATGGGCAGCACACCTAGCTAACAGAAAGCCTGATAGTCATCCAGATCGCCGGGTATGACCCACTGTGCGACGAGGGTTTTGCATACAGCGAAGCCCTCAGGGCGGCGGGAGTCGAGGTAACGGAAAAGGCGTTTGCTGGCCTTCCGCACGCATTTTACTTCTTCCTCAAGGCACTCGACAAGGAATCCAGAGATTTTTTCCAGAACATTGTTGATTTCGTACAGGATATCGAAAAGAAAACGATCCCATTGTAATCTGCTGGATGAAAGGGCTGGTTCTTGAAACTGAGGTAGATAGCCACGCTCTGCTCGGTGTTTAATTTAAATACTTCTGTCGAGTTATATTTAGGGGCGTTCAATTGCAAGCTATTGTGGCGGACATAAATATATAAATTTGTTAGGATGCAATTGATTGGCTTTTGAACCAGTGCTCCAGCCTACATAGTAAATATAAAGGTCGCGAATCGTTGAATGAAAAGAAAACGTCCACCAAGGCTGTCGGCCAAGTCACATGATTCGAAAGCACGATGTTTTCAATTCGTTTTTATATCTCTCGCAAATTAGATATCCCACTCTCCATAATCGTCATAACTCCACAGCCACTCATTTTCAATTGAGTTTATACTTCTTGATATACGAACCACCCCGTGTTCACCTAGACACCTCCCGGTCTCCCGGATAAACGTAAACACCCCCAAGCATGTAGGAACAAAGAGTGTCTTAAAATAAAGGAATTAAAAGACCAAGGAAATGAATCTCCACCGCTCTCCGCTACCAATTAATCCCCTCCACTCCCTTCGCAGACTCACGTCTCACAGACCCTTTTCAACCCCCCCAGCAGCTCCTCCTCCCCCAAAAGCCACTCCTTCCCGCCTTCCCACCCGTCTCCAAACATTCAACAACCGTCTGCCCCGCTTCCTCAGGTCATATACAACCCCACTCTTCAATGCGCCCGTAACACACATAACTTCATTCCTAATCCTACACGAGATCACTGCCATAGTCCCACTTCTGGGACTAACAGGCGCATTCCATTACTGGGGGTGGATTCCGGCATTGGGGGATGGAACGGTGGATGAGGGTGTGAAGAAGTTTGGGAGGTGGTTGAAGAAGAAGGGGTGGGTTGGAGGGGAGGCGGAAGTGCAGGCAGGAGTAGTGGCGGAGGCGGAGATGGGTATGCGGACAGCAAAAAGTACTTCGGGTGGAAATACAGATACGGATAAAGGGGTGCGGTTGATACTGGAGTTCGCGACTGCGTATGCTATTACTAAGGCGATGTTGCCTGTCAGGATTGTGCTTAGTGTTTGGGCTACGCCATGGTTTGCGCGGGGTGTGCTTGGGCCTGTGGGAAGGGCGGTTGGGAAGGTGTTTGGCAGGAAGGCTTAGATCTGTACAGTATCTTCTATTTTTTGGACTTGATTTTGGCTGTGGCACGACATATACAAAATGCAAAAGGCACGTTGGGAAATATCAACAAATAGTAAGATTGATCCCCGGCAGATCTTGAAATTCGTCTAAACTATTATTTCCTTTCTCGTTGTGTCATTAACTTATCATAATAGTGAGGGTCGCGCGACATGATGGATCTACTCGTAGATCCAGTTGGCCTGGCTTTGCTGGTACTGGACGAGCTCCTCAGGCTTGAACCAGAGGGCAATTTCCTTCTTGGCGTTCTCGACGCTGTCGGATCCGTGGCAGACGTTGCGGCCGACATCCTATGGAATTTGGTCAGTGCTGCAATTGAGGAATAGGGATCTTAGAGGCTCCTAGTAACTTACAATAGCGAAGTCACCGCGGATAGTGCCAGGGGCGGAAGCGAGGGGGTTGGTGGCACCGAGGATGGCTGTTGTTGGACAAGATTAGATAAGAGATGGTGAGATGACAGGTTGAGTCTATACATACCACGGCCAGTCTTGACGGCATCACGGCCCTCCCAAACCATGGCGCAGATAGGGCCACTCAACATATCTAAGATTGTGTCAGCCCCCAGTATTAGGGAAAAGTATTGAGTCTTCAGGCGAAGAAATAGAGGGGTATACGAACAGGTAACGAGGCCCTTGAAGAAAGGCTTGCTGGAGAGATCCTCATAATGCTTCTCGAGATGCTCCTTGGAAGGGGTGACGAGCTTGATGGCAGCAAGTTTGTACCTATGTCCGTTAGAACCGTTGCGGTTCATCAGTTCCGCCACAGAAACAACATCCCACCCACACTTACCCGCGGTTCTCGAAGCGGCTGATGATGGGACCGACGAGTCCACGCTAGATAGGGAATGTTAGCTCCCAAGTGACAGAACCAATCCTCGTGACACACAAAAGTATAAGTAAAATGCTGCCTTCGTCTTTGGCTGTTCATACCTGGACACCATCAGGCTTGATAGCGATGAAACTGGAGGGGTAAAACAGGTTGATTAGTCGGTGCGCGAAGGGAGAGAACAGGCCAGAGAAGAAGGATCAACATACGTTTGTTCGGAGGCAGACATGTTGACAGAGTAAAAATATCAAAGAACTAGACTTCGAGTGTGTTCTGGTTGTTCAATGGCTGAAATGGCTGGGTGAGGGGAGGGAAAATAGAAGATGTTGTGTTGGCGGGGAATGATTATTTTATGAGGAATTCCTAGGGCATGGTGGGGGATCACACCAGCCACAGTAGGTTTAGCCGGGCCATGCCAAGCCAGCAGCTTGAGGCGAGTTGGCGACTTACGCAGCTACATACAGATTACATACACCAGCTCTCGACAAGCATCTAACCACCAGTTATCAACCATCCAACCTCATAACAATAGCATCTGCAGCTTGCAATTGGGATCATAGAGCTCTTCGAAGGTTCACAATTTGAGACCCAATTCACGGTGGAGTCTTGTGCCGTGGAGAAGGAACAAATTCTCCATGAACTGCTCCCAATTCTTCCTGTTTTAAGCCTCTTGGAGTGTCCAGGTTCAACCTATTTAGAGCTTACTTGGGGACCCTGCACCCAGTTCACCCGTCCCCATGGCGGCGTTCAGGCCTTCGTCCACTGGTTGGACCCTGTGCCTGGCCATTTTGGCCATCCTCTCGTGTCTAGTTGTCCCCGGAGGTACGTGAAGATACTGAAACGAGATAAATCAGGCTTGATATCTAACTCATATTCGTTGAATCCAGAGATGGTCAAGCACGAGAACTTTAAGACGTGTTCGCAATCTGGCTTCTGCTCGCGGAATAGAGCTTATGCAGATACAGTTTCCAGCCAAGGCTCGTCATGGTCCGCTCCCTATCACCTTGAATCGAACTCTATTCAATTTGCCAATGGCCAACTGTTGGGAATAATCGTTAAGACTATCGAAAATAACGAGAAGGTTAACTTGCCTCTCACTGTATCGTTCCTTCAGTCAGGCGTTGCTCGTGTCACAGTAGACGAAGAGAAGCGGATACAGGGAGATATACAATTACGACATGATCGGAAAATAAGGAAAGAACGTTATAATGAGGCTGAGAAGTGGGTAATTGTGGGGGGTTTGGAGCTGAGCTCCTCCGCTGAAATTGCTAAGGGAACGGAAGCCGGAATTACAAAGGTCCATTATGGGCCCGACAACAAGTTCCAGGCTGTCATCAGGCACTCCCCATTCGAAGTACACTTCCAAAGGGATGGCGAAACACACATTCAACTCAATGACAAGGGGCTTCTGAATGTGGAGCATTGGAGGCCAAAGGTTGAGAAGCCGACTGGGGACGATAGCGAATCAGAGCCACAGGATGCTGTGGATGACAGCACTTGGTGGGAGGAATCATTTGGTGGAAACACCGATACGAAACCAAGAGGCCCAGAAAGTGTTGGCCTGGATATTACTTTCCCTGGATACAACCATGTGTTTGGTATCCCTGAACATGCCGACTCACTCTCCCTGAAGGAAACAAGGTAAATATTCCTTTAATCAATCGAGTTTAACTTCCTGCTAATTCTGGAATCAAGGGGAGGTGACGGGCATCACACTGAGCCTTACCGTTTGTACAACAGCGATGTGTTCGAATATGAGTTGAATAGCCCAATGACACTTTACGGATCCATCCCATTTATGCAGGCACACCGTAAAGGTTCCACGGTGGGTGTACTGTGGCTGAATGCCGCGGAGACATGGGTCGACATTGTCAAGACGAAGGCTTCAACCAACCCTCTCGCTCTCGGTGTCGTTGGCAAAACTAGCACGCAAACGCATTGGTTCTCGGAAGCCGGACAACTCGATGTTTTCGTGTTCTTAGGACCAACACCCCAAGCCCTCAGCAAGTCGTATGGCGAACTCACCGGTTTCACCCAACTGCCCCAGCATTTCGCAATTGGCTACCATCAGTGTCGCTGGAACTACGTGACCGATGAGGATGTCAGAGACGTTGACAGAAAATTCGACCTTTATCAAATTCCTTACGACGTCATTTGGCTCGACATTGAGTACACTGACCACAAGAAGTACTTTACTTGGGATCCTCTGACATTCCCGGACCCGGACGGAATGCAGAAACAACTTGACGATTCGGGACGTAAACTCGTTATCATCGTCGACCCTCATATTAAAAACGAAGCAAACTACCCTGTTGTAGACGAGCTGAAATCGAAAGGGCTAGGTGTGAAGAACAAGGATGGCGACATCTATGACGGCTGGTGCTGGCCTGGATCGTCCCATTGGATCGATTGTTTCAATCCAGCTGCGGTATCGTGGTGGAGTACTCTCTTTAAATATGACAAATTCAAGGGAACCCACTCTAACATGTTCATTTGGAACGATATGAACGAGCCGTCCGTTTTTAACGGCCCGGAGACAACCATGCCTAAAGATAATATTCACCATGGCGGCTGGGAGCATCGTGATTTGCACAACCTCAATGGCATGACATTCATCAACGCTACTTATCATGCCATGTTAGAACGCAAAAAGGGCGAGGTGCGCAGACCATTTGTCCTGACTCGGTCGTTTTATGCAGGGACACAGCGGGTGGGAGCCATGTGGACTGGTGATAATCAGGCCAACTGGGAACACCTTGCGGCATCTCTCCCCATGGTGCTCAACAACGGCATTGCCGGATTCCCCTTCGCAGGAGCTGACGTTGGAGGTTTCTTTGGAAACCCAAGCAAGGAGCTACTAACAAGATGGTACCAAACCGGTATCTTCTATCCGTTCTTCCGTGCCCATGCGCACATCGACACCCGCAGGCGTGAGCCTTATTTGGCTGGAGAGCCGTACATGAGCATCATCACCCAAGCCTTGCAGCTGAGATATCAGCTCCTTCCTGCATGGTACACTTCTTTCCAACAGGCTTCCATTGACGGCAGCCCAATTGTCCAGCCCCAATATTATGTCCACCCGGAAGATGAGGCTGGTTTTGCAATCGATGACCAATTGTATCTGGGATCCACTGGCTTACTTGCTAAACCAATCGTGGCGGAGGGTGCCACTAGCACTGATATCTACCTTGCCGATGACGAAAAATACTACGATTATTTCGATTATACTGTCTATCAGGGTGCTGGGAAGAGACACACTGTTCAAGCCCCGTTGGAAAAGATTCCTCTCTTGATGCAGGGTGGCCACATCATCCCACGCAAAGATCGACCCCGTAGAAGCAGTGAACTCATGAAGTGGGATCCATACACGCTCGTGGTTACCTTGGACAAGAACGGCCAAGCCGAGGGAACTCTTTATGTTGATGACGGCGAGACGTTCGACTACCAGAACGGCGCCTACATCCACCGCCGCTTCACCTTCTCCGAGTCATCGTTGTCATCCACAGACATCGGAGCCAAAGGCACCAAGACTGCGCAGTATCTGAAGACGATGGCCGGTGTGCGTGTGGAGAAAATCATAATTGTCGATGCCCCAGATGCCTGGGAGAGCCAATCGACTGTTCTTGTTCTTGAAGAAGGGTCGCAGACTGGATCCCAGGCAAGCTTGCAGTGGCATGCTAAGCAGGGGGGGAAGGCTGCCTATGCTGTGGTCAAGGACCCAGGCGTATCTATTGGAGGCTTGTGGAAGATTGATTTCTCTTAGACTGCACGTTCCCCCTGGTTATTCATGTACTGAGGATATATCTATATGCTACAGTCTGACCGTCCGTCTATTTTTTCATGGTATATTTTTGTATAGATCCTTTCCTTCTTTGCTTAAGTCAATTTTCCCTTCTCAGCGTTCACACCGGTGAAACCGAACAAATCAAAACACTAGATTATCTATTCTATTATTATGGATACCAGCTACATCACATATTTTTCTTCCCATCGATGAGACTGGAGAAGTCACAACAATTGGCCAATGATCCACCACGAAACTACAGTACATGAAGCTCCCATAAGCCATTTTGCATGTCATGAGGTCGGATTTTCACATGGCAACAAAAGCTCGCCATCTATTGCTTCGTGTCCCCCTAGATAACTACACCGTATGTATCTCGGGCCAATCGTGACTTCCTCCAGCGCAATGGCGGAATATATTATGATTCATTCGTAGGACGTACGTAGTTATAGGCAGCATTAATATGTACAGTACACGGAAAGGAAATATGGATGAATTTTATTTATTTTTTTATTCCAGAAATTTTCATTGCTCGTCAAACCTCTTCGTCCAACCAGGGTTGAAACTTGAAGGATCCCCAGAAGCCCGATTTCTCTGCAGCCGGCAAGGCAGCCAGCCATATTTCCTAGGACTGGGATGTGACATCTTGAGATTCGCGATGGTAAAGTGGTTAAAGTCAAAAATTATGTCCCCACCACAGAAACCTAGTTGTTTGGAACAGGTTCAGTGTTCAGTACATAAACGGAGCACATGCGATAAATACTTGCAGAAGCTGTAACAACTAATTTATGGGCTAGGAGGTGAAATTTGGAACGGACAGCCCTACTATACTATGTACACAGTACACAGTAGAACCCACTACTACTGGCGTTTCCAGCAGAAAGCTACAATAGTTAAGTTAGTTACGCAGTAAGTTAAGCCTACAAGTGGAGCGAGTAGTTAGTTATTGGGGTCAGCCTCGGTTGGTCAACTTCTTGTGGAAGGTGTAAAGCTTGTGTGATTGAAAGGTTGCTAGCTTGTGGAAAGTTATATGGTGGAAGGATTAGTAAGCCAGATCACGTGACCTGACACTTCTCACATGAGATATTCTTCTGCCCAGACTTGCCCCGATCGTCACTAAAAACTCGGCAGCCCCGTATCCAGCACATTCCTGATGCTGGGGTATATATGTATATATATATATATATATATATATAAATGTGTGTGTCTGTCGACCACCAACCATCCCGTGAATCTTTGCTATCCTAAGCTGGCCGTTGGGAGATGAATCGAACAAAGCAGCCACCATGATCAGGGACATCAACTTCGGCTATGCAGCCCTGCTGCTGATACCGGGCCTTCTGCTCACCTTCTCCTTGTCAAGAATCGTCAGGCAATTCTTCTATAATCGAAATGTTGAGGCTGCCGGCGGGGTCCATGCTCCATCCTCTTCCAATAACTCTATTACCCGTGAGTGGACATATTTCCTAATTATCTCTCTCTCTCTCTCTCTCTCTCTCCCTCCCTCCCCTTTTCAATTGAACATAGATAGAACCAAGAAAAAGCCCTAGCTGACAATACTGAAGTTTTGAAATTCATTCTGGAGACCGCGGACGCACTGAAGAAGAATAAATTGCTTGAAAACTTTAATACAAGTATCGATAAATACGGAACCGTCTCATGTCCAAACTGCATAGAGATGAATCTCACGGGGGACCAACGTAACATATTGACTCGCGAGCCAGAGCATGTCAAAGCCGTCCTGACTGGGAAATTTGCCGACTATGGTAAAGGCGCAGAGTTTCATGACCTCTGGTCTCCGTTTCTAGGCGATAGTATTTTCACCACCGACGGCAAGCAATGGTCGAACAGCAGGAATCTGATTCGACCCATGTTTGCGAAGAACCGCGTTAGTGATTTGGACATATTCGAACGGCGCACAAAGATCATGCTGGGCCTGTTCCCTCCTGCCGGAGAAACCTTTGACTTGATGAATCTATTCTATAGGTTGACGATCGATATAACCACGGAATTTTTGCTTGGCCAGAGCATTAACAGTTTGGAGTATCCAAAGGGTGACTTCGTCGACGCCTTTGAAGAAGTGCGAAGAATTCAGATGCTTCTCACTACAATCGGGTAATTAATCCCTTTTGGCTAGCCATATAAACAAGGAGTGAATGCACACAATACTAAGCTTCTCACTACGTCGATAGTCCATTCCATCACTTCTATCCCAGACGCGCCTATAAACGCGGGATCAAAATAATCGACAATTTCGTCCTCCCCTTCGTCCGCAAAGCTCTCGAACTTCCCGAAGAGGAGCTGCAGAAGCTGAGCCGCTCCGAGCGCTCCTTCACTTTCTTACACTCCCTTGCCCTCTTCACCCGCGATCCAAAAGTGATCCGTGACCAGATTGTCTCCGTGCTCCTCGCTGGCCGCGACACAACGGCCTCCACCCTCTCCTGGACCTTCTACGAGCTAGCCAACTATCCAAAAGTATACGCTAAACTCCGCGCCGAAGTCCTCGCCACTCTGGGTGAAGACGGCAGGCCCACCTATGACGATTTGAAAAGAATGAAGTACCTCCGGAATACCATAAACGAGACTCTGCGCTTGTACCCAGCGGTGCCGTTCAACGTGCGCTCAGCACTTGCAGACACTACCCTGCCAACTGGCGGAGGTCCGCATGGGGATCTCCCCATAACCGTCCTGAAAAATGATGTCGTGATCTATTCAACACTAGCCATGCAGCGCCGGAGGGACCTCTATCCGCCGGTTTCAGATACGTTCGCGGACCCGGCCATCTTCTCACCTGAGCGCTGGGAGTCGTGGCAACCCAAACCTTGGACGTATGTGCCATTCAATGGTGGGCCACGTATCTGCATTGGGCAAAATTTTGCCCTGGCGGAGATTGCTTATGTGGTGGCGAGAATGGCGCAGAAGTATGAGCGGATGGAGTATGCAGGAAATTGGGCGGGACAGGAGTATCGGACGGAGATTGTTGGGTGTCCGGATCAGGGGGTTCCGGTAAGGTTCTTTGAGGCGGGGAGCAAGGCGCAGTAGATGCCGAGAGTTGAGTACGTGTTTTGTTTCGCGGGAAAAAAATGCCAGGGTTGGTTGATGGGTGTATTCCGGACATATGCATGGATTCACGCAAGGATGTGTATAATGTTACGTATGATGAATTGAACAAGAATGATGCCACGGTTGCCGCTTAGTTGAATTATGACAGATGTTAGGATGCAATATCGCAGTGGCGGTTTTGGAACCCGTAGTTTTAGCTTGCTGAGGTTCGTTCTGGCTTCATACTAGGCCAACAGTGCCCTTTCGGTCCAAAATTTACTCTCCCCTCAAACCATCCTGTGCCAAGAAATCTCCTTGTTCTTGCTCCCTACATAGTCGTGCACCCAGTCACCCATTGATCCATCAATATGGACAGCTGGATGGTATCGAAGCTTGATCACCGCTACCAAAGCATTTCATTGATTTCCATGAGCCCCAATTCTCTGACATCAACATGACGCAAGGAATGAATAAGAAGCAATGGCTAATGCCCTCTACACAAGAAGCTGTTGGTTTGGTGTCATTTACTGATTCATTTGACATTCACGATCGAATAATGAGTAGGTCTTTGTTGCCAGGGATGGCATTTGAGGTTGCACCGACAAAAGGCGTCTTTATCTCTGGAAAAGGGCCTTCCAGTTTGGAGGGCGATTTGCTTTCATGTGGTATCTAGATACATGAGTACTTTTCACAATTGTTAGCAACTTGAGCTTTTGGTTCACGTCGATTCGGCTCCGGCATCAGGGCTAAAGTCGGGGGGAGTTGAGGGGTAGTGTAAATATCCGACACTGGTGGGCATATAAATAAAGAGCTACCCCATATTCCGATGTATCTTGAACCTGACCTACCAAATAGCTAAAAAAAAGTGAGGTTAAGGTATACTACAAATTCAGGGACGAGGATAAAAAGCCGATATCGAGAGAAATGGTTCGTTATCTCAAAACCGATGCTGGGCTCGGGGTGGGCAGCAATGGCCCGGCAATTGATGTACCGTCGATTGTTAGGAAAGAGTGATTGAAGACATTCCATTCGGTTGAACGGTGACAGGGCTGTCCACCAGAATTCCACAAAATTTGACAGTTGGGAGCCAATGTCTTTCAAGCTTTCAGAGGGCGACATCGAAGCGGCCGTCGTAAAAGTCTCAGAGCAAACGATTAAGGATATCAAGGAGGCTCAAGCCAACGTGCGTGCTTCTGCTGTGGCCTAGCGAAATTCGATTTCCGATTTCGAGGTTGAACTTTAGCTAGGGGTACATCTGGGTTAGAAGAATATTCCTATTAGTTCAGTTGGGGCGTAGGTTTTTGCCCTCATCATTTCATACTCAAGAAGTCCAATTTTGCAACTGTACGCAATGTTAATATGTATCTCCACCGGTAGAATCCCGGAGGGCGTTATCCCCTTCATGCATTAGCTCACATGACAATCCTGATAGCAAAGGTTGCCGGAGTTAATCATGTTACTATGTGTACACCGTACACCTCCTATAAATGGGAAGATCCCTAATGCCACCATGGCTACAACGCATCTAGTGGGTGCTAATGAGATATTTATTCTAGGGGGCGCTCAAGCAATCGCTGGGATGGCAGTGGGCACTGAGTCGATTCGCAAAGTAGACTCTATTGCCGGTCCAGGAAATGCTTGTCACGGAAGCTAAAAGACAACTCTTGAAGAAATTGGCGTTGATCTCTTTGCGAGCCCTACAGAAGTCCCTGCTACCCACCTCCTTTCACAAGCTGAACATGGTCCCGATTCTCCCGCAGTGCTCATCACGACGTCTGAAGATTCTGCAAAGCAGGTGATGACATTAATTGATAGATTTCTAGAGACGCTTTCTACTGCTGCAATAGCAAGCACAGCATGGCGGTCGTTTAGAGAAGTCGTGATTGTGGATAGTATCGATGAGGCATATGCCCTTGGTGACGAATATGCTTTCGACCATGTCCAGATCCTCACTTAACAACCACGAGAAGCACTTGAGAAAATGAGATAGTACGCCGCCATTTTCCTGGGAGAAAAGACCTGCGTTTCATATGGAGACAAGGTAATTTTCTCGCGCGTTGCGAAGCTCATTGATATCACATATCGGACAAGTGCATTCAACATACATACGTAACTGACAGATCTGTACACCTAGGTGATTGGAACAAGCCAATGTTCTCCCGACTCGAAAGGCAGCGCGATATACCGGAGGTCTTTGAGTCTGCAAATTTCTTTGGACGGTCACATATCAAGAAGTTAAATCTGAGACAGCCAGCGGAGAGCTTGGTCGACTATGCAGTATGGCTGCTAGAGCGGAGAATTTCGAAGGACATGCTCGCTCGGGAGATCTTCGAGCAAGTCAGTATCTGAAAAATCCGCATGCCTGGATAGATAGGCCAGGCCGAACAGGAGGGTTAGACTGATAAACACTAGGGAAGGCCTTGTTGCTTTGAATCGATAACTATTGACAACTCTAGATATAACTGTGCAATATCTTTTCGCTAAACTCAGTCTCATTCAACTCAGTAAACCAGTAGTTGTCGTGGTTCCATCTAGACGGGATGATGTCGAGATAGACTCCTTGTTTGCGGCTCCATGGATTCCAAGTCTGTGGAGCTGGCTTGGCAGAACGTGTAACTAGTTATTAGCTAATGATTATGTAATGCTGCATGATCGGCGGCAAGGTTTCCACATTGAGCGACGTTGGAAGAATAAGGACATCGCACTCATTCATCGCCATTTAATAATAATTAGGAAACAAGTAGATTGCTTCAATGCCTTCCCCTGTACATGTCAATTAGCATCAGCCACAGTCAACGCGGTGTGCGGTACCATCTGCGTGAATTCGAGCTCGCCGAGACCAAGCGCACTCACTCGGGCCAAGCGGATCTCCATCGACGTTCGTCGCCTAAAGAGCGCTCCCGCAGGCCCGGCGATTTTTCCGGCATCCCAGAAAAGAAGCCGTCTTACAAACAAAATCTGCAGTTTCAGAGGCTATTCCATTCGTTCCACGGCAATCTCGTGGGCTTGGATGTCCGGTTCTATTCATTTGAGAACCACTCACAAATTTTGGGATAGCGCTCCAATCCCTCGACCTCTTTATATCCCCACCGAAATGAGAGATTTTGCATAACACAGACACCCTTTGAGTCGCATTGCACCCCCGACGGCGACGGTGTTTTAAAAAAAGTACTATTTCTTAAAGAGAAGCACGAAAAAATTCAGTGACGATAGTGGATAAAACAGCGGAAGTGAAAATGTGGCTCATGTCGTTCATTCTCGACTATGCGGCGCCAGTTTTGTACGCACGCTACTAAAGCCCTCCAATTTGCAGATGGATGCAGACTCTGACAAAAAAGTTTCCGCAGCCTCGTCCTCTCGCCCCTAACGTCATATTCGGATCAAATATATAGCATACATAGGACGAAAAGTTCTGCTGGATTTTCGTTGGATATCCCTTTGATAATGCTCGTTGCCTCGATCTTAAAGTGGGTTGGCCTTCCTTATATTGCGCTCCCTTTTTCTCCCACATGGATTGTACAAAAAAGCCCTGCTATTCCCGAATCTACGTATTTTTATTTTTCCTGTCTAACGTATTTGCCATTATTTCAGGGTGTTCTACTGGTTCGGCGCCTATTACTCGAATGCGTTGCTCTTCCAAGCAATCCTCATGATTTGCGTACAGTTGGTTTTGTTAAAGGTTGCCTTAGATAATCGAGCACCAACTGGAATAAGAGATGGAATTGAACATGCGCCATTCAGCGGCCAAAAAGCGGGAATACTAGGGACGAGCTTTTCGAGGCCGTATAACTTTTGGCAATGGAGAGCTAACCGACCGTACGTGTCCCCCTTCTCCTGGTTTATTTTAAGTTTTAAACATGGATGATCATCCCCTTGGCTGTAGCGTATTGCTAACATATGCTCACCACGGTAATTTACAGATACTGGAGCTTTCTTTCTTACTTCGTCGCGTCCCTATTCGTCATCCACGTCATATTCCGGCCCATCTCGCGCTCGGAGCGCTATATTGCCCTTCTGGGCTTTGCCGGCCTTGGCGTTGAAGCCTTCCTCCCTGTGCCACAGATAATATCCAACCAGCGCGCACAATCTTGTAAGGGTTTCCGGGTCTCGGTGCTCGGCTCATGGATTCTCGGAGACGCCATGAAGATGGGCTATTTCTTTTTCGGTGGTGACTCTATTCCATGGGCTTTCAAGCTTTGTGGGATTTTACAATGCCTCTGCGACTGTTATCTTGGAGTACAATATTGGATGTTCGGGGATGGGATTCCGGTGAAACATAATGTGGAGAGGGTGGCAGCAGCTAATGGGTTCGATCGTGGTGATGATAGATGGGGTATGAAAGCAGCGGATGTACGATTGTCGTAAAAGGACAAGTTACAACTGGCTAGCGTGTGGAAACATATCTGTTTCATGGCTGATATGTTGGCATGACTGATACGTTCTGATAGACCTGGCGTTCTTTTTTCAGATATATGTCCTCTTCTCCTTGTCCCTTTCTACCTATAATGTGGATAAATCTTTAGACCGATATCGAATTTAATTAATATTTTCTTGATTAGATGATCCTAAAACCAAGTTACTAGGCTTCAAAAAATAGCTCTTAAAACCGTTCAGGCATCAAAGCTATACTACGCCATCGCCGTCGTAGTTAAGGTACAGTGCCTCGCCATAGGTTTGAAATTGTTTCGCAACTCAGTTTGGCGGTAAACCAGGCCGATATGTTTTTCCAGAAAGTTTGAAGGCTTTTTGGCCTTTATGTAGGAGCCCGCTTAACGTAAAAGGACGTCATGAAACGCTCTTCGTAATCTTGAAATTCAACTTCATCGTAATGCTCGCCAATCAACTTTCTGATGCGGGGAGAATCGGGGTCCGTCCTTGAAAATTGTTAGCATGTTCTGAGAACCGGTAACCCAGTGGTTCGGGGGTCCAGGAGTCCTTTACCATGGTTTGAGGACATCTTCATCTTTAACTTTGTCCCACATCATCATGGGAGGGAGAGAAATGTCTAGCACAACTTGTTTGATAGGAACATTCGGTGCGAAAGAAAGCACAGCCGTCGAGTCGTCCGTCAATAAAAACCCTTCCGCGTCATCAACAACTGTCACGGCGAACTTTGCTAACATATCCTTTTCAGCATCCGTATAGATTGGATCCTGCAAGTAACATCGTATCTGCTCGGCATCCCTATCCGTTCGTTCGTTCTGCAGGACGTCGAGTACGGTCATGACAAGTGCATGCTGGTAAAAAGGACGGGGTGCCAAAGATGGGTAGGCGCCGGACTCCTCTGTTTCAAACTCAATGAGACTGCCACAGGCATAAGCAACAATTTTATCGATTTTGCGTATGTTAGAATTTCTTTGCAGTAATGCCTTAAGACTCCCTCTTAGATGCTGGCATGCTGGTGTCGCCTCCCATTTCGTTAAAGTCCGTCTAAAATACGGTTCAACATCCTCGATAGGCTGAATATCGCTGGGTATCACTTCCCCGGTGATTCTATCTCGCATCAAGCCAATGTACTCAACGATTAGATGGGTGGTAAAGATAGGACAAAATTTATCATTGTAGGGACCCAGGCGCGCCAGCTTCTGGAGAGCGACGAATCCGATTGTCGGCTTTCTAGTTCAGCACGGTCATCCCCAATAGTGAGTCAACTATCCAACATTGAAACAAGGGAAACAATAGGAGAGGAGAGCATACGAATCAGGGTGGAAGCCAGGATGGTCAGGCGGCACTCTGAAATCCGCCCTCTCGCCATCCAGTCTGCGTACTGAGACTACGCTGACCTGTCCAGCAACTGCCATTTTGAACTGCTTGCCAAATTCACTAATGGCATCCTTGGTGAAGAGCGGGATGCAATTGTTATGCCGAAAGAGGGCTTCTGATCTCAGTTTGTCAAAGGCTTCGTCGGTTATTGTATCCCCATCCCAGACAAGATAGCCATCGGGCAGGTGGATGGCATCGCTTGCGTCTGTCATAGTGGAAGATAATCAGAGTGGTTACTAGCAACTAAACGCAAATTTTAAACCCGTAATAAAATAAGTCAAGCTAGAATATTCGAAGATGCATGGGGGTGTTTAATGATTTATAAGTATTCACACGAGGGAAGTATGAGGAAGTGAATTCATCCTAGCGGAGGTCAATGGAGTTCACCTCCCAACGCCCTGCCCCCGCCTTTGTTCCATACGAAATCAAAGGCTGATCATGTATCAATGTGTTGAGTTATAAGTCTGTATTGTAAGAGATTACAGCATTATAATGAATTCTACTCGATAGTTTTAAGTAAAATTACATCTATAACTTACTTTACAAACCAATAAAATTGTATAGCTATAGTTAGTCTATATGTTAATACCTGAATGCGCTTCATGTAAATTTATACAAGAAAGTATTAGTTAATCCTTTTCTTAATTATAAGCATGTAAGCTTAATTAGAGTTAAGGCTAGTGCCGGAAGTCGCCCACGATTCAGACCCACCCATGTGCCTTAGCTTCAAATCAGCTCGGCTTTGACAACATAACATGGCTCCTGTTTGACGCAGTGGGCTATCAACTCTTCTATGCAGATGGAATTATTCGCTACCCTTAATCCTCGTTTCACTATCAAAAAGCAGTCCAACTTGAAATCATGGCTTCATCTGAGGGCACTATAAGGATTGGCTACGTGCCAGGTAGGCTCACTTTGCCCACAGTTTATCGGAAATTATAATCCAGCCCCTCACCGGTCAACAGCCAACATGCAATCTCTGTAACGTTGTACTAACATTAAACCAATGTGATGCGCAGAGCACTATCTAACTCCTCTTCACCTTGCCCTCAAGTCGACTATTTCCTCTCTCCCATTCAAAGTGACCATCAAGGCATTTCCCTCCGGAACTGGGCACATGATTACATCCCTTCGCGCAAATGAAATCGATATCGCCATCGGGCTAACTGAGGGCTGGGTCGCCGGATTAGTAGGCAAGACGCAGCTGGAAAAGGGCGACGTTGATGGAGGATATAAAATGGTAGGAGAATGGGTGGAAACACCTTTGAGATGGGCTATCGTGACAGGCCGTAATCGAAATGAGATTAACGGCGTGAGCGACTTGAAAGGGGGACAAGTCGGGGTGAGCCGATTAGGGAGGTTGGTATCAACCCATAGATTCACCATCCAGTCAGCGGCAGTGGCATGGAATGCTAACAAAAATGCTGTTACCCAGTGGCTCTCACATCATGTCATTTGTTCTAGCACAACAACAGAACTGGTCGTCGACTGTTTCTCCACTTAGATCCGTTATACTAGGACCTTTCCAATCACTTCGGGATGGAGTTATCGGCGGCGACCCTGCGGCCCCAGATGCGCCTCTAGCACCGTCTGCCGATTTCTTCATGTGGGAAGAATTCACTACAAAGCCATCCTTCCACCCATCGGAATCAACCCCGAACCCGCCACTGAAAAAGATTGGGGAGATCTTTACTCCTTGGCCTTCATGGCACATTGTTGCTTCAACCTCCACGTTTCCTTCTCCAGCAAATGATGCGAGACTCTCCCAACTTTTCGAGGCATTGGATAGTGGTATTGCTGCCTTTGAGGCCGACAGGGAACACGTGGTCAAATTGTTGGGCACGGGAGAATTAGGTTGTACATACAATGAAACTGATGCTAGGGAATGGCTTAAGGATGTACGGTTTGTAAAGCGCGGGACAAGGGGCGTTGATAATTCGGTTGTTAGTGGGGTTATCGACATCCTCAAAGTCGCAGATGTTATCCCAAAGGATATTGGAAATAATGATGCGATTGAGAAGGTCGTGGGGATTTCCAAATAGGTACGCAAGGTTTTTCCCCCCTTTTCCTTTGGTTTTGTATTAATAACAAGGCCTGCCGTGCATATGTTATTTGCTTGATCCGGAGCTGTTTCTATTTGCATGTATGCACTTACGTTGCTCGCATAAGACTCCCCAAATGACACTAAGATAGCAAGAAAAATATGAAGACCATAAAAAGAAATTTTTGACTGAAAAGCTCAATCATCTTTTCCTTTACCCACAGAAGATGACTATGAACATTCGAAACATTTAGCAATCAATACTCATTGGCCACCTTACAATGATCGCAGTCGCCAAATTCTTTCAGCGCCGCAGTTCATGGTGGCCCTTGTTGCACTTCAGGCCTGGTCCAATTTATGACGCATGGAATCGTCCTCGATATGTGCCTCATTAAGTGCGAGCTGGTGCATCGACTAATTTAACAATGCTGGATAGCCCTTTAAAACATACCAATGAGATAGCAACTCCACCAGGGTTTTTATTTGGTTATCCAGCCTCGTGATGGAAATAGCTCTATGCATCTAAGAAAATTGGCCGTTTGCCAAAGTATCCAAACCCAAATCGGCTCCTACCCCCCGATTCATTTACTCTTTTACAGAAAACTCCAATGACTACAATTGACCTTCAAATGAGAACCTCCGATCTGGGAACGCTACAAAATAGCCTCCTCCCCGCCATCATTTTCATTTTCATTTTCATTTCCTTTTCCTTGGGATTGCCGTGAGGCATGGCTATGAAAAACGTATGCATTGCATCTACCGCGCAGCCCAGACCGAATACCATCTACGCCACCACATATGTGTATATAGAGGCGTGATGTTTCCGCACTATATATATCTAATTTGTAGCGTCCAGAGAGAAAGTCTACCAGACCCTTTGGCGCTGCTATTCCGTTGCACTTCTTCTCCAATGAATCCCCTTAGTGCCATTCTCCTTTTCCTACTCGCCCGTCAGGTTATAGGGGCATATAACCTCGTTGATCACTACCACCCAAACAATTTCTTTGCAAAATTTGACTTCTGGACGGCACCAGATCCCACCAATGGCCACGTCAAATACCTATCAGAACGCCAGGCACGCGCCGCCGGCCTAGTCAAAGAGACGACCATGAACGGCTATCCCATCGTCCGCTTGGGCGTTGACCATACCAATATCACCCCGACGGGCCGACCCAGCGTCCGCATCGCCAGCAAGAAGTCTTACAACCAAGGCCTGGTGATTGCCGATTTCCTCCATGTCCCCAACTCGACCTGCGGCATCTGGCCTGCCTTCTGGATGGTGGGACCTTCATGGCCCACGACGGGAGAAATCGACATATACGAAGGCATCCACTTAAACTCGCACAACGGTATGGTATTACACACGGGCCCCGGTTGCACCATATCCAAACGAAGCAACTTTGCGGGGGAAATCCAAACGTCTAATTGCGACGTCAATGCTCCAGGCCAATATATCAACCAGGGCTGTCGGATTGTGTCTGATAGCCCACACTCGTATGGACACGGGCTGAATAGTATAGGCGGTGGTGTATACGCAACGCTGTGGACGGCAAACTCGATCAAAATATGGTTCTTCCCCCGCGGCGTGATTCCATGGGACATTGAGAATGGTTCCCCAAATCCCGATTCCTGGAATACAGCGCCCGCTGCGGTGTTTGAAGGGGCCTGTAGATTTGATGTGAGCTTGGTGAACTTGAAAATTGTGATCAACACCACCTTTTGTGGGGATTGGGCGGGAGGTGTATGGGCGTTTACCGATGGGTGTGCATCGCGCGGGAGGGATTGTGCCGATTATGTCACCAATAACCCTGCGGTGTTCAAGGATACTTTTTGGGCAATTAGATATATCAAAACTTTCGATAGGGGGTCCTAAAGGGGATATAACATTTCTGCTGAGATCAAGGTAGAGAGAGATAAACTTTACGTAATGGAATTTTCTTCTCACATTTAGTTATTTAATCATGCGATTAGCGTTTCGCCATCGGCGCTTTCCAATCGGTGTAGTTCAGGGCATAAACACAAGGGGAGACACAGAGGTAAATGTGGAAAAGACTGTATGTACCCTCAATCCCATTTAATCAAATCACAAAACCCGTTGATAAATTTCACATTAGGTTCATCCTGCCATTGCTTGGTAGACAGAAGTAGATGAGATGAAACATCAAAGCTTGAAGCTGCACTTACACCTCAATCCCAGATGGATTTGTGAAAACAAACGGCAAGAGGGGACAGGAAGTGAGAATGAAAAATGCGGGAATAGTAAATGAAAATTTGGGGAGAGAGAGTCTAAAACATGACAACTGGAAGGCTAAAGATAAGACCACATGGAAACGACAGGGAAAAGGAACCTACATTGCAGAAATAAAAGAAAAGAAGAACAATTTTTTCAATGTAAAACAAAACTCAGTTCTTCTCATAGCCTCAAGTTCGAAATGTGCAATGCACCAGAAGATCCAGTGTTGTAATTGTCGCCTATGTTGTTGCGGGCGTCCCCCTGGCCATTTGCAATGCCAAAAGCATTTACATTTGGTGACTGGGGCGCGGTTGGTGAATCCACCCTATGGCGTTCCTCTTCATCTGGTTCGTCATGGTAGCGGGCGTCCGTGATGAGCCTACGCGGGGTGCTATTTGCATGTGTCCCGTTCCCGTTTTCGGTACCTTCATTTGTCTCATGATAAGGTAGTCGAGTGTGGCGGGTAGATAGACCGTATTGACGGGAAGACAGGATGAACTATTCAACAATTAGTCTTTGATAAGTTTGTCTCATCGATATATGAACGCGGTAGAATCCTAGTTGATAATTTTGTGCTGCTATCCCATCCCCACATATGATGGCTGCAAACACTCACTTTCATGGCCAGGCTCAAAACTGCTGCCGTAAAAATCATAGTAGCAGCTTCTCGTTGTGTGCTGCGCCATTCAGCAAAACAACTCCGGGTATATCCAAATGTACTAGTACAATCGCGTTGATCAGAACCACCTGGAAACGGCCATCCTCGATCGCGTGTACTTCTAAAACCGCAGCACTGGAGCCGATCCTGGATGGAGCGGATAGCGTTGGCATTCTTACGGGAGTAGTATGACTGCCATTGGTTTTCAAGACGGCATCCAACGATATCTTCAGACACAAAATAAGATATTGTAAAAGTAGCCAGGGCTGTTGGGATTATTGTAAGCAGTTGCTCCACAATGACCATGAATCTGCCAATGTCAATGTGACCCAGTAATGCTGTGCCTGATCGCTGGTTCCGACTGCGAGTGGCAAGATTGGTAAACAGCGGGATGAGAATGGCCGTGGCAATTGGGAGGAATGTTGTTATTCCTGAGAGTGGAATAGGTAGCGGAAGGTAGTACTTCGAGGTACGGAACCATGCGTATCTGTTAAATGAATTGTTAGGCAGCTTGCGGGAAACGTATTAAGGTAGCTGGAGACTATTCATACGCGCTGAGAATTGTTGCTACAAGGCCGGTCTGGGGAGCAAACAGTTAGTATTCATCCCACTTTGAATGATAGATGTATATCGAGTGTATACCAAACAGCCTGAAACCACGAGTATAGCGGTTGATGACAACGTCATTTTCTCGTCTTAGGCCAACAGGACTTGGCATATGCCCGAATAAAGGTGGTTAATATGTTATGTATCAAGGATACGATCCTCCGATGTTAGTCTATATAAATGCGTGTGTGAGAAGAGTTTAACATAGCAAACCATATATCTAACCGCGCGCTAGATGGTTTGTAAGCTACCGCTCACCTACAACCTCTGGTCGGACACTCGCATATTATATATGTTCGACCTTGGTGCGGGGCTTATCCATGGATAACACTCAAAAATAAATGAGGCCTGCAGCCAAGCAGAACTGCAGATCACAGAAAGATTGCAGCCAATACATATCTTCGCACGCCCACCACTTCTCCTGTCAGCATTGGACCTCGTTAGATGTTGCTCGGTTAATCTCCGCCCTATGCTACGCTTTCCATATTATATGTGCTGGTTGCTTGCCGAGGGTGTGAGATAATCGTCTTATTTAGCAACGCAAATTCGTCTCCCTTTCTCTACAGAGGTCTGATGAGCCAAATTTTAATGGCAATAGCATTTTAGCAGAGACGAACTCGCTCCATCTACTTCACTGACATCTCTTCTGGGGAGAAAGGGAGCAGTTGAACCCGTCGTGGTTGGTTACTAGCGCTGCGAAACGATAAACGTGAGGGAAAAAGATATCGAGCAGCCGCAATTGTTGCTTCCAGACATCGAAACTGCAATATCAGTTGAGGACTTGAGTGAGAAGTTATTAGTATCTATCGACCTTGAGCTCGCAGCATCAGCAGCAGCTCCAAGGAGTAAACGCATAACAGCTGGCGGGTAGCTAAAGAGACATCCTTCTAATGTGCAAATGGTTTCATATAAAAGACTGATTCAAACATGGCTAGTACATATCTCCCGTCTTCCACCGACTAAGATTGTACCCATTTCATGCTGTGATCAGGATATTGCTGGTGGTTGTTCTCGTCCTGTCCTGTCTTGGGGTGATGTTGATGCTGGCAGTGAACCTAAAAAAAAGCAAGAAAGTTCGCTAACGGTTGTAAATAATCTCGACCCCGGAATAACATTTTCCCGGCCAAAACTCCGTTTTCGACTTCCGCTTCAACCTCCGCAACAAGACCAAGATAAATCAAAAGAAAACCCCCGTCGAGAAAAGCTATCCTCTCTACGCCGGGCACAATGGCGACTCCCAGCAGATACATGTCATCTCTGACGAGAGGCATCGTATCTGCATTCCGACCTTCCATACGACCCAGCTCTGCGGCCGTCCTCCCCTTCCTATGTCCTATACAGCAGCAGGCAAGAAATGCCCAAGTTAGAGCTAAGTCGAAAAAGAGCACTAAGGCCAAGAAGAAGTACAAGACCTATATTCAACATAATATGAAAGAGGCGATCCAATTCACACTTTGCGATGCGATGAGGTATGTCTTCTCCAGCCCAATTGATTTCCTTTGTCAAGGAAAAGTAGTCTTTGAATGAACGAGCAGACACGCTAAGTAAAATCTGCAATTGCTTTTTACATTTCTAGATGGATCCGCGCATTCGAAGTAGGAAGACCACTTTCATCTGTCAAATACGAAGTTCACGTCCGACTACGCTCGACCCGAGGTGGTGCCGTCGTCCGCAACCAGGTCCGCCTTCCACACTCCGTCCAGCCACTCGCTCGCGTATGCGTGATCTGTCCTCCAGACTCGAAGGCCGCAAAGGAAGCTGCCTCAGTGGGCGCTGATGTAATCGGCCAAGAAGAAGTTTTCGAACAAATTAAAAAGGAAAATATTAATTTCGATCTGTGTATCTGCCACACTTCGAGTCTGGCTGCCATGAACAAGGCCGGGCTGGGCCGAATTCTCGGTCCCAAGGGCCTGATGCCCAGCGCCAAGCTGGGCACCGTGGTAGATAACATTGCGAAGACAGTGCGGAACATGCGTGGAGGAACGTCCTACCGGGAAAGAATGGGTGTTGTCAGAGTGGCAATTGGACAGTTGGGCTTCTCGCCTGACCAGCTGAAGCAGAATATTGTCACTCTTATCTCGCAATTGAAGAAGGATGCTTCTATGCTAGATGAGGCGTCCAAGGACGTGTTGGAAGTGGTAGGTATATCCAAGTTCCAGCCAGATTGTGCAGAATGCTGATATTGTATAAAATAGGTTTTGAGCTCAACCAACTCGCCCGGCTTCAGTTTGAATGGGGACTTCAGAAGTCCAGATTCTCCTCCCGTCCATGCCTTAACGGGACTTTGAATCACATTACATTGTATAAATAGTTGTCTTCATTTCCAGTGTTTAAATACATGGCATTCTATGGTCTCCTTTGATAAAGAGAAATAAATAAATCCGCACATAACTCCCAAAACTCCGTGATATTGCCCAACCCTCGTTTGTCCAATCTACCAGCAAGAAATCAGGAAATCACGTATTAAATTTCCAGCTTCTTCACGGTTGTTTCTGCGTCAGTAAAGTCATCCGTTTTCTCTCCGATAAGCTGATACAGGCTCATGACAGACTGTAATTTTTGCTCCCGGTTCTTCCCATATTGTTTCGTCTGCTGTAATACAGTTTTCAAATCCAGCATCAGTGCCGCTTTTATTCGCTCCATTCTATCCTCTTGCTGGACGATAAACGGATGCTTCTCGCCCACCCTCCCACAAATCGTCCTGATATATAAATACTTGCGTATGTGTCGGTCGAGTCTAGATAGAGATACCATCGGGGCGCGACCGCTGTCACCTCCACTTACACCCATATCACCGTCATCGTCGGGCCCATCACTGTCCTCTGTTTCACTTTCGATAATCCCATCCGAGTCGTCATCGTCGCCATCGCCACCAACCCCGCCAGTAGTTTCCACCTGCCATTTCTGCTTCGCCCTCTCATCGGCGAGCATAAGCCTCTCTTCCAACTCCCCAAGACTCTCTTCAACGTCCAGCAGGTCATACCCAAGCATGACCTCTTTCCTCAACCCCTTCTTCTCTGCTAGGAGAGCAGAAATATCATCAATCCTCCTCTCATACCCATCCCGTATTCCCTTCACATCCCTCTGGAACGCTAGCAGTCCAACTCGAACTTGCTCAACCTTCTCTTCGCCGCCCTTTAGCGCGCTGCCTAGTGATAAGAAATCCTGATAGTTCTCATTGACGAGGTCGAGTAGTTCGTTGTTGAGGGATTGGCTGAGCTCGCGTAATTCAGCTTGTAGGTCGGAGAGGGTTTGGTGGCGATTGGTTAGAGAGGAGAGAAAGGTGGCTGGGTCGAAGGTTGGGGAGAGAAAAGAGGAGCGCGAGAGAGGTTTAGGGAAGGGGAGATTGGAATCTATGTGGTTGTCGTCGTCTATATCAGGGTCGGAGTCGTTTGAGTCGCCGAACTATATAGAAGTTAGTTGTGGGGCTGCGGACAGCTTGAGGGAGGAGAAGGGGACGAACGTAAAATCGCGAGGTCATTTTTTATGACCTTCTTAACTTCTCGGCTTAAATCTGCTAGAGTTGTGTTATAGCAATTGCTTCATGATTAGGGGTTGATATGCGAATGATGAATGATTATCCCGAGCATTGTATGAAGATAATCCGGAATTTGAATATCTGTGTCTTAGTCAGCATCCTCTCCCCCCCGCCTTTCCTGTTTTGTCCTCCCCAAACGTCCAACCGCTAAGAATCGCGATGACAACTCATCTTCTGCATCTCGCCAGCTTCGTGGATGTGGACAGGCGCTGGGCTGTCTGAAGCAATGCAGCTTGAATGGATCCCGGTTCATTCTCTTCTGCCAGACCAATGTAGGTCTTATCGAGCGCTTGAATCCTCGTAACCTTGGGCCCCTCTTCCCCCCCCGGCCCAAAACTTAGCCAGCTGTTCGCCAGTTCTAACCCCCCCGCAGGAACATACCTGCATGCTTTTGACGAAAATACCGCTGTACAAGTGGAGTGCTGTGGCAATATTACGGGGCCGGCCCCTATCCTCCTGTCTACTATAATAGAACTGTCCCTCCCATAAAATAGTCGCCGATATGGAGGCCAGGTCAGACAACAGCAACAAGAACAACAACTCCCAGAGACTTTGCTCGTCCCTCCCCCCGAACCCGTGGCTCAATCACCCACCCGCCAATTCTCGTGGGCGGACCCGTCTGTTCGACCCTCCCCTAACTACGACATCTCCTCTTGATGAGTCTACCCTTGCACGTCGCACTGCAGCTCTGCGCCAACTGAATGGTCTCCCGCGCGCGTTTCAGCGGAACCATAGACATACCACTTCCATCAGTAGCAGAGCATCTTTGCCTTCCCAGCCTGTGGTAGTTAGAACGTACTCTGCCGAAACTGATGCTCAGACACGGCCATCTGCTATGTCACGAGGCACAGGTATACTAGCAAACGGATCTGCTTCAGATAGGCCACCTGCCCAGCTACCATCCGTTCAGGACTTCGGCATTGACGGTATTCTAAGGGCAATTGAACCTGATATTCAAAGCACTTTGGATGCAATCGCTGAAATATGCGGAAGAAGCAAACTAAGTCTTGCAAACGAGTATGGAAGCCACCGGCCTCCCCTTGGGGAAATTCGTGCCTCGAGCAGATCAATAGATCCTGGCCTACTCCCTGTCGAGGAGGCCAGTTCGAGTAACGAAAGATTAGTTGATCAAAATGTCGTCATTCTCGGTGAGGATACGAGTACCGTCGACGGGCACAGTCGCTTCGCTTTAACATACCGCTCGTTCGTCAATCCACCCGAAGATGTTGGTCTAGCACCATATGGACCAGCTATGCCTCCTACCTGGGGTCAGGAGACATTCTCTCGACAAAATGCTATGTCAACAAGTCATCTATCATCTACTGGAGCACGGGCCCCACCTTCATCCCAGACAAAGGAAGCAAAACCTTCAAGACACAGTTTTGACTGGGCTTTGCTTGGCCGAGAGACGGAGCAGAGGCAGCAGCATCGACACAGCATGTCGACTCAGCCTGTTGTTTCTGAGGTCCACCTAGATGCCCAGGCAGATGGAACATACTTCATGGATACATCATGGGAGTCCTACCATCGGGAGACTTCTGGGCCTACTGAAGACTATTCAGTGGAATCTCCCGTGAACGAATCCCTTCTTCGAATCCGAGCTGAAAGATTATCCTTCCTGGCTGATTTGCAAGGGTGGCTGGCCTGGTTCAGAAATATAGGCCACCGTCTAGATCAAGATGGTGACTCTTCTGCTTGTCAGACTGCTGAAACGCGGCTTCGCGAGGTTCTACAGCGGCAGGGCAATTGCGTTTCCTCAGGCATTATGTCTGCTAACGTCTCTTAGAAATAAATTCCAGCCTCTTATGTTTTCCTCAGGTGCTTAAACTTCCTTTTTATAATCCAGACGTTTCCCTGCAGTATTTCTGGCCTGGCGCACTGAAGTTATTCTGTCTCATTATATACTCTCCACTGAGCCTTTATCCGCTATTCACATTTTACGTTTTGAAGGGCAACTCAATGATATCTAACGATTTACGTATACGACTTATCTGGGAGGTTCTCTTGCAAGAAGTTTATTTGAGCATTGCTATTTTTCTCATTATTTAGTGCCACTCTCCAAAATTGATAGTTAGCAGGCACATACAATACATTGAACGCAAGCTATCCACATTACAATACACATAACAACTTGGGAGTCAACCGTTTGTACAATACAAATGGATTTCATTCCCATGAAACCTATTTTTCGCCCTTTCTATCTAGCCTGTCCAAGATCTGAAAATGCATGTGGTATAGAAAATAATCATGTATACTCGCTAGAAAATGTACACCAAATGTGACCAAAAAAATAAATAAAGAATCATCCAATAAATCACCACAAATCACCCCCGCCCCTCCGCCTCTTCAATAACAGTCCTCGCAAAGCCCTCAAACAGCGGCCTAGACCAACACTTGTGGTACCTTTCCACCAACAAATCCTGAGCCTCCCCTTCCCCTTCCCCCGCCCTCACCCCCTCCACCATCTCTCCAAAACCCACATCAATCGGCACAGCCCCCAAAAACCGCACCCCCATCTCCTCCGCCATAACCTTCCCACCACCGCTAGAAAACACATTACTCACCTCCCCGCAGCACGGACACGAGTATCCGGACATATTCTCCACAACGCCAATGACCGGAATGCAGGTCTTGGCGCAGAAATTGAGCTCCTTGCGCACGTCTGCGGTCGAGATGGCTTGCGGGGTTGTGACGAGGACGGCGCCGGCGAGGAAGGGTTTCTTGTTTTGCTGCTGGTGTGTAGACGTCGTGGCGTTGCGGTTCGTGGTTGTGGGTGCGGGTGTGGTGGAAGCAAGCGTGAGCAATTGCTCTGCGAGAGCGATGTGCTCGTCGCTGGTTCCTGGTGGGGTGTCGATGAGTAGGTAGTCTATTTCCCCCCACAGCACGTCCGTGAGGAATTGGCGGATCATGGCGGTCTTTTTGGGGCCGCGCCAGATTACGGCGTCGCCGCGGTCTCGCAGGAGGAAGCCGAGGGACATGCAGTGGAGGGAGGCGCGGGGTGTGCTTTGGGGTGTGTTTGCATCTTGGTGGGATTGGGGTTGGGTATCTGTATTTGTATTGGTATTATTGGTATTGGTATCTGGTGGTGTTGTAGAATGTTGCGGCGAGGCAATAGTAGTAGTAGTAGCTGTTGTATTTGTATTTGTATCTGTACCGGTAGGTTCGCCGCTGCCCGCGGTGGAGGAGGTGGACGAGTGAGGGGGCGGAGATTTCGCAGAGACATTGGGCGAGGACGGAGCTGCGGAAGCAGGGTGTACTAAAACGGGCATCCAGCCGCCAGGCGCCTGGGTAATTTTCGCATCCTCCTTGCCGACCAGACGTGGTATGGAAGGCCCTGTCAAGTCGACGTCAAGAATGCCTACCGACCGGCCCTGGAGGGTTAGGGCTAAAGCGAGTTGGAGGGTTACGGATGATTTGCCGACGCCGCCTTTGCCGGATAAGACCTATGATTTGTAGTATGAGAAATATGTTAGTTACGGTTCTTGAAATTTGATTCAGGAGGTATGGTGCTGGAGATTTTTGTTTTGCTGTGGTTGTTTTTTGGTTTATCGATAAAGTGACAATTGAGGGGTGCGGAGCAGCGCGAGGAGGGGAAGGGAGGGAAGGGGAAGGATCTTTACCAGCACGATGTTTTTGACGCCGACCAAGGCCATTATTTGTTAGCTGTGGTTCTTTAGAGAATCCACAGTCATCGAAGAGTGCTTAGGACTGATTCCCGATTGTTGTTGGTGGTGGTGTGTCCTGGTTGTCGTCTTTATTTTTATGTATTTTACTTTATTTTTTTGGATTATCAAGCATCAGAGTGGCGTCATTTGGCAGCACATCCCCCGGCGTCCGCTCCGTGAACAGCGACTGTACTCCGTACACCAATATTACTCGCATGAAGCATGATAACTTACATCGAATGCCCCCCTATCACAAATCACAAGTATGACAAATTATTTGGTTAAGGGAAGTCATTGATTTTTCGTACTACGACCCGCAAGTCGTTTTTACTCTTTATTGATCTATCTATAATCGTTTACCCTTGCTGCCCTATTCCCGTCTCCCTGCTTCAGCAGCGGCAAACAATAAAAGAGGCGTAGAAGTCAAAAAGCGAGACATAGTTCAGCATTCCATCACATAGAAACTGTTAAATGTTCACGTCCATTTCTGTACCACAACACCTCCACGCTTGTACTCTTTGAGATCTCCTATGACCGCTTCTTTATCAGTCAACTCCGTACTGGGGAACGTCGTCATCAACACCCACGACCGTTGCTGGCTCGCAGGGTTCGCAGCGGCCACGAACGAATATATATCGCCAATCGTATTTGTGGTGTTAAATCGAGTAGTTAAACGCGTTCCATCTCCTAATCGTATTTGGAATGTAACCGTAGGCTGCGACTCATCTATTTTTGGGCCTTCCGGTCTAGTGGCCTCCTCTGCTGCTACTGTTGCTGCTGCTGCTACCATGGGCACGGGGATGGGCGAATTGGTCCCCGAACCCGGCGTTGGGCTACCAAGTCGCTGTCCGCTCCCAGAGAACGGTTTGTACTTGGGTTTTGGCTTCACGTACTTCTCACCATGTTGCTTTATTTCCACGTCAACTTCTTGGCCGGCCTGCACGTTCATTATCGACAGTGGTGCTCGCCCTTGTCGGATGCCATTCAATATCTCTGCGTTTCTAGGGTCGTCGGATCTGTAGAGCTCGCCGTCATCTACAGAGAACCCGTCTTCCCAGAAGTGAAGCGTTCGACTAACTCGGGGGGCTCGTTGAGGGCGGTTGGCACTTGGGTCTGGGATGAACTGGCTTGGTGTATCGTCGCCTCCAAGAGTACGAGCGGCGCCAGTGAAATGGGAACTTCTAGGTTTGTATTCGTCGGCCGGTCTTGGTGCCGTCCTAATAGTAAAGACATGTTAGCCACGCGACAACTGTGGGTAATTGGGTTGTGAATAGCGAGCTTCTCACCTTTTTGCCTTCTCGATAATTTTCTGCTTGAGATCATCAGGGTTCTGGACAGCCAGTCCTGATTTCTCACCTCCAGCAAACATATCTTGCCCTTCATCGGCATCATCATCACTGTGATCATGAGCTCCAGCATCGCCTGAGCCGAGATCACCAAGCGTTGCAAACTTCTTCCTCGGAGCGCTCCGCATACTGGGTTCGGAGGTGAGGGGAGGCGCCGTGCCACCAAGAGATCGACCGCCTGGAGGTTGTACTGATTCATCATAAGACTCAGGGTTATTTCGTGTGGTATCGTCCTGCTCGGGATAGTAATCCGCCATTGCCTCCTCGATGTCCCAATTATTTGTCGCTAAGTACTCTCTGGCCTGCTCGAAATATGCGAAATGAATAAGTGGAACGTGGCAGATGAAAATTACAGGCGATTCATAGAAAGGAACTTACCTCCGCAGGAGATATTCCCGTAATACCACAGAGCTGGGAGATCAAATCATCCTGTTCCGCCTGAGGAGGGGCCATGGCGCTGGAGGTTCGTAGGTGCTGCGGTTGAAAAGATCCGGCAACGGCTTCACCGCTGGCCTAGGGTATTGAAATACAACTAAGCAAAGAATGCTCTCGAAGGCGAATAGTATCTAGATACAGGACACAGAAATTGAGGAGATGAAGTCGTAGGAAGATGAAGCGAAGACAAAGCTTGCGTCAACCCGTCAAGCTCCAAAGGGAACAACAAGCAAGTGAAGGGAAGCAGCTGCTGACCTAAGCAAGACGTCACGGCTGCCTGGCCTGGTTAATTTGATATAGTAACGGAAGTAAACGACTCGGAATTGGCTTTAAATTCCTCAGGCTCGCGGTGGTTTTTGCTGTGCTGGAAAATATGTAGAAAATACGATTTGATATAAAATTGTAATCTGAGCTTAAATAAAGTAACATATAAAATTTGACCATCTTGGTAATTATTTGGAATTGGGATTCTACATGTTATAGATATTGGATATTTAGGTGACTTGACTTCTGTCCAGGTCAGGTGACTCCTGGCTGGTTCCGCTTTCGCTTCGATCATCGGCGGAGAAATCAAAGTCAACGAGATACACTGGATACCATTTACCAAATTACCATATACCATTTATGATATAGTATACACGGCACCTCTCACATTTCCAACCCAATTGCCATTGGTAGCTCTGGTTTATACGGCGCCTCTCCTACAGTTACCCAACTGTGCTCGATCGAAACCGGCTATTCCTCCCCCCTCTCTACATCCATACTCTACACAGCTCCAACAATGGCGTCTGGAGACGATTCGCACTCGCGGATAGAGCTATACGATTCCGCCTTGACCCTACCCTCCGACTCAGAAAATTATTCAGCAAACAACGAGCTATCCTCATCACCTCTGTCCTCCTCGAGTTCTCCTATAATCCTCTACAAACCGCCAACCTTCTGGGGTTTACTACGGGGCGCGGCTATCAATCTACTCCTTCCATTTGTCAATGGTCTGATGTTGGGCTTTGGTGAACTGCTGGCTCATGAGGCTGCGTTCAGGTTAGGATGGTCCGGCACCAAGGTAAGACATTTCGTGTTGATTTATTTGTATTCTTTCCCCAAATGAGCATAGGCGTGGTGAAAATGCGAATGAATGGCGACATGATATTCCGTTCGGGGTATCTACCTACATACATCAGAGTGCACACTAAGAAATCCCGATTAGATATTTCCCACGTATCGGCGATCATATCCTCTTGGGCCTGGCATTGAAGTCCGTGAGGCCCCGCGTGAAAGACGGTCATGGAATAGTTTTTGATCTGGATTCGATGACTTCGATGGAGTAATAAAGGGCCACGATACATTCCATTTGACTATAGAATGGTAGTGCATTTGTACCATCCAGAGATATTGGGATATCGTCTTCACACTTTCTCCCTCTGTTAATGGCATTTCTATTAATTGTATAGTCTCCCCCCCTGCTATATATCGGGGTTAAAAATCTGGGATTGGCGAATGGCGTCTAACGAACTTCCTAGCTGCTGCTTATTTTCAAGAACTACTACCAAAGTACTCTGTACTGTGAGCATGTACTGTGCGATTTATATCACCATTTCAACCTTGGGCGGCAGAACGAGCATGATAGAAATAATAAACCAGTGACTACTGTAGCCAAGCTCTTTTTTGCTGCTTGTAATATCCGCCCTTGGGCTCTTGTGTAAAAGCGTTGGTGTGTGTTCTGTTCATGCTCCGAAATATGGATGGTTTGCGGAGTCGGCAAACTTTCCCCGGAACGTTCGAAAAGAGACTTTCCGGAGCCTCATCAAATTTTTTGGCAGAAGCTCGACCTCACACCTCCAATACACACTCCACGGCCCAACAGCACGCCCACCACGCCCCGTTCGCATTACACGGCTCCCATATCCTTTTTATACTATGTTGGTCAAGGCAGCTGTCAGGCCGTGGGCCGCGGTACCTGGTGGGACAAGGCGAACACTGGTCTTTTCACCGCACTCCTCCCGATCAGTCAGTCTCCCTACCTCCATATATCTACTGCACATGCGTCGCAATTGCGGCAGATAAATTTTTACTAACTACCTTATTCCTTCTAGCTCTCTACAATTACAGCAAAGAAGTCGTTTCAATTACGATCGCGGACATCAACACAAAATGCTTCCGGGCTGATAAGCACATCATGGAGCCCGGGTCTTCTCCCAGCCGCTGGCGCATCGTCCTCTCGCTTCAATTCCACCGCGGCGTCACCTAGCCCAGCCGCCGAGCCCGCCGCATCTGTGGCTATCGACTCTACCGTGAATGCGCCGGTATCTAGCGGCGCTCAGGCAATTGATTCGCTTTCTGCTGCGGACCTCGTGAGCGTGGACATTTCCCAGATTCCCGAAAAGCTAGGCTACTTAAAAGCAATCGGTTTAGATTATGGCTGGGGTCCTTCGCGAGTAATAGAAACCGTCCTTGAATCGCTTCATATTTACGGCGGGCTTCCATGGTGGGGTGCTGCGATAGGGACTTCGGTGCTGCTCCGTTTGTTCGTGTTGAAATTTGCCATGGGGGCGTCCGATACCTCCGCCAAGGTAGCCAGTATCAAACACATCACTCAGCCATTCCAGGTGGAGATACAACGGTGTTACAGAGAAAACGACACTGTTGGCTTGCAACGTGTGCTACAGCAGCGGAAAATCATCAATGAATCACACGATATAAAGCTCAGGAGACTGGCTTATCCATTGGTGCAACTTCCACTCAGTTTCGGCGCCTTCCGAGTCTTGCGAGGCATGTCTGCATTGCCAGTACCGGGATTAGATTCTGAGGCCTTCCTTTGGCTCTCTAATGTCACAGTGCACGATCCATACTTTATCCTCCCCATCACAACCGGACTTATAATGCACTATACATTCAAGGTTCGTTCATGCGGCTAATTCAAACCCTTTCGTATCCTACCTCGTTGTTTTCTCTCTCTCTATATATATTCAACTATTCTAATAATCTTGAATCAGCTTGGTGGTGAAAACGCTGGCGCAAACGACCCCACCGCGATGATGGCCAAACCCATCTTGCTCTACGGCCTCCCAATTCTATCGACCGTTTGCACATCCTTCCTACCAGGAATCCTCCAGATTTTCTTCGCCACAACCTCAGTGTTAGCAATCGGCCAATCCTACGCCTTCCGCCACCCTTCCATCCGCGCCATGACCGGAATGGCGCCCTTCCCCAGCCCCGCCGTCATTGATACCACAGCCTCCGAACCCAAAGCGCGTATCCTCGAAGTCCAAACAAATTACCCCGAGCAAGCCCCGGACCAAGTCGAGACGGTGCCTAAAGTCAGCTTCATAGACCGATTCATCACCAGCTTCCAAAGGTCTGTTAGCTCCACTCGTAAGAAGATGGAAAGTTACACCGGCCAGAACGAAAAGGTCGAGACGTTTGCCGATGGGACCCCCAAGTCCCGCTTGACGAAGAAGCAGCTTGAGGACGCTATTGCTTATGAAAATAGACGGAGGGAAGAACTCTCTATTGAGCGGGAGACGCGGAATAAAGAGCGACAGATGGAGTATAGACGGAAGCTTGCAGAGAAGAAGAGGAAACAAAGAGAATTATGAGTTTGAGGAACGAGCTTATTTAGTTTTGGGCTTCTTAAAATCTCTTTTGTGCTCTTTTACAATAAACTTCCCTTCTCCCTTTGTTATTAGAGATATCTTTTGTATTTCTTCAAAACTGTACATGTATACTTTACCTCTTGAAATGGCGCGGGAGTCTTCATCTTATTTTATTTTATTTCCCTTCTCTCTTCCCCTATCATCTGCTCAGCTTTGGTTTTTCCCCTTCCTTTCATATCTTCCTCCTCATTGTATTCTCCTCATTGTATCTCTGCTATTTTTCACCCCTTCAAATTCCCCTCACGTTTATCGTCCCCTCTCATGCCTCCATCTGTCCCTTTAGCATAGACTTGTTTACTATATTCCTATACTTGTCAACGCGGGTAAATGTTACCCCTGTTTCGACTACCCCTGCACATGTATGTATGTATCAATTCAGCGGGATTGCATTGAGGAAAAAGAAAAAGAAAAAAGAAAAGCCAAGAAAATAGAAAATAAAGATAAATAAATAAAGTGTAACGAGGAAATGGGAATACTCTTTCCGGCTGTCTCGTCCTGTCTCGTACCTACTCAGCAAGCATGGTCAAGAAAAGGAGAACTAACCAAGGATGAAATGAACTTCCCCTCACTCCCCTAGAAGAATTTGCTTTCCCGGCCGACTCTGCTTCTAGGAATAAAGGATATGCGATTAACCCCTTTATCCCTTTAGACACTACTCCTCAGGATGGAATGGAACAGCTCCAGATATTAAAACAAATATATCCCCTGTTACTATAATCAATCACCCAAGCAGCACGATGTAATAGTTCAGAGCATACTGCGCAGAGTATCCTCAAAAAAAAAAAAAAAAAAAAAAAAAAAAAAAAAAAAAAAAAATATATATATATATATATATATATATATATAAAAGGAATCTTTCGACCTATCATGTCATCCCTAAAATATGATGCCATTGGCAAAAATTAGTTTAAAATAAAGCAGTCCGGTTTGTTCCATCTAATATACTCCGATATTGCTATGCCATTTTACGTTCAAAACCAATAGATACGACCAGACCTGACCAGACCAAACCAAAACCCAAAAACCGCAAAAAGCCCGCAGTTAAGCTCCTCCCCAGATAAAAAAAGGCATCCAGCGGTTCAGTTTAATACACGACCAGCATTAAAAATATAAAAAAAGTAGGGATCCATCGATACGAATCCATCACGAAGAAGGGGCGGAAGTGTTAAAAAAGATACCCCCCCTTCCCAACTCATCGAAACAATCTCCTCCCCCCCACCCCTCGAACACCGCAAGTAAACGAACCCTTAATCCCCGTACTACCCATACTCAACGCGCCAAACCCAACACCACCCCCTTCGGCATCCAGCTTATACCGTCTAAGAGCCTCGCGCAGGTGTGCGGGGAGGAGTTGGCCGCGGTGCGGATTTGGGGGGGGTTCGAAGGGGGGTCTTTGCTTTTTCGGCTTGGGGGGTGGTGGTCGTGATTCGGGCGATGTGGAGGAAGAGTTGGGGATTGTGGACGTGAAGGATTGCGAGCCTGGTGGGGTGTGGAGGGAGGTTGGATCTGTGCGTGGTTGAGTGTGCGGTTGTGGCTGTATTGAAGGAGGGGGGACAACGGCGGTGGTGGGTTGAGGAACAGTGGGGTCAGTCGTCTTGACGCCGTTGGCGGAAGATGGTTCTGCTTTCACGGCAGTCATTCCATTCTCTTTCGGTTCCGGTTCCGTTTTAACCATAGAAGGTGCGCCTGATTCAGTCATACTGCTGCTCGATTCGAAAGTCTGCGGCGGTGCCTGGGTATCTGAGACCGGGTTCGTCGGAGCTGTGGGATTATTCGGCTGCGTAGGCTGTATAGACTCCGTAGATTCAGCAGCAGCAGCTTCAGCAGCAGCAGCTTCCTCCTCCGCCTCTTCCTTGGCCAACGCAGCTTGATATTCCGCATACGCAGCTCTATCCGCCGCGTCCGCCCACTCTTCCTGCACCGTCCGCGCCTTCTCCACCAACTCTCCAACAAACACTTTCGTGTAGCCGCTAATAGTCGTAATGACATTCGGGGGTACGGACTGCGACAGCGTCTGATTCACAATCTTGCGTACCATGGGTTTATTCAGCTTAGCGCGCTTGAAGAAGTCGTACCGCGACGACTGAGCGGGCGTAAATGCGTCGATAAGAATCCTGTTACGGTATTGTTTTCACCAGGTTAGCTTCTGTACGAAAATATCGGACGTATCAAGGACACATCCCATAAATCAAGGCATTAAAAAAAAAAAAAAAAAAAAAAAAAAAACGGGACAAAGTAAAGAAAAACCAAAAACTCACGCAAGATTCTTCCTCTCAGCCTCCGCCTCCCTAGCCGCCCCATCCCCATCTCCATCCCCATCCCCCCCTCCATCCTCCCCCTCCTCCAAATCCCCCTCATCCCCCTCATCCCCCTCCTCTCCCTCCTCCTCCCCCTCGCCTAACTCCCCAAGCCCACCCCCATCAACAACCGTCCCCCTCAAACTCCCCGACCCCGACCCCTCCCTCTCCCTCTCCCTCTCCCCCTCCCCCCCTTTCCTCCCACCAACCCCACTCCCCTTCCTCCTCTTCCGCCCCTGCCCCTGCCCCAGCCCCTGGCCCCTCCCATCCACACTCCCGCCCCCAAACGACCCCGTAAAGCTCCCCGTCGCGCTCGCGCCATCCGCCTCAGATTTCGCGCTCGTGGCGCTGGCGCTGTAGACGCGCGGGTCCGTGTCCTGCGAGGCGGGGAAGGAGGTTTGGCTGAGCGGGTGCACGCGTTGGCGTTTGTGGGAGAGGGCGCTGGCGCTGGCGCTGGTGCTGATGCTGGGCCGCTTTTTGGGCGGTTGGTTGGGGAGGGAGAGGGGCGCGGGTGCCGGCGCGGGCGCGGGCGCGGGCGGTGGGGAGGTTGACATTTCTTTTTTTTTTTTTTTTTTTTTTTGTTTTTTTCTTTTTTCTTTGGCGGGTTTGGGGGTGTCTCTCTCCCTCTCTCTCTCTGTGTGTGTGTATGTGTGTGTGTGTGTGTGTGTGTGTGTGTATGTGAGAAGTTGTAGCGTAATGAACCGCGGCTCTCTCTGACCTCCGACCGGGTGAGGTCAAAGGTGAAATGACGCGCTTGCTCGGTTGGGTAAAGCTACGGGTTGAAAGGAGGGCCCGGTTGCAGCGATAGTTATGTGATGGTTCTGCGCAGTTTCATTAGATGGAAAGGTGAGCGAGGACGTATTAGGTGATATGTGTCTCTGCTTCAATGAATTGCTCCTGAGAAAGCCGGCGTCGGAATAATCATGTGACCTGGATTCTCCGCCGCCGTCGAATATTAGAATACTTCGCTATATATATATAAAAGAGAATTTCATTTCTGAAATCTATTTGTATTTTCAATCTGATGTTTAGATCATAAATTTTATTTCAATAAAGATTTCATATAGAAACAGTAAACAATCAAAGTTGAAGAGATAGAATATATCATTAACTACTTCAATTTTGAATTTTAGAAAGAGTAAAGGAAAAGAAAGAAGAAAGAGGTAATCAAACAGTGATTTTTTTTTTTTTTTTTTTTTTTTTTGAGCAAGAAAACTAGTAAATAAATAAAATAACATAAATCATCATTAAGAGGAGAATCATTAGAATGAGCAAGCAAGTAGATAAGTTAGCGCAAAAGCCGAAAAGAAAAAATAAAATAAAATAAACGAGCAAAAACCGAAAAGAGAAGAAAAAAAATTCATTCCACTTCACAGCCACGAACTGAGAACTCTCAACTGCAAAACACCCCATCCACGCCTTCCCTCCCTTAAAACACATGCTCCCCAATCCGCGGCGCCCCGCCCCTCCAGTCATTCCGCTCATAGTAGCGGAAGACAAGATCGTACCCATCCAAGTCATGCACGATGCGATCAACACGGCGATACCCCGGGATCCGCTCCATCTTCTCATTACGCACGGCCGCATTGGTATCGCGTTTCACCTGGCGCTGGTGGTCTTGCTGGTCCTTCTGGTGGTGTTCTCCATTCACGGTCCCGTTACTGGTGATGCCGGTGGTGGCATCTGGTTTCTTCTTAGCTTCAAATAGCGTCACGCTAAAACGGCCCGGTTTGAAAATATCCACGACATGCTCGACGATTTCGGACGTCTCGCGGCCGCTTTGGAGTTGCGGGACGTTGGTTTCGAAGGAGGCGTAGGAGCAGTGGGGTTCGGGTGTAACATGGACGGTGAAGTAATGTGAGCCGGTGCTGGGCTTGGATGTAGCTTCGTTTGCATCTGTAGTAGGGGCAGGGGCCGGGACGACGCCATTGGCGGAGAATCCGCATGGGGTGAAGAGGTATGCGTCGACGCGGGCGCCGGGATACTTGCTTGTCGGGTAGATGTCAGTGAGACCGCATGATTCTGCCACGACGGTGCCGAGGCCGTGGCCTTCCGTGGTGAGTTCGGGGGGCAGCGATTGTTGATCCATCTCTGAGCCCAGGTCGTCGCTTGAGTCTGAGGTGTTGCTGAAGACGTCTAGGTGTTCGTCGTTGTTATTGTTGTCCTTTGCTTGTTGGAGATGCTTGTTCCGATGATGGCCTTCGGTTGCGACCGCACTCGCATGGTCGAGGTAGAATTGTTTTGCATTCTCCTCGTCCAGGTCAGTCATCAGTATCTCGAGAGTCTCGTCCTCCTCGTCCTCTTCCTCCTTAGCCGAGTTGGCAGTAGTAGTAGTAGTAGTGTCTGCTGTCTTGGGATCCCCAGGGAAATCGAGGACCTTCACCGGCGGATCATTGCTTGGTGTGGACGGTGGGGTCAACACAGTATACGGCTCGGTCAGGTAGAGATACCAATGCTCTCCATTCATTTTGCCAATCATGTATGCGCTACCTCCAAGGAATAGCTGGTCCATCGCCTTGACCTCATCACGCCAGCTACGATGGGGACCGCGCTGGCGATCAGGGAACAAGAAGTTTTTTCTGCTATAGAAGACGCGGTACGGAGCAGCCGCAGTTTTGATCCCACGACCAGCTGGGGCGGTATTCTTGGGGAAACCGGCGTATACGGCAGCAATCTCGAGGATGCGAGGCAATCCAGAGAGCAGGGTAGTGGTCCCACAGGTCTTGAGAATGAGCTTATGGGGGAACACAAACATGCTGGATTCCGAGAGAAGGTAAGCGTCGACATCGTCGGATTCGATGATTGACAAGACTTTGCAGCTGACAAGGTCAAGCATGTCCTTCCATACCTCCACCGGAACAACTTTGAGGCCTGTAGGCTCTGTCGATCCGAGGAGGTCCTGGGGAGACGGACCAAACCATACCTCTAAAAGCTTTTCGGGCCCTGCGATGATTATGAAAGTCAGCATATCAAGGTAACAAAACAATTTAGGCGCAACGAACCTTCAAAGGCAGTGCTCGAATCAAGATCCAAGGTAGCCTCATGATTAATTGTCAAGGACGACGTCCCCATGAATGAAGATGGTGATGCCGTGTAATTCTTCAGGATCTCGATGTTCACCATATCCCAAGCCGCGAAACGGAATCCAGGTATAAATTTTAACAGGGAGAAAGAAAGAGAGCAAAAAAAAAAAATAGTTGGAGGAAGGTTACTCCCTTTCCGCTTCGTGCAAAAGACCCTTGGACGCGAGCGAAAGACCTCTTTTGGTTATTGAAGCACAATCTTCCACCCAGACGAACAATGCGGTGTCCGCCTGAGATAGAGGAAGGCCCGAATTTGGTGTGGAGGCCTACGACAGCTGGCAACCTATGCCAGCAAGATGTAAAAACCGATGTGTAGCGGTACCTGCCCCGAGAGAGGCGTTATGGGGGTCTGGCGGAGAGGGGGATGAAGAAAGCTCTGGGATGGGGAATTGTGGCTAGTCCGATGCGTGAACCCCCGCACTGGCAAGATACCGATACCTGTAAAAGTATCGGGTCCAGCAGACGAGGAGATCTGCCTTTATATAAACAGACAAAATGGAAGTGTTATGTTGGGATTTGGTATTCCCGTGCGGGTTTGCGAAAGGCTCGTTATCGTGGTCTAGTTTTTTTTACAAAAAAAAAATAAAAAATAAAATATCGAGATGTCAGTTGAGTTTGGGCGGAAGCGGGAGCAATGAATTTGGGGCAGTTGATTATGTATTTCTAATTTCGAGACAAATGACCGGGAGGTGGTGTAACATGGCCGAGGTGGCGACTCTTTCTGATAGGTATAGGGAATAATAGACAGGAGGGGGGAATATACAACCTACTTTGCGGGCTTGGAGAGAAATCGCAGGAGATCCTTACGGCTCATGGAGCGAATGTGGTGTTTCTCTTCAGCGAGTCAAAATGAGGCAGCTCATCTGCACACCTTAAATCATCGACAACTGCTTTTAAAACAGCTCTATTCCTCGCGGGATAGAATGTGAATGGCGTCCTATCTCAAGCAGAGGAGAACGGGGAGGCGAATAAACCAAGTCGCCAGTCGACCAGTCGATCAAGCGCTGCTGCACTTGCACTTGTAGTTCAACAGGGAGGTTTCAAATAAAAGCACACAGGATTGTGTAGAGAAAAAGAATAGCAGAAGCTGGACGAAGTGACTGGGGGGGGGGAATTGGGGTGAAGGGTTGGTGTAAGAAGAAGAAGAAGAAATGTTGTTGTGTGTTTGTATGACAGACAGACAGCAGGCGGTGGGGGGGAGTTTTTTTTGTGAGTGAAGATGATGATGAGGAAACAACAACAGAGTTTGTGTTAATTAATTAATTATTAGTTAGTGGGAAGTTACTTTAATATAAGCCACACACACAACACACAATTCAACAGCAGCCAGTTCAGCAAGAACAATTATTAATACATAACTACAAGAGGGAGTTGATGAAAGGGAAGAAGAAGGGAAAAAAAGATGCAACAGTCACAGGTTGTGGCCGAAGTCTTCTTCTTCTTCTTCTTCCTTTACTCTCCTTATTTTTCAGTCGCTGCACGCCACCAAGCTGTTTTCGGGCAAATTTATTTATTTATTTATCTATTTATCTATTTATATAGTTAAACTATTTTACTATAACTAGTTACGGAGCAGGCTCTAAATTTGAACTCTCCCGTAACCCTCTTTTCAAATAACTAGTCAACAAACCCCGCCCCACTCACTCTCTGCTCTCAAAATTTAGTATTTTTTTGCCCAAATATCAAGTCTTTCAAGGGTTGTTGAATAATACATAATGATAACTAAATAATTATGATGATGATGATTTGTGTGTTGCGTCCAGGCCTTGCTCATCATCACAGCCAGCCAGCCAGCCAGACAGACGCCAGCCCCCTGCAGGATTAAATCTTGCAGTACATTATATGTATGTATGGATATACCTAACACCTACCTACAGGGGGGTTACGCTGCGTAGGTTAGGTGTAACGGAGATGTCCTCTCGTACGAATGTGGTCTCGTCTGGGGTGGTGTTGATTTCCTCATATTGAGATTGGTTTCTTTCTTGCTGCAAAGCTGCAGGGGATTAATGAATGTGTAGCTGCATCGTATGTATACATATTGATCCATTTATTTGATCGAAAAGTTTTAAAATAAATGTGTAGTATCCGGAGCAGGTATTTATTTAATAGACACAGAAAAAAATGCACACTGCCTGGGTAGGTAGCAAGCAAGTGCCTTTTCAAACCCCGTCCTCCCCCCCCGGTTCAACGAAACGCCGTTTCATCCAAAACGAAAAGGAAAAAGAAAATAAAACTCCGTCAAAACTCCAGTCCCCAAATAAATGCGGTTCCTTTTTCCGCCATGGGGAAAACCCCTAGCCAGCCAGCCAGTCTCGCGCGCAGGCCGAATAGCTTCCGTCCCAGGAGAGGAGACCCTCCCTCCAGGAACACAAAAAATCAGCAAGGGCAAGGGGAGAAAAAAAAAAAAAAAAAAAAAAAAAAAAAAAAAAAAAGAGTAAAAACACAAATCGCATCATCATCAAATATCATCTCCCCACAATCGCATTCGCCAATCCCACCTGCCCACCGTCCAGTATCCTCCCCGCGATAACCTCCCCAACCTTTTCAGCAAGCCTCCCGCGCACTTCCTCCCCCTTCCCCTCGCACACCTCCTCCAAAACCCCATTCGTCAGCATCGCCGCCATCCCCCGCGGCTTCTCGTCATCCGCCAACGTCCCCAACACCGCCAATATAACACCAATAACCTTCTCAGCCTCCAACTTCCGCACCCCTTCTTCTGGTCCCCCCGACCCCGCTCCCGCTCCCGCTCCCGTCCCTGTCGTCGTTGCCGTCGTTGCCGTCGTCGCCATCGTGGAAGAAATCGCATCCTTCAGCACAACCTCATACGTCCTCAAATTCGGCACGATGAGTTCGCGCACCACGTCCACCCCGCCGATGGACTGCAGGCCGATGATGGCGCCGTAATGCGTGCCCAGCGGCTTGCCGGGATCCAGGAAGTTTTTCAAAAAGGTGCGCGCCAGCCGCGGGCGCAGCGTGTGTGAGGAGTGCGAGTATTTGCGCGCTATCATGCTTATGAGCGAGGCGGCGAGGTCGCGGAGGACGAAGTGTTCGAGGGGGTCGGTGGGGGTGGGGGTGGGGGTGGGGGTGGGGGTGGGTCCGGCGCCGGTGGAGAGAGTTGTGGAGCCTAGTTGGCGGCCGATGAGGCAGGTTAGGACTGGGGGGATGAGGGAGGGGACCTAGATATACACATGGACATATGGCTTGTTAGATTTTTGTGTTCTTTGGGCAGAAAATATAGGGAGGGATTGGTTGGGTTTGTTTGTTGTAGACCTGGTAAACTTACGTATGGATCTACGTAGAGCGTTGTATTCTGAATCAGCGCCTCGGTCATATGCATAACTTGGGTCAGGACGAATAGATCCTTAAGGCTATGCGTGACTTTCTCGGAGATGAACTGGACGAAATACGGCACGAGCTGATGCAGGCCCGGATCCTCTTTCAGACTCGAAAACGCAGAGAGGCGGTACTCCTCGTTCAACTCGTCTAGAAATGCAGTGCACACTTTCTCGAAGTAGAGTTGTAGTTCTTTGGAGAGGATGTGCTTGACTAGCGGCTTGACGGAGACGTTGTCGTTTCCGCTCATCGCAGCCAAATTGGCATTCGCATTGGGACCCTTGGAAACTAACTCGATATTCCGCGAGTCGGCCCCTGTGGGGTTCTGTGGTATTGTAGGTTGCACGCCCTCGACGGCCAACCAATGCGCTTTAATCAAGCGACAAAATATGAAATCAGCTACCCAAACGGTCGACAAAAAAGGACACGACAAACACTTCTCAACCAAAGGAGAGAGAGAGAGGGAAAAAAAAAAAAAAAGAAAAAAAATACACACCCGTAAACGTAATCTCCCTCGGCACCCTGGGCAAGGGCGCATTAATCAACTTCTCAAAATCCACCTCGTCATCCTCCACGTAAAAAAGCGGCTGCCCGGGGCCCAGCGTCGCCTCGCCAAACCGCAACGGCCTCGTCGACTCATATCCATACAGCGGCTCCACATCCAGCACGCGCAGGGCATGCGAGACATCCTGCGTCGTCAGCAGCGTGCGTTTCGCATGCCGCATGAACTTCAGCGCCTCCTCGAGCACCTGCGAGATGCGGTATTCGACATCGCGCGCGAGGTTCTCGACAACTTCGTCGTTGAGCGCGCCGATGCCGACGGATTCCGCGACGTCGCGGATGTTTTCTGGGTTCCACACGGACATCATATATAGATATATTCGTTTTCCTTTTCTTTTTTTTCCCCCTCTGTTCGTTTGGGAGGTTATTCTGCTACGCGTGTGTCGGAATATAAAATTGGGAGCGAGAAGGGTGCGGTGGTTTGCCCGGGGGGGGGCGAGGAGCGGGGTTCGATTTGACAGCAGGAATATGAAGATCGTCGTATTCCAGCCAGCCAGAACAGTTTACCCCCCTTCTTGAATCAACGCTCGAATCTAGAATGCGACGGAGGTCGTGGGCGGTATGGGTGTATACGGCGGTAGGTGAGTAAGACGTACCTCCTAACGGACGCGCATCCTGAGACTGGCCACTCTCCGCAGTGAGTGAGTGAGTGAGTGGTTCCGTCGGGTGAAACAAGGTTGATCGGCTATTGAACAGTCCAATACCAGCCCGCAGTACGAAAGCTAGCTGTATGGAGGGACTTTGACACGCCTGGTTAGCGAAGTAAAAGGTATTGTCCAGCGCTGAACTGCGGAAGTCTGACTGCACCTGTGGTCAGAATAGCCCGCCGGACCAGCATTGTACTGTAACGAAGCTCCTAGCGCCGCTTTACGCAGTACAGCATCCATGCACTCTTTACTCTCTTTTACAAAGCTTTCACCAACAGCAAATATAAACTAAGAAATAAATACTATCACAAAGAAGTATAGACACTGGGATTTGTTTTTGAGTTAAAATGAAATCTGATAAATAAGAGTTCCGCCGGCTACAAAGGGAAAACAACAACTGTTTGAATGGTATCATGGATGGTAGGGAAAAAAAAGCGGTAAGTAAGGAGACACAGCACGCGGAGATCTCTTGTCCTCCTCTGGCCTAATCATAGAGTGGAGAATAGCAAGCACCTCGGTATCAAGAAAAAGACCCAACACTATCGAACTACTTGAAAAACGATCCACACCAACTTTTTGCTTTGGAAAAAGACACAAGTATCTCCGGCAAATCCTTCCACGCAGGGCACAGGCAAACAGTATTCTGCAGCGGTTTGCAAAACAACTTGTCAAACACAGCATAAACCCAGAGGTAATGTATTATTATTTGCCTGTGCATAACCTTGCGCGGTGTAGGTTAGCACAAACCGGAGGCCAGATCGAACGGGGAGTTGGGAAGTATTAGAAGTGCTCTCACACACATGTTGTGACCAAGTAACAAAATAAAATAAATTACAAAACAAAGTTTAACAGAGCAAGCGGGTAAAACGGTTTGAGGGATCGCCAGGATCACTTGGCCGCTGCAGTAGGAGCTTCGTCCGTTGACGGAGCCGCAGCTTTCTCAGGCTCAGATGCGGAAACTGGGGCAGCAGCTTCAGCTGGAGCTTCGGCGGGCTTGGCATCATTCGCAGGGGTCTCAGCTGCCTCTTTAGCAGAACCGTTGGTTTCAGTAAGAGTGGCTTTCCCTTGGGCAGCAGGTGCGGATTCTGGTGCAGGAGAAGGTTCAGGGGTGTCCTCCTTCAGGGTGACAGTTTGAGCGCTCTCTTGCAGCTCACCACCCTTGCCGCCGTACGACTTGGGAAGCTCGTCAGCAAATGCGAACTCGCGAGCAAGATTCGCACCATTAGTGATTGGGTGGAACTTCCGGATGGTGTTCTTGCTCAGGAACACCTTCAACGCAGTGAACACCCAACCCATGAGAGCGGGCACATTGACGAAAAACTTTTCTTTCAGAAGTTCCGGGTACGCTGTGCTGAACACGTCGATAGTATGTTTGGTAGCACTTTTAATCGAAGGGTTCAATCGGAGGAAGCTGACGTTCTGATAATCATGCACCTGGATCATCTGGTAGGGGTCCTCGCCAGAGTAATCGATCACGGATTTGGCCTCGCTGAGCTTCAAATCTTTAACAGCCATTTCCATCAATGCAACTCTCCACTTGATGAATCTAAAAGTCGGCGACAGTTAGCAATTGGAGCCAAAATGGGGACGGAGCTGATAAAACCCACTCGTCAATATCGCCAAAAGTGCGGTTAACATCTTTGACGGATCCGTAAATGTTCCAGGTGAAAACGACATTTCCTTGATTTTGGTCCTTGTAATTCGCAACATAGCCAAGCCCCTGAAACTTGGCTGAGCTATAGGAGGTGTTTTCAACCAGCGCCAAGGGGTTCATTTTCTTGCGCCATTCCAGAGCTTTAGTGAGCTGCTCCTCGGCCAGTTTGACGTTACCCTCATTTGCACGGAGGAACTTGATCAAAACATTGACGGTTGGTATGTCATCGGAATCCTTGAGGGTGACGCCCCACATCTCGTTGTAGGCAGCCTTTTTGAGAATGGATGCGAGCTTTTCGAAAAGCTCGCTGAGGGCCGGGTTCTTGGACAAGTACTCAGGCCGCGTGTCAACAGGGACTTCGGGAGGCTTGTCTTCGGAGACGGGCTCGCTCTTCTTTTGGTCGCTTTGCTGTACTTCAATGGCATCCACATCGGGCTGCTGGGCGGGGGAGGCAATTGGGTCCTTAGTTGGAGCGGCTACTGGAGCATCAGTCGTAGCAGCAGCGGAGGGCGCATCGGTAGTGGGATTTTCTGTTTGTTTATCCTTTTCATCCTGAGAAGCCTTGTTGCTGTTGTCAGTCGCAGATTGTTGTTGGTCCTGTGTATTCTCGGGGGGCTTCTGGGCGACGGGGGTATCCGCAGCATCCGCAGCAGCTGCAACGGGCTGGGCTGCTTTCTCAGTTTCCGACATTATTGCCAGAGGAAATGCGATTAAGCTATATATATGTGTGTGAGAGAGTGTACGAGGTCCCTGGTGAGGAGAGGTCAGTCCACGCGTACGAGACGTTGAACGTAGCATTGGCTGGAACAACCAAACGTGAGACAGGGCGGAATAGCTGGGACCGTACCGTACCAGAAGCAATGCTCTTTGTGAAAGAGAGATTCGCTCGCAGTTTGCGATAGCAGATAGAGATTGTTGAGAGGAATGAGAAGCAGTTGAGCAGTTGAGCAGTGGAGGAGGTTGAAGGTGAAGGTGAAGGTGAAACGGCGGGAGATAAATTCAGGAGCAGCTGCGGCTTCTGTTTTGGGCTGTTTGGCAGTGTTTGGCTGCTTCCACCCGGCGCCTGCCTCGTTCGGGTTGCGCGACAGGGGGTAGGGTAGGGTAGCTTCCCGATAGGGACATCAGTCCCAAAGTGGGCTAGCGTCAATTGGCTGCCGAACTGGGAAGTCTCGACTGTGGAAACTACCCGCGCGCTTACAACGGCTGCGATTAGCTCGCCAGGAACAAGGAACAGCCGCAGGGGAATTCCAAAGATGTATCAACGGAGGATATTTCAATCTCTTGAATAAAACGTATAACTTGCTCTACCTACCTGAAACAAAATGTTTTAGTGGCTGGCTGCTAGATGTCATATATAGCAGAGAGAGAGGAACAATCAACTCCCCTAGTTCTCTCCCCTTGAGCCCATCCAACCTCTTCCATGGGTGAGTTGCACTATCCACTAACGCTGCTCTGATCTTGGGGAGATGATAGGTCCATGGAACTACTTCCTCCCAGATGCGAGGTCTCATCAAAGCTCCTCAAATAGCGTAGAAAAGCCCGTTCTTTTTGGTATATTTGCTTGGATAGTATGTCCAAGTGCTTCTATTTCATGAGGCCATTGGCCCCTCCTTTTCCGACCAGCTTCATCTGGCTGGCGAACAGGTGAATGGATCTTGTTTTGATATTTGGTGGCTATGGCAATTCATAGTCAGTTCCACGCTGTTTGTGAAGCAAATAGTTGCCTGTCTTCCTGTCTTCTCTCTCCTTCTTTCCCTATATATTTGCGATGTGGTACTTGCTCCATTGTAATGTACCGTGCGGCTCTTTCGTCCCGTCGCCGCCTTCTCAATATCTGCCAAACGCCCCTTTGCATCATCATCGTCATCGTCATCATCAGCATCAGCACCAGCATCAGCATCATCGTCATCATCATATCAATACTCATCAGTCTTTCGTTTGAAGCAAAAAGAAAATCTTCATCTCTGGCTACTGCCGAACGGAGTGCATCTCCATTGTAATGCTCTCAACATCGCTCCCCCCTTGTCTTTTTCCGGTTATCGAACACCACGTCCCGCCCAAAATTGGACATGGTTTCTTCAAAGCAGGGGCCGATGTACGAAATATCGAGTACTCGAGAACTGTCGCATTTTGCACTGAGAACTCAATATCACTGCTTACATTCTACAAGGCAGTATGGGCCTTGATACTAAAACATTTTGCCAATACTGACCATGTCTTCTTCGGAGTGACAGAGGCCAGCCGTAGCAGGTGTAGGATACCGCCTGCTTCTCTAGGCACGGTTCAAGCATACGCACAAACCCAGTCATGGTGTCATGTCCATCTTTCTGAGACGAACACTATCCTTGAAATCCTCCAACGGATAGAATCAGACACGCGGCGCGGATGCCCTAGTGAAGGGTTGAAGCTAACATCTGCGAGTTTCAACACTGAGATACATTTGCTACAAGGAGATATCTCTGAGTATATGAACAAAGACGATCGATATCTGGTATGAAGGGTTGATATAATTATGGCTTTGGTTCTTGCTGACCGGTTAAATGACGTATAGTGTCCTCATATGATTGATATCCAACTATGTATCTCGCCAGATCGATTCGTTTGCCGGTGTCGGGCTTCGTCGATGACGGGAACAGCTGCTCAAAGCTTATGCGAAACATTCAAGAAAACCGCTGCAAATGTATTGGCCAACCCACGACAAACCGTTCCAAGTTTGGATATGCTTTGTAATTATGACAGATCCCGAATCGAACGCTGGAACAGAATAGATCCGTGGAATCACACCATAAAAGCATGCATTCACGACCTGATACATATCCAGGTATCCTCTCAACCCGAGAGCCTTGCTGCTGATGGCTGGGATGGGTCCATGACCTTCCGCGAACTATGGGATCAATCCTCACGATTATCCTATTACCTTCACGATCTTGGAGTCAAACAAGGGATAATGGTGCTTTTCAGCATGGCGCTATCCAAATGGACCATTATTGCTATGCTGGCTATTCTTCGCACTGGTGCTACTTGCGTACCAATCGATCTTCTGGACCCATCACATTATATTCAGTCTATAGAAGCAAAACTCGTCTTTGCTGACCCGTCCCAGCTGGAGCAGCTTTATGGCGAAGTCAAGTATATAATCACCGAGTTACCGAATTTCATTAACCTACTCGGACCAGCGCCTGATATTTACGAACCACAAGTCTCCCCTCAAGACCCGGCCTTTATCACGTTCACATCTGGCATCACATCCGCACCAAAACCAGTAATCCTATGCCATGAAGCCATATGTACCAACATTCTCCACCTTGCAGAAACCTTGGAAATTAATGACAAATCGCGGGTTTTTCATTGTTCATCGCTTACCTCCAATATGAGCATTTTTGACATTTTCGGCACCATCGCCAAAGGTGGATGCGTATGCTATGCCACAGAATATGGCAGGGCCAAAAATCTATCACGCGCTATTTGTACTTCCCAGGCCACTCACGCCTTCCTTACCCCTACCCTCTTACGCGAACTTACTCCAGATAGCGTACGCAACCTGCAAGCCATATCGGTCATCAGCGACGGCCTCACGATAAACGACGTACTGAAGTGGAAGGACCACGTCAGTTTATTCCATCTCTACGGCAATACAGAATGCACAATCTGCTGCACCGCCACGGACGCACGCCACCAGGAACGATTAAGATACCACGGCCGGCTCAACATCGGCCGCGCGATCGGTTGCAGGACATGGATTGCACAGCCAGGCAATGCTCATCGCAGACTTGTCCCTATTGGGGGAGTTGGTGAGCTGTTGATCGAAGGGTCGACCTTAGCTCGTGGTTACTATGTATTAGAAACGGGAGAGGAGGGGGACGGTGGGGAGATGGTGATGCGTGCAGAACCCTTTATCTTTGACCCTGAATGGCTTGCGAAGTTTCCAAGTATACGCGCGTCGGGGAGGAGAGTTCGGATGTATAGGACGGGAGATCTGGTGAGGTATGAGTGCGATGGGTCCATCAAGTTCGTGGGACGGATGGGAGATGTAAAGTAACCTTACTGTTCATCGTCTGGGGCAAGGCCCTTGGGGAGTGGCCAAGGGAGGTATGGATCTTTTAGACGGATAGGATTAGACGTCTTTATTCAATATGAGAAAGGTCGATTGTTTCATATATGAGGACTATAGCGTTTTGAAGGGTAGAAGCAGTAGAAGAAGGAGAGAAGATGAGTAGCTTGATAGAGAGGTGAGTGATGTGCAGCTTTGTTTTGAGTAAGTGAAAATTACCCATACGGCATTGATTGAATATGTTATAGTAGGCTATATCTCGCCATTCTAATGACATGATTTAATTTTTGTTAAGGAGCATATATATATATATATATATACAGACACTTATACACACATAGATAGATAGATAGATATGCACAGTGCAAAAGTTGAGAGGGATTAAGTCAGGGGGTATTGTAGGTAGATGAAAAGCAGGAGAGACACGACAGAAAGAAAGCTGCCAATTCCCTACTTTGCAAGCTATATATATATATAATATGAAATCGAACAAACAACAAGAGTTAAGTACTGGGCCTATATGCACATCTGACATACGTGAGTACAAGTACCGCACATAGACCCGGAGCATACAGGAGTCTCAATGAAACGATAACGCGGGAGTTTCTAGGTTGGAGATATAAAATAGTTAATGGCTAAATAAATTAAAACTATAGAAGAAAGAGGACAACAAAGTGAGAAAGCACCAGCCCTTCACCTCACCCAGCTTGCTTTGGACATGGTTTATTTTTTTCAATGTACATGTACAATACATACACGAGTCGTCAGCCGTCTTCATCATCACTACACTTTATCAAAGTTGGACAATGGGAATCGGAGGACGGAAGCGGGAAAGAAGCATGAAAATCATTCAGGGGTAGTGGTGGTAGGTAAGACATGAAATGTGGACTCTAACCGGGCAGAGCAGACTGCAGATGGAGATGGGAAAAATTGGGCAGAGACAGACAAGAGCCAGAGCCAGGCATGTATGTATGTAGGCAGAGGTGTATATTAGAGCTCCAGTCTATCGTAACAATTTTCGCATTGAGGAAGAAGGGGAGTACAGTAAGTACCCCATGCGGAAGAAGAAAGAAAAGGGGGGAGGAAATATATATATGAATCGGCAGGTTTGAGACGTTATAAGTGACATTATTATTCGATGGGTGGTTATAGGTGGTTATTGGCAACATCAAATCACATCACATCAAATCAGATCAATTGTTTAGAACAGTGAAATCAAGTTCGATGCAAAGCTTATCGCACGCAGAATATACGGTTCGGTTGGTGTACGGAGATTTCGTTTACGGGGAGGTTTTTGGGAATCAGAAAGGAAGAACGAGGTACAGCAGAGAGATATTTCAGGGAGAAAAAAAAAGTAAATCAAATAAAATAATCATCGCTGGGGCTGGGTATTTGTCAAATCATCTGGAATATTTGGCATGGTCGGGGGTTGTTGCTGTTGCTGTTGCTGCTGTTGCTGTGCGCCATTGCTTTGCCCCCTTCCGCCATTGGATTGCCCCTCCTCATCATCATCCTCGTCTCCTGCAAGGGCATCGATGTCCTCGGGATGCCTAGAGGGGGAAAATGATATAGTCAGTAAACAAAATACACCAAATATGATCCACCTTAAACCCAGCAAAAGTCGGGGGACACGAGGAGAGGAACTGAACGAATCAAAAAAGAAAAAATTCAAAACGTACCCAAGCAACTCCTTCACCATGCTCATCTCATAGTGCTTCTTCCGCTTCTCCTCAAACTCATGATGTTTCCTGCTGGCTTCCGGGCTATGATCATCTGCAGCACGGTCATCCGCACTCCCATCCTCCCCGACAACAACATGCTTCCCCGACCGTCCTGGACTGCCATCGCTCATGCGACGACTACTGCCGTGCGTAATTCTCCCCGACCCGCCGGGCACGCCTTCCCCCCACCCAGCCCCCTCCGGTTCCCCAAGCTCTAGACCGGGAATGTCATCATCGCGAACACCACCATGCTTGCGGGCCCCATACATATCCAGCTCATCAACGGCGAGGTCGCCGGCATCGATGCCCATCTCCACGTCGGAGTCATCCTCATCTTCGTCCGGGATATAGCGGGGGGCGTAAGGGGTTTTCGGCTCGTCGATCTTCATGGTTGACGTTCGCTCTTGTTCGGTGAGATAAAGGTTTACTTCATCCCATTTCAGGCGGGGGGAGTTATCGCCATCGCCGCCAGCATGGTGGATGCGGCCGTTCGGGCCTGAGGCGGATGATTGGCGGCGGGATATTGAAGATCGGGTGCTGGTGGGGGTGCGGCCAGCGTTTTGTAACGTGTTTTGAAGGGTGAGCTCTTTGGTGTCGACGGGAGGTTGGTGGCTTATGGTACCACCTGAGAAGATTGGCGATGTTTGAGGAGGGGTGGATTGTGAAGATGACCTGTTCTTGAGGATGCCTTGAATTTATGGGAAGTCAATAATATCTCTCGATCTTCAATCCCGTAAAAAGGTATTTGGATTGGGGACAAGGTGCGCCTAATCTGTAAAGGGCTTTCCTTACCTTTTGGCCGCTTTTGCGTACTATCGCCGCTTGGCTGTCTGGCATGGGGTTGGTCTCGCATAATTGCTTTTACCTATGGTAGGAGGATTAGCAGCGCCTCTAGCGAGAGAATCCCCCCCTAGTAACTTTTGCTGCAGCTACTGTCAGGGACGAAAATTGGAAAATGCCCTTTGTTCCTTATCCAATCCAAGCGGAAACCGAATGAATGCCCTTGCTCTGCTGCTGAACTAAAGGAGGAAAGGACGGTATCCAGAGACCCACCGGTTCAGTTCTTATTCTAGCTGGGGGATGAGATGTTAACTAATTCCAGCCCCACTCCGATCACACGCGACTCAGGGGAAGGCCCAAAGGTTTGACGGATGGTTCACCAAGCCGCGTCGTCGTTCACAGCTATGAGAGAGGATGTAGGAATCAGCGAAATGTCAACCACGTTGAAAGGCTGTCCTTGGGTGAGTGTTGTCGTTGCCCAAGAGGCCGCTTTGCAATGGGGGTAAAAAGAGCGGTAGGGTAGGGTAGGTGTGAGCGTGGGGTAAATACAAATTACGATAAATAAGCTTCCCCGGGCGGGAGGGAGGATTATCCGTTAAAAGGACAGAAGGCGATTGGGCAGGTATTTTGGGCTTGCCGTGTACCAGATATACGCAAGTAACAAGCAGTAGTGGGAATAATAATGAGGATGAAAGAAAGAGATAGAAGAAGAAGAAAAGGGAGCGATCATCTCAGTTGCATGCGGCTCGGCTCGCGCATGTTGGGTAGCCAATGACGTAACCGCACATGACAGCTCAGGGTCATGTGACTGTTTTGCTTTACGTAACTAACCTTGGAGCTAAAGCGGCAAATAACAGAGTTGGATTGTTGAAAGCCAACATAAAAAAAGTTCATGCAACTAGACATATTCAGCAGATCATCTGCAACATCTCTTCTCAACACTCCAGCTTCTTTTAGTGTTGAGATGTAGATTAGGGAGTTAAAAACTGAAATTAGTATTAGAATAAATAAGAAAGAGTTAAAAGCCTTTGAAAAATATGAAAAATCAATATTATAAGAGAATAGAGGCAGTTATAGTCAGTAACTGTACTTCTCTTAAGCTAAAGCTAAACTGTACTGTAATAAGAGATGAAATATGAAAGAGCAGTGAAAGATCAATATTCATGATGATCATTGATATATAATATCAAAGCTTTGTCAATGAAGAACTACACACATTTAACTAACTACTCAGGATGAACCATTCAAAAAAAAAAAGATATATCATGCACACAATAATATATGAGGTGTAACTAGCAACAGAGTACACACAACACAAGCAAGCTATGTGTAACTACTTGACAAAATGAAAGGGAAAAAAAAAGCCAAAAAGAGAAAAAAGCACAGAAGAGTGTTCAATGTACTCTGTAAATGACAGCAGATAGCCTCCCACTAGATATAATTGTATGTACTTTAAGCCTTCAACATGCCAGAAAAGTGAATGTTCTTTCTGCTAAAACAAAATAAAAATTGAAAGAAAAGAAAAATAGAAACAGATGGCTAAGAGGCAAAAAAGAGAGCAAGAAAGGGAAAACAAACAAAGCACAAATGATGGTGAGGATATGTAAATAGTAAAAGGTGAAGAAGAAAATGCACTGCAGAGTTGTATGAAGTTGTTTTAATAAACAGATAGTAAAGCAAAAGCAAATATCCACCCATGTAGTAAAAACAAAACAAAGAATGAAGGGGAATGAACAGAATGGTGGTATGGTTTTGAAATGAGCAGGATGAAAAAAATATAAAATAAAATAAAACAAACAAAAAAGACATGATACCGTCATCTCCATCCCAAACAGGGTTAAACAAAGATACATGCAAGAATATAAAATGAATGAAGGAGATGTTGTGTTGGGGAATAAACGTTGAATGCAAGAAAAAAATGAGCAAAATCAAGAAATTGGAAAACTGGTATAGAACAAGATAAAAAAAAGTCCCAAACTTCCCAACGCAAAAACACATCACACAAATACGGAAACCATGAAAAACATAACCCGACAACCAGACCCCCCTTCAAAACCCTCACGCAATCAAATCGAACTCCTCCCTCTCCTTCAACCGGTTCTTCGCCAACTCATCCCCGCCAACCGCCGACAACTGCATCCAATGCAGCGCCAAACACATACTCTGCGGATCCGACTTCGAATCCCCGTCTCGCCGATACATCATCTCTGCCTTGAAGGTGTCGCGCGGCATAGTCAGCGGCAGCGTCACCCGCGGCAGAATCTCTGGGTGGGTCAGGTATAGGATAGCAAGTTCGCGCTGGGCGACGGGGTTTCCTTCCCGCGCCGTGTGGATCCACATCCATTTGGCGTCTTCGAGGCCGTGGGACTGGTTAAAGGCCGCGGCCGCGTGCTGATTGCTGTGGTTGTTGAATTGGGGATCGTTGTGGTGGTGGTGGTGGTGGTGGCGCTGTTGCCGCTTGCTGAGTTCGTGCGAGACGATGGTATCTGCGATCTCGACCATGCTGGTGCATACGTCGTCTTTCAAGGCGAATGCGGCAAGGCCAAATTGGAGGAATGCAGTTCCGCTATGGGTTTTGTTTAGGATTTCGGAGGGGACAAAAGCGGAGATGAATTGGAGGTCGCGGAATAGGGTTTTTGGTTGGATGGTTTGGATGAGGTCGCGCATTGAGAGGATTATCTCTGCCTCGGAGGGTGGGTATGTTGGGAAAGTGGATGATGAGGCTACTGACCCCCACATGGGTGAGTATGGGGTGCGGTTTTGGTTGGGATTCTGGGAGTGTACTGATTGTGGTAGTTTCGATCCTTCAGACAAACTATTGCGATGGAGTCGTCCGTTTTCCGCTCCAGCAAATGATGGTTCAGCAAACGTATCAACTCCCTCATTTGCCCGACAATCATTCCCAGTGCTCAGTGATGAGATCACCAGTGACCTCAGGTCCTGCAGTGCTTTAAGCTTGGTATAGGGGTTGGATTGCCGAGAAAACCTCTCCATTAACTGACGAAACGCAGTATCATATGCGAAATCGAACGAATCGGGTGTGTCCTGAAGAGGGGACGATTGAGTCGGGGTGGGTGTACGTAAATCCTGTTCTGTTGGCTTGTGAACGCTAAGCAAAATAGCGTCCGCAGACCTACTTCTCCTAAGTTTTTGAGACATGGGACTCCCATTCTCATCATCAGTAGAAGCACATTCCGCTAAGAATCTCTCCAGCCTTGCACGTCTCTCCATCTGCCTTTGGATTCGTGGCTGGTTCAGATACATCGAAAACCAAGCATCAGTTTCGCTGCCACAGCTCCAAACAGGAGAGCCAAGATCGCTCAACAACAGACTCGTTAGGGTCTGCCTGAGTTCGTCTAAAAACACAACTTTGCCATGAGAATTCTGCTCAGGCCTCCTCGAGGTCAAGACGTCGCTAAACATCGAGGGCGGCCGAGAGTGGAGGCTCGAAGCGCTCGTTGTGGACTGCGCTTGTGTGTGCATTGGAGACCAGAACGTGGAGTCACTTGCGGATGTAGATATAGCTCTACCAGGTGAGTCACCGATAGAGGACGTATCGCCACAAGTGGCATCCCTGCCCGATCTCCATTTCTCTGATGCAAGGCTTTGGAAAGATGATTTGCGCACTATTGATGGCGCTTCGTTTAAAGAGCGGAAATGATGGTCAAACGTGCGGGGTCTCAGACCCACACTCGATGGCGCCTGGTAGAGCGACTCCTCACTTGCAATGCTTGACGGTCGAAGACTCGATGACGCACCAAGCCCAGTAACAGTTCGCCCGCCAGAGGCATCGTAAATGGAGCGCTCCTTTTGATAGAGTTCACTAGACCACAGAACCGGAGTTTCGTACATTGTCTCCCCAACCAGCTTCCCAACCGTCGTCTTTATTTCCAAGCAAAACCGATGAATTCGCTCCTCCCCTTTGCAGAAGTTATCAATGCCAGAGCGTTGCAGCCACTTCCTAGTCATGTCCACCTGTTCATCGGATAATTTAGATCGACCACCTTGGCTTACAGGTGCTTTCATCGCATTCATGGTTTGGATCTCCGGCTTTTGAAGGAATGACGCACCAAGCGTTCGTGAGCCGTAGCGCGGTTTGGATTCAGAAATCGGCGATATCGATGCGGGACCAGCCATAGTTTGCAATGCGAGAGCGACACTTCTCGCTTCCTCATATTTCAGCGAGTTCTTGACATCCGTCATATACCACATCTTATTCCTCAGCTTCGCTAAACTCCTCATCATTTCTTTCGTCAAAGATCGAAGTCGTGCCATTGCCCGCTTAAGATCCACTATCCTGCTCTCACACTGCTCAATGATGGAAGTAGATGTCTCGATTGATTTCCTGGACGATGAAAACATAGGGGTCAATAGGTCTGAGTGATCGCCAGTAACCCAAAAGTTTGGATACGCCCTTTGGAGGAGTCGCGATGCATTCCACCAATAGTGGGCACCAACGAAGTCAGCATGGGATTGACAATAGTTCATGGCATGAGCAAATTTCTGCTTTAGGGAGGGTTCACTTGTTCGGCCAGCAGGAGCAGACATGAGATCATGTGGAGAAAAGTCGTGTAAATGATCGAATTCGTCGATCAGCTTGACAATGGCATGTTGTAACATCTCCTGATCGTCGTCCGCCGGGGATGATCTGGGACGACTATCTGTGTCATCACTAGAGAATGACTCTCCGGATTCCAGCTCCTGATCTAAAAATGGCATCAATGTAACGGTCCTGCCGTCGTTGGAGACCGAGATCAAAGCCCAATCCTCACTCGATGGGTGTCCCATTGTAGGCCGATCCTCCGACTCATTGATCTCAGATAGCTCATATCGAATGCGATCTGCATTTCGGGCGAGGGAATTCTGTGGAGATACTGGGCTGATTGGCTTACTTCCAGGTACAGCATAGGACCTGGTTGCATCTTGGAAACTCATCTCAGTGGTGAACACGGTTTTTGCGGTAGATGAACGAGAAGAAAAGGTATCAATTCTGCCTTGGAAGAGATTTGGCTCAAACCCTTGGGTAGGCGGGTCATTTCGAGGAAAGAAAGAATTATTAGGAGAAGTCAAAACTGAGTGATTGTGGTCATTGAATGGGTCTGAAGAGTTGAAGAAGGGAGGTGGGCCCCTGGGGAAAAGAACATCCAAGATGGTCATAATATCCGTTGGGGACAATAGAAGGAACTGTTCACGCAAGTCTTGTTCCGCCGCTGGGGCCGTAGCAGGGGATTGGGGGGTAGCCTGGGGGGTTGAAATCGGATTACAAAGGTGGGACAGCATATTGTCAATATGGATTCTGATTGCTGTATCAGAATATGAAAATTGTGGCCTATAATAAGTTAATATGTGATGATCTAACGCATCGACCGTGTTGAAGACACAGGCGGGAACTTACAGGTGGTGTAACCCCCTAGATACTTGAGACTGCGCTCGGAGTGAAATTTGACCAAGCAGCCTCTCTCGTGCGTCCTTAGAAATATGGAAATCGAGTAACAAACCAATAGACTAAATGGGAAAAACGTGAGCTGGCATTAAACACCTTAAAAAAAAAAGCAAAATATCGAACATGAAAACCATGGACAGCAGAGATGGGACGGTGAGGGATATATACACATACCTCCGGGAATAAAAGCACGTTATGCATAAATTTACAGAAGAACCACTGGAAAAATATATACTCCAAGGCTCGTTTGCGGCTTTCAGTCATTCCAAGCTTGGTTAGGACAGCATTCCCAAACTCCAAAGCGCCAAGTGGAAAGCCTCCGTTGGAGTCATCTAGGACTTGGAATAG